GGTTAGACAACAGTGACACTCAATATTGTAGAGAATCTTTCCTTCTACTGGTGAGAGAAAACATGACATAAACCACAATTAGTGCAAGTGCTTAGAACAGAGCCCCAGCTTCGGTGCAGAGGCAGAACAGGAGCAGTGTCAGTTCAGTGGTTTCACAGCACTGAGTCACTTGGTCTCCAGGATCCCTCCTCATTCAGAGTGTGCTGTGCAGACTGAGCCCCTGATCCCTGCACAGCCCTAAGCAGGACCTGGAGCCACAGCAAACACACTGCCTCGACAGCAAACACGTTAGCAAAAGTACTATTGCCACACCAGAGGAACCAGCCTGCTGCTTCCCTGCTAAAAGTACACTTCAATCTCCATGGCAGGTTTCACAACATGACTGGTACACCCAGCCTGAGTGTGGAGAGCAGGTTGAACCAGAAGTGACATTATGAAATGCTGAGAAGTTTTTTTTAAATACTAGTGAGCAAGAACAGATTGCTGGGAAGTTCAACACCATTTGGAAAATAGGGGATCATGGATGCTCCAAACTGAGGTAAAATTACTAGCAGAACACAAATCAAAACCAGCTAGCTATCAAAAACTCTATTCTCTGCTCTTACCTTCAGATATTTCCTATGATAAGAAGCAAAACTCAAGGTTATCTTTAGGTTTTCATCTTTTGAAAGACCCTTAGCACATCTCCTCCCCACCAAGCTCTAACAATGATCAGTTTCTGTATTAACTACACCAACCAGGCCCCGCATACCTGCATTTTTACTTTCAATAGCATAACAATCCAGTATTAGGAATGTAAACATGACAAATAAAGAACAAATTCTGTAAAATTCATAAACACACTGCAGATAGCTTCTGGCTTGGTTTTACAAGTAGTTTTCTAAATTATCAACCTCTATCTGAAGAAGGCCAAAATAATTTTCATTTCTAGTGTTACTGAACCAACTCCTGAAATTCCCTAGATACCTGGCTAGCAGATGCACAAACTGAAATATTTTGCATGGACTCATCCCAGTACAAATTTAAACTCTATTCCTTCCATATGGCTACTCAGCCTCATGTCTTCTCTGTGATTGGTTTTTTCAGGTGAGACAGAAGACTCCTCTGCTAGAGATGGGAACAAAACAGATTTCTTATCCTCTCCTCAGAACAGTCTCTCTGCTGCAGCAAAAGAAGGCATTCCTAGTACCTCTGTCTCAAGCACAATTTAGGATTATCAGGCTTTTACTTCCTGTGCTGATATCACAAATACAAAAGTGATGAGAAATTTTCAATTCCAACAGTCCAAACAGTCTAATATTTACTACTCCAAGGGTTCAATGGAGGACCAACACTTTGGGCACAGGGAAAGGCTGTCACTGTTTGTAGCGACTGATATTTAAGTCAAAAGGTTTTAGCAGTTCTATGAGTAGCTACTCACACCCAACATTCTCTGCAGCACTACGGTTTTTTTTTCTCCCCCCAGTCTTTTAATCTATTTTAGTGGCTATATTTTCAGATCTTCTCATTAGAACTACTACCACACAACTGAACAAGATGTTAAGAAACAGATTTTTGAAACACATTTGATAATTATATATTCTTAGAGTAAGATGATGGCAGAATATTGCAGCAAACCACTGCGAAGTAAATGTCAGTTTACTTGAAAAAGAATTTTGGAGCAGGGGAGCCTGAAGTATTTTGGCACAATACTTTTTGCATACTATAAACTCTCTGACATGCAGTATTGCCTCTCTTAAAGAACGGATGGAGCATAAGTTAAGCACAAAAGTTAGAGCTTTGAGTTAAGCATAAAAGAATAAAAATATGCTGCTAAAAGGATGAGGGACTGCTGCCTACATAGAAAAACAGATTCCCAAACAGTATCCACAAACTGCAAGCAAGGACAGAATGAGGTACAAGATTTGTAGAGCACAGAACTACCTACCTATGACAATTCTGTCAGACAGATGTATTCAAGCAATTGCTAATATTAAAAATTACTGTATTTGAGCTTATACAACTATTTACTCAGAACAAAGAAACTAATACTCAGCAGGAGAGAAATAATACCCACCTCTAAGAAAGCAGAAAGTTTAATGAGTTCTCTCCAAGGGAAAAACGCTGAGCTATTTTTTCAAGAACACGTCCCCTAGGTTTGCTACCCGTGCACATAGGCTGATGAGTCTCAGTCAGTGGAATGTGACACCACATGATCATCAGCCCCTCCACCATGCCAGCACAAGTGTCTGCTGCACACGGCTGTGTGTTATTACTTTGCAGGGAACATAGTCTAACAACTGCTAGAACTGCTGTTCTACAGCTTTATACAGTACAAAACGCGAGCAACAGTGCTCTCGGGATCCAAAAGGAAACCATAAATAATGGTTTCCCATCCTTTCACCAATGTTTATTAGTGTTACAGCGCTAAGACCATTCTTTCCTGGCAAATGCAGTTATCTCACTTGGCATTTGAGTAGCTTAAATACTAACCTGAAACACTATGTGGCTTTTTCTTCGCTCTCCTTAACAGACAGAAGATTACCTTTATAAAGGACTACGTAAGTAAAAAACTCGAGGTATCTAACAGGGTCCGTAATAGCTAGAGCTTCCCAGCCCTATCTTCAAAGCAGTCACAACCCTATCTCCACTCAGACCCAAGGCGAAGAGAAGAATAATATTAAAAAATAGTAAAATTAGAAGAAGTAGAAAAACCAAGGATTGAGAGACTCGGGCGAAGTCACCAAGTGACACCTGTGCAGTAAAGAGCACAGGGGCCCTGCTCTCCGCTTCCAGGCCTGGCCCTCGAGCACACCCCACCACGGGGCCCGGCCGCGGCGCTGGGCCCTAGCTCGGCTCTCGCCGCTCCCCAGGGCGCCCCGGCCCGGGTACCCCTGTTCCCGCCAGCGGCCCCCGCCCTGCCCCGGCCGCGCCGCTCCAGGGCCGCGGCCTAAAGATGGCGGAGGAGGCCGCGCTTCCCTGTCTGCTCACCCGCCCTGCTCAACACTGAGCAGCACTCACCGCCCAGCCAGCCTCTCGTACCGGGACTGCGCGCCCCACCGACACCTCGCCGCTCGCCTCGTCCTCCTGGTCCCGGCAAGCTCCGCCGCCGCCTCACGACCCGCGGCCGCCCGCCATCTTCCCTCCGCCTCCCCCGCCAGCAGCGCACGCGCCCCACGGCAGCGCGCACGCGCACTACGCCAGGGCGCGCGGGCGGGGGCGCCGCGCCTGAAGGGCCGCGGGCGGCAACGCGCGTGCGCCCTTGCGGTGGGGCGGGGCGTACGCCGCTTCCGCGAGCCCGCCCGGCCGGCGCGCCAATCACAAGGAGGAGGTGCGCAGGGTTGCGCGCATGCGCAGAGGGCCCGGTCGGGGCCGTCCCGTGTGCGGGGGGCGGAGGGGGCGCTGAGGGTCCCTCGGAGCCGCCGCGCCGAGGCCTGACCCAGACACTCCCGGGACCCGCGGGCCGACCGGCTCCAGCTTGCCAAAAGGACACTGCTTCCGGGCACAGCCGTGTCCTGCGCTGCTCCGTGTTAGTTCTTTCACGCTCAGTAAACGCGTAGGCGCTACAACCCCGTCCGCTTTGTGTGGCTCCCAGAAATACCTTTGGAATGGGCTGCCCAGGGAGGTGGTGGAGTCACCGGTCTGCAGGTGTTTTAGGAAAGATGGTCAGGTTAACACGGTGGTGTTCGCTCAGAGGTTGGACTCGATCTCAGACGTCTTTTGAAACCGAACTTATTCCGTGATTCCGTTCTCCTCTGTCCCCGGGTTTCAAAACACAAGCAAAATCTACTAATCTCAAGGCTCGTAATAATCTATTTGTGTAGGACAGTGGGAACTCCTGAGATAATTTACGGATCACTAGGTCTGTTATACTCCTTCGTAGTTCTAAGGGTGCTTACCAAGGCATCCTCAAGTAGTTATTCGGGAGTGTAGATAAAGAGGTGCAGAACGGCTTTGTTTCCCTGAATTAGTTGTGATTAAGACCTAAGAGTCTGTGTGTTTAGATGAAAATGTCTTAAAGCTGCTTGAACAGAAACATTTTACAGAGCAAACCCGATTCAGCAGGAGGAGCTACTGGGAAGCATATGCTGCATCAAAAGGGAGACACTAAGCTTCATAAAATAACGATTTGCCACCTTGGTTTTTCTCCTTTAGTTATAACCCTGTTAAAGCTCCTGTGGTCAGTTACAGATGCATGTGGTTTATAGGCTTGCAGGAGCCACTGCCACCCCAGTTCATACACAAATCTGAGGTAATGTGCTCCAGGAGAGGTGAGCCCAAACAGTTGTCACATAGCAGTACAGCCTCTCAGCACAGCAGCAACATTACATTTCTAGTAAGACCTGAAATAGTATTTTATTTCTTTCCCTTTTGCAAGATCAGTAAGACTATTGCTTATCATCACAAATAGTGTCTTAACACATCTGTCTGTGACTTTGTCCCAGTGTTCTTTCCTGCAAAATTTTCCTTCTTTCAAGCGTGGTGATAAAATTACAAGACTTAAAAGGGCTGGTTTAAGAAGTTTATCCTTAACAAAAGAACATTCCTTTCCAACTAAAAGCTAACAATTTGTGAATCTCCAAGCAACTGAGCTCTGGTAACACTGGGTGTGTGATTCCCACTGGCTGCACCAGCAACCAGCCCTCCACTGTGTCACATTATTTATGGTTTGGTTTCATCTCTAAATTAGGGCAGTTAGCAACCTAGTTAAGGAGTCCATCCCTCCAGAGGTGGATACCTGGCTGTGTTAACATCAAAATTAGTGGATTTCTTCACCTTTTTCTTTCTGTAGCAGGATACAGATTGAGTGTCTGCAACCACTTGGCACAGAACAAGGGCACAGAGAGGGAGATGCTCCCCAAATACATTCTCACTGTGATTCTATTAGCACCTCTGATCTATCCTAAACTGTACTTGGGTTCTCATACTCTTGGAGTCCCCAGATGTCCAGGATCTATTTATTAAAAAGGTCCTCATTAACAAAATCATAATACGTACCTAATGTTTAGAAACCATACAACTTTAATTAAAACATCTTTTAATTTACACTAAACAATAATAGAAAAATATTGAAGCTGTAAAAAATCACTGTCCCTATCAAACAATAAAACAAACAAACAAAAAACCACAGAAATTGATGCTGCCCATCACTGAACCTTCTGAGAACCAAGAACAAGTTTCCGCATCCTTTAGAAGTTCCTAAAAAACACGAAATCACATCTATATTTCTGCTAAAAACCAAAAATGTTGAAAATTTACAAACTGGAGAGAGGGATTAGGGAAGAAAAAAATACTTGAGCCACTGGGAAAAGGCCTTTCAGGTTCTTTGCTCTCATAATACAAGGGGTCCTTGCCAACATACACATGGAACAAACCAAAAAGACAATGCTGATCTCCAGTCTGAATGCACCTGTGGCAACACAGCACTGGAGTACCCTGCATCCACAACCACCCTCGCTCAGCTGGGAGCTGCACTGATCCAGAGGGCTCAGAAACAGCCCAAGTCCTCAGGGTTTTCTGCTCAGATAAAGGGGCTGAAGATTAACCTTAATACTGGAAGCTGCGTTTAGTCTGAATATCATCGAGAATCTGTTGTAATTCTTCATCTTCAAACCGGCCCTCCAGGCTGCAAGGTAAGAGCAATGAGACATTAAAGTTTCAGAAATAATCTCTCTCCTTGATTCATTTCAGTCATAACTCTCTCCTGTCAGTCTCAACACACCGTCACCCATCTGTGGAACCTCCAGGAACCACCTGTAACATCACTGTACAAAGAGTATTCCAATCCTTATGCAGTGTCACTTCTTTACCTGACAAAACTCCATTCTTCCCAGAACCTTCTGCTGAGTAATTTCAAAGTGTCTTTTCAAAAAAGGCAAGGCAGGTGGAAGCAGACCTCTAAATTAAGTCCATGTAGCTGCATGCTCACAAGCCAGTCCATTCTTGCTATGAAATCTGAACATAAAATCATGGAATGGTTTGGGTTGGAAGGGACCTTGAAGATCATCTCATTCCAACCTCCTGCCATGGATAGGGACACCTTGCAGTGTTCCAGGCTGCTCAGAGCCCCACCCAGCCTGGCCTTGGACACTTCCAGGGATGGGGCAGCCACAGCTTCCCTGGGCAACTGTGCAAGGGCCTCACCACCCTCACAGGGAACAATTTCTCCCTAGTATCTAATCTAAATCTACTCTCAGTTTGAAGCCATTCCCTCGTCCTGTCACTACTGTTGTAAAAAGTCTCTGTCCATCTTTCCTGTGGGCTCTTTCCAGGTACTGGGGTTCCACAGTTGGGTCATCCCAAAGCCTTCTCTTTTATATAATGACAAATAAGGAAGAAACTGTAATTCAAATGTTTATTCCCTCCTCTGTCTCAGGCTGTGAAGTAACCAATCAAGACATGAAGAAGCTACTGCTCTCCCCTACATTATCCACAAAACAGTTCATTTGCTCCAAGGGGAAAAACTCCAAGAAACACAAACACAGCCAGCTAAGAACCCCAATTTAAGAGGTTTACACTTGATCCAGTAAAAGCTCTCTGAAGCACATTAGGGACATCTACAAAGCATGTTGCTGTCAGAACAGTGGGTAGGAGAAGAAAGACCAAGACTAAAAGCTCTTCCACTAAGGGAGATGGACTAAAGAGAGGGTACCAGGGCATGGCTGGCTTTAGGTAGGTCACAGGGAAGTATACATCAGTCTTTGTATAAGTGCTTACCTAGGAATCAGAGCTTTTGCTTCCTCGGCTGTCTCAGGACACAAGTTAGCCAAACATGCCAATTCAAACTTATGGAGCTTCTTCTGGAGCAATAAGCTGTAAGGGAAGACAACAGTTTGATGAAATTACAAGATAGAAATATAAAGGGACTTAAACTGAAGCAAATGTTTATCTTTTTGCACGCTGCTTTTGGCACTGAAGAAATTTTTTTCAGGAGAAAAGACTCATAAATGCATAGAGGAAAAAATAAAATCCTATCTGCTAACCCTACTTCCCCTGAATTATTCTGCAAATTCTAGAAAATCCTCCCATTTAATGCAATCAGCTGTCAGTGAAATACTGAAAACAAAGCAGTTCAGAAGGCTTGACCTGGACAAAGCATAACCTTCCATCAAGAACTTCTTGCCTTGTTAGAAAGACAAAAGACTCAGAATTGAAGAACAAATCATGCAACACCACTAAAATGCACTTGCATGAAGCAGGACCAATATTAGGGATCCAATTCTCTAGCAGAGTGTTTGTTGCAGCCTGACCTTCCCCCTCACCTGCGCACGCTGGCGATGGTCTCACGGTTTTTGAAGCGGCTGAAGCGTGCTGTGTAGTTCAAGGTTTTCATGAACACTTCTGACAGCTCCTGCTCATCCTCCGCGCTCTCGTTCTGCTGCTTGCGGTGCTCAAGCAGCATGTGCACCTCGGAATTGAGCAGGGTTTCTGCAGTCTCAAATTCTGCAGCCAAACGAGAGAACGCCGGCGTGACAAAAAGGTGGAACGTGTTTGAAAAAGGGAACTGCACAAGTAATTACAAAATGACAATTTTGTATGTAATTTAGCTCTGGCTAATAAAGAAGTGAAAATGTCTTTCATGGCAGTTGTGTGAGCCCTTTTGCCAATGACTGGGCAACATTTCATACTGAAAATGCTGATAAAAATGACACATCGAGTGACAGCCCAAGGTGTTTGTCTTTTTGACCACATTTTGCACTTGCAGTCCTAACATTCAGATTTGTGCAGTATGTTTTCTTCACACATTTTGGCAGAAAAAATGCATGACTTGACACAGAAAATAATATTTAGAACTCTAAAACTCCACAAAATTCAGAAGTGATGCCACAGTCTTCAAAAGTCTTTGAGCTTGAAATACAAATGTGGTTGACTATTTAAAAAAAGGCTTCATTTACTTGAAAAGTTAATTGACCTAGCGGAATTTTATAATGAGAAAAAAAACCATTTAAATCAATCTTAAAATTCCCCCCCCTTTTAGCCAACTTTGAATTCATTCATCATCACCATAACCACTATATGGATTCCAATAACATCTTTCAACATCAACAGTATAAGCTGTTCAAAGCAACAGAGTCAGAGGCTGCATCTCAGAGTGCCCAACAGCACTGTTTTATACAAGCAGATACAGAGACTGCTAAAAAGGGACTGGCAACTCTTATTTTGCATTAAGCAGTAAATCAGCTTGGCCAGATTTTAGCATAAAAATATATGAAAAAATAAAAATATGAAAAATTCAGAACTTCCCTATTGTTCATAACTCAACAATGGACACGGTGTCCATCCTCCTCTGCTTTTTTTTTTGTCAGAGTGACTCTGAGGTGTAAATACATTTCTAGAATTTATACTGAATTAATTTTCTGGAAAAAAAAAATGCAAACAGTAAATGTCCATAGTTACCAACTCTGGATCTGGACAGCTACAGTTTCCTAACTACAGCAGTATTCACAGATTTCCAGAACGGGTTAGGTTGGAAGGGACCTTAAAGCCCATTCATTTCCACCCCTGCCATGCACCTTCCACTGTCCCAGGCTGCTCCAAGTCCTGTCCAACCTGGCCTTGGACACTGCCAGGGATGGGGCAGCCACAGCTTCTCTGGGCACCCTGTGCCAGGCCTAACCACCTTCATAGGGAAGAACTCCTGTGTCAAAAAAACATCACTGAAAAAGCTTATTTTAAAAACTTAGCAGTCATGAGATCCTTAAATATATACAAATCACATACTATCCTGATTTTTAACACCCGGGGCTGAGAAGCTGCTGGAGGGGCTGGGGGATTGAGCAGCGCTCCGGTCCACGGAGCCCCTCGGCGAGGCTCGTACTCTCACAGACGGCCGCTGCCAACCTCCATTCACCACCCGACCCCCGGCCCCTCGCCGCCCCTGCCCGCACCTTTGGGGAAGACGAGCTGCGAGGCGTCCTCCTCCACGTCTGCCGCCCGCGGGTCACTGCCGCCCGCCGCCATCACCGGAAAGCCGCGGCGGAAAGGGCGGCACCGCCTCAGGGGAGGGCGGGCGGCTCTCCGGGCGGGGGCGGGAACGGCTGTGCCCGTGTGAGGGCTGGGGGGTTCTGCTCTCCGGGAGGGATGGGAGCGGCTGTGCCCGTGTGAGGGCTGGGGGTTCTGATCTCCGTGAGGGACGGGAACGGTTCTGCCCGTGTGAGGGCTGAGGGCTCTGCCCTCCATGAGGGACGGGAACGGCTGTGCCCGTGTGAGGGCTGAGGGTTGGGAATGACTGTTCGTGTGAGGGCCGAGGGCTCTGCTCTCTGGAAGGGACCGGAACGACTCTGCCCGTGTGAGGGCTCTGCTCCCCGGCAGGGACGGGAACGGCTCTGCCCCCGTGAGAGACGGGTACGACTCTGCCCGTGTGAGGGCTCTGCCCCTCGTGAGGGACTGGAACGACTCTGCCCGTGTGAGGGACCTCACAGGGCTCTGACGCCTGTAAAGGACGAGAACGGCTCTGTCCGGGTGAGGACTCTGCTCTCCCGAGAGACGGGAACGGCTCTGTCCGTGTGAGGGCTCTGCCCCTCGTGAGGGACGGGAATGACTCTGTCCCTGTGAGGGCTGAGGGCGCGGCTGCCTCTCCGTCTCTCTGAAGGGCTGGGGGCCGGTTCTACCCTGGGCGCTGCTGAGGATAAAAGAGCTCTGTTGCCGCTATGGGGCACTGAGGGGAAACAGCGGGAGCAGGGAGGCTGGGTGCTTTCCCAACAAAACAGCCCTCAGAGGTATGTTTAATCTCGGTTAGTAATTCGCTCCTTTTAGAGAGGGAAAGCAGTGGGATGCTGAACGTTGTATGTATGGACAGAGGACAGATAGCTGTGACAGACCAAGACTCTGCGAGTCCTTGACAGGAGCGTGTAGCCAGGCGGGGATCGGCCTCTTCTCTCAGGCAGCTGGCGACAAGATGAGAGGATATGGTATTAAGGTGCGCCAGGGGAGGCTTAGGTTGAATATCACGAAGAATTTCTTCACAGAAAGGTGATTAGACATTGGAGTGGGCTGCCCACGGGGGTGGTGGAGTCACCATCCCTGGAGGTGTTTAAGGAAAGACTGGAGGTGGCACTCAGTGCCGCGGGCTGGTTGAAATGGTGATTTTCACTCGAAGGTTGGACTCGATGGTCTCAGAGGCCTTTTCCAACCTCATCGATTCTGTGATCATGAACCCGAAGTCTCAAAAGGCACGAACCGGGGCCCGAGAGCAGGAGTGTGGTAACTGAGGGAACCTTCTCATGAGCAAACTCTTCCTCTGCTCTGTCTTTTAGAAAATAACCAAGGAGCTCAAAATTGCACTGGTGCCCCTCACCAGACTGCACAACAGGCATCGTCTGCCCAGGAGCACCTGAGGGCGCTGAGGCATCAGATGTATCTTCATTCACACCCGTGGATCAGGCAGCTACAACCAGCTCCTTTTCACTACCAGAACATCCTCCAGCTGGACAGCAAACCCCAACCTTAGGACAGCTGTTACTGTGCCAGAATTTCCGTCTGTCTCACTGTGATTAATAGACCTCAGACTGTAAGGAAGGAGTATTGACACCATAACACACTTCGTAAGGAAGGTTAATTTCCAGACTATCCAGAAGTAATCTACAGACCCCTAAAAGTCATAGGCAGGCTGAAAATGAAGATAGTTCTCCCAACACTGCCAGCAAAATAACCCAAGGAGCAGTGTTTTCCCTAGGGAGCTCACATGTAAGTGCCTAACCTAATACTCTTAAAGTAAGCATCTTACCAGCCCTTACTATGTCATCCTGTGCTCTTAAAGAAAGACAAAAATAGACTGTTGAGGGATTTATGATGAAAACACTCCTTTCTCATAAACTTGTATCTGTGCCTAGGTGACTGGTTTCCTGCATGCTGGGAAAAGGAATGAATTAAAAATAAATTAGAAGAATATGAAGAGATCAAATAATAGATTTTTAATATTTATCTGGATAATGAGCATAGCAGAGAAACTGATTGGAAAGTGATTTGCTAAGTGATACAAACAGAATGACATTCAGGAAGATGGAATGGAAATATCTCGGGGAACATCTGGCAAATTGAACAATTTCAATTAGGCTTAGAAGAAAACAAGGAAATCCATGCCAGACTGAGGAGAGAAGCATTTAAAATCACTTGGAATCCTGATAGCTTCTCAAATAACCCGTCATCTCAGAATGCTGTGATTCTCAGAGCAGTAGGTAGCTCACTGAGTTTTAAGTTACTAATTTCCCTTTTTGTTTTCCCCCAAAAATCATTCTACTTAAGTATACAAAACCAAGATTTTACAGGTAAAGAGGTTATCATGAAAGGTTAAGTTTATTATCACTGATGTGTTTGGTTAAGGTCTCAAGAGCAAAAGAAAAGTGTTCCTGAATGGAAACTGCTTCCTCCCACCTTTTTTTTTTTTTTAATTTAAAAAATAAACTTATAAACCCCACACTAAATATTGTTCAGCTGCTGCAACAGACCAAATATAGCAGAGTGCCTGACCTTTTGTTATTTTTAAAATGTACTGGCTTCTTCCTCACTGATAATGACTGTTTGGGCATTTATCAACAAAATATGAATAGAAAAGTAAGGTGAACTTGATTAAAATAGTCACTGACTAAAAGAACTTCCAGGCAGCTTTATTGTTGACATCCTAAAATAAACCTATTGAAAAAAAGAATACTTGGCCAAATGTAATTTATCATGAACAAAGGCTCTAATATTCTGTATTCCAGGGCAAAAAGCTTTGATCCTTGCTGGAGACAGGGCATTGAGTAGCAGATTGTTAGACAGACCTATCAAGGTAATTCCTGTGTTGCCACAGTTTAAACACAGATCCTGGAGCAACTAATTACATCTACACAGACCTTACAAAATGCTCAGCTAAATACTCAGTGTAATCAAATGTAGGAACAACTAGCAACAAGGATATCCTATTGCTAGCATAAATCCATTTTGTAATATGATTTCCTCCTAATTCATCAGCAGAAGAAATGTGATTTTTTTTCTAGGAGTTTTTTAAGCTTTCTAACAGTAATTAACTTTTCTGTGGAGTGCCAGTGTGATAGGAGTAGATCCTTGTGGAGATAATCACCCACTGAGAGCACCATTTGCCACAGTAGCCAGCATTGCACAAGATGTGTGATTTTTATCTGTGTACTTAAAGTATAACTCTTCAGGTTTAGGTCTTCACACCATTATTTGTAGTCTATTTAAAATTATATATCCAAAACCATAATGAATGATCATGTATGAGCAAAGTAAAGTTATATTAATATCCAGTAATAAAGTCATAGTAAGACTCTGAATGCAACACTACATGGTCTGATTTTAAATACATATATGACTGGTAAAAATAATTACATACATCATCAACTGGTTGCATAATACACAATTTCTGCCAGAATTAATGTGATTATAAGAGCAGTCTAGTTCACCTTAAAAAAATATGGTTCAATAATCTGGATATTGTTCAATATCTAGAATTATATACTTGTTTTAAAGAACATGGTAAGAATACTCTTCTGTGCTTGCTGTGTTTTGAGAGTGGTCATCAAACATATTCACAAGTCATCTTTTCCTAGACTGTGGCAAAACCATCTCAGGAACTTTCCTATCCTACTGCTCCATGTACTATCAGTGCACATATTAATTTATTGAGTTGTATAGGTAAGTATTCTGATTTTCATTTTTAACTTCAAGATAAAAATGGCATTTCTCCATCACAGATAAAACAAATGTATTTTTTGTGTTTAAAAAAAGTGCTAGTATTCTTCCTTTGAAGTATCCTCTTGAAGTTTCTTCTAATCTTTCTGTAATTTGGTTCAGTGCTAAATGACTAATTCATTTTGTTTCTTATTTCAAACAGAAGTAACAACAGAAGAAACTGTTTCCAGGAGAATTATCCTGGTTTATATTTAGCCTGGATTGACCTATTTCAGTGTGCAGTCATATGCACACCCTTCTACCTGGCCTCATCCTTCCTGTGAGCTGCTGAATGTTCCTGTAGTCACAGAATGTAATGTGCATGGAAGAACCTCTGATGAAAGACAGCAGACAAAGATTTTTTTAATGTCTGATTCAATAGGAAACCAAAAAAAAAAAATCAAGTAGGCAAAGCATATAACACTAAAATACACAAATTAAACCACTGTATTCCTGCCAACAAAGCTGAGAGAATGCACTGGGTAACTCCCCTGGGCACAGGAGAGCAGTGGATGATAGGGATATGGGCAACTTCAGAATTCACAAGGAAATTCAGCTGGAATTCACCTGGAAATCAGGTTAGTCACAGCATCTGCCTCACATTGCCTAAGGGATTGACTTTCTAGCCTTTCCAGTACCAGCATCTGAAAATAGGTTTTTTGCTTTGTAATTGTACCGAGATAAATGAGCTTCTCAGGCATATTTAAGTCAAAACAACCCTCCCCCCTAGTTTTGTTGCTGCTTTTTTAGGGTTTTATGACTGTTTATTGGTATCCAGGGCTGCCTTTCCCAAGGACCACAAACAGGAAATGTAGCATCTCTAATTATACAGCTCCCATAGATAAAAAGTTAGCAATTATCTGGAAATGCATGGAAAAAACATGTAAGCCAGGGATCCAATTCAAAACTATTCTACAATTCAGTTAATTCTGTCTCAAAGCAAACATTAAAACAATAAGAATCTAGAAAGATGGGTTTCTTATTCTTCTGAAATTAGGTTTTTAGACCACCTGAACACTATAGCCCTAAAGGATACACAATTTGTTCTCAGCTAATTTTAGAAGACAAACCCCCAAAAGAAGAATTTTGAGTTTCAGAAAGATTTACTGTACTATTTATGTACTTTATACATTTCATCATCATGAGAACTGATAGAAGGTTAGTGTCAAGCAAACATTATTTCAGGATACAAAGACACTGCTAAGCCATTATTAACAAAATACATTTAATATTTGGTTTTAATTTTCCTACTATTTTCCCTTGCTTTCTTGTAGTGAGCCTGTTTGATTATTGGTGTGTTTCCACACAGCTGCCACCAGACTTTGGCAACCTCCTTGGTTTTGAGTATGTGGTGTAATTTACAGGTTTGCTATTCATACCTGTAATGTATTGTTTGTCTTTCTAGATGAGAACAATTTCATCTTATCCCCCATAAAGGCTGTGAGAACTCATATAAAGAGGACAGTACAAATAATCTTTATCCATTATGATTTATTCTCTACAATACTTCATTAGAGGATAGAGTTCAATTATTTACACTCAGAAATTATTATATAGGTAGGAGGCAACCAAGTGTAATATAAAGAATTGGTCTGACGTCTCTGCACTGTAGGTCAAAAGAGGTCTGCTTTAAGGAAATAAATTAACCAAAAAAACCTCAACAAAACAACATGTAGTTTCTGAATACAAACAGAAAACAGCACTAATAGTCAGTGAAGACTGCAGAGGTTTGTTAATGTACTATGAAAACAAATTATTCTGTGCAAAGGTTAAAATGAACTCTTAGATTTCCTTACAGATTTTCTTTTTGTTCTGATAAATTGTAGATATGTGATATTTTGACCATATAACATTCCCAAACTGAAATGGCTTCAATTGAGATTGACTGTTGAACAACATGAAAAAAAAATTTAAGAACCTCACAGTGGAAACATTTCAACACTGACAGACTCCAGTGATCAAAGACATTCTCCCGTAGTTACTGTAAAACAAAGACATTTCATCATTGCAGTGAGATTATTTATCACTTGTGGTTGTCATGAGAATAAGCCCTTCTAGACCAAAAGGCACTTGCTTCTAAGGATGAGTTAATCCAGATCAAACCAGGTAAACAGTTGCTTTGAGGAGTAGTTCTAACCAGATGTCCCAGCCAAACAACCACAGAGAAAATCTCAGATCAGTTGGCCACTGATTTTGGTTGTCTCCATCTTGAGGCAATTCAAACTAGTTTGTGCCTAGTTCATCTCTTTCATCCTTATGCATAGCTGCCATGTAATGATCTAGAAACGGGATTATTTCCTGAGACCACCTGTCCTTACATTTCTCTGAGCTGACTGAGCTATTGACACAGTTTTCATCTGATTTTATAGCTGGACCCTAATGGGACTAAAGCTGAGAGGGCCTGTTCCTTAGGCAGCAGACCAGTGTTTCTGATCTGCCAGCTTCTCTTCTCACTGCAACAAGACAAGAACACAGTACATATTTAGAGGCATTTATGTTTTGTTTGTTTTTTTTTAAACAGACTGAGTGGGGAAATAGAAGTGGGAGAGGATAAGACTTCCCCAGTCCCAAACCACTTCTCCCACTTCAGGCTTCAACCAACCAAGTTACTCAATCCTAAAATTCTGTTCTTTAAAAAATGACAACTAACCCTACCCACCCCACCCTTTAGTCATCCCCTAGTCAAAGAAACTGAAATCAGGAAAACACTATACACTGTTGAAGACACAGAACAGGGCAAACACCTGAAAAAGAAACAGTATAGTTGAAAAGCCTGGCACTGTATGCCTGCATGACCAGTCTCACCGAGCGTGCTCAGGGGTGAAGTTTTAGCACCATTTTTTTGCCTTTTTTTAAAACCTTTTAGAAATTAAATTCTAACACAGAACACTTGAACAGTAATGAGTGTAGCCCTATGTATCATACTGTTTGACAGCTGAAAGGTGAGTGGTATGCCTGGAGCTGACCCCACCCTCCCCCATCACTACACGGCACCTGGGGGAGTAATTACAAACTGGAGTGGTTTGCAACGAGACTCATTTATTCTCAGCAGCAGGAAGTCACGAAACAATCCTTTCATCTTCAATTGCTTTTCATCAACATCACAAGGGAAAAGTGGCAATTTGTAGGAATGACCCAATACAGAAGGAAAGCTGGGTCAATATTGCACCGTTATCCAGAGGAATCTCCCTCACATCTCTCTCCTCCAGCAGAACTTACACCAACATGAAGCAAAATAACACAAGTTGTGCCTTGCTTCCCTAGGACCAGGAGCAGCACCCTGCAGTTCTCAGCTTCCCACCAGCCCTATTCCCTGCCATACCACGGTGTCATTTCAGACTTCCAACACCAGCCAATGACAACACACAAGCAGCTCTAAAGATGTGTGCAACCAAACAGCCCTGACTCTGCTATGCACTTGTGTTTTCTTCCCCAATCATTACTGACCCTCCAGGAGCTTGGAAAACCAACCAACCAACCCCATCCCAAATTATATTCTGGAGTCCAGTTATCTCATTGAAAGAGTGTCATAATTCAGAGTTTACGACATGCCTCAATGCTGCTGCAGAATAACAACTAATAACTTCCTTTCAGAAAAGCACATTCCTTGTGATCATCAACCACGGGAGAAGAAATACAGAATGCACATGAGTTTAATGCAATTTGGGTAACACAGGTTTCCCCACTCCACTGCCTGGATGTGGCAATGACTAAGCTGAGTAAGATAAATCTTACCAGCAAAACTGAACAGTACCATTCCATAGGCCTGGAATAAACTGGAACACTCACAGCCCCTAAGATCAGTAGTCATACTGGTGAAAGTGGCTGTTCTATCAAAAGGAAGGTCCCCAAGACTGTTATCTTAAACTATAACAAATTTCAGTCACGGCTCTCACTTGTACAACTACAGTCAATGCTCTGCAAACCCCTCCCTAGCCCTAATCCTATATCTCTTACAAATATTTGGAAACAAAATTTGGTCGTAACAAAGACTGTCCAGGGACACTTGAGGATCTTTCCCTCTGTGTACACGGCACGTGCCATGCTGCTCTCTTACAGGCAAATCAGCATTGTATTTCATAGCAGGCTTCATCACCAAGAATCCAACCTACCAAGGATCTGAGTCTTAAAGCCCTCAAGGGTTTATTTAAATAATGGATTAATTTTTCACATGTTTTCTGTCCATGAGGATGGGGTGCTATCCAGGTGTTCAACCCTCCCCAATATCATGATGTCCACCTGTGATGCGTGGGGACTGCAATCAGCTCTCAGTACACAACAGATACCAGAGGTTAAAAAAAAATTAAGAAGAACCTAAAAAATGTTTTGTTGGACTCCGTTGCCCAGGCTGCCAGGGGAATGCTCCTACTTGATCTGGGGGGCTTCCATAACATACAACTCAGGTTTCCAAAGTGTCAGTAACACCCAGGAACGGATCAGTCCGAAGCAGCACTTTCACTCCTAAAGGTCTTCTGCACCTCACGACAGTTCGTAGGCATGGAGCCCCAATCCAACTGAACCCCCGCTCGGAGGCAAGGCTGAGATAAGGCTTGGGCCCCTGAAGTCCTGTCACTCTCTCATCCTCCCCCCAGGTCAGTGGGAAGGCAGACTTGGCAACGGAAGCTAGCATCATAAAATGGTGCAGTAATAGAAGTAACTGGACCAGGAAGAGGAGGCGTCTGCCCCGATGATGTCATAGCCGTTGGCAGCAACTGGGGAGTGGGACTGGTCATGCAGCCGTGTGTCAGGAGTAATGATTGTAGAGGGGAGGGGCATGAAGGGTGCCATTCTGGAAACAATGCTGGCGGGAGGCCATGTACTCTGCATAACTGATTGTCACCTTCTCACTGCGGTACCTGCGGGAACAGGCAGGAAAACAACGTCAGGCTGTGCAACATGGAGGGACTTGGCATAAAACAGTCACCCCACACTCCCCTTTGGCTCACAGCCAATGATGACCAAGAGAAACCCACTGGTGTGAATAACCTATGTGAGCTTGAATTCGCTCTGGTGTCCCAAAAGATGAGTCCTAAGCAAGGTGATCGTAATTAAAGGGATGCCTGAAGTAGCACACAGGAAATAAATGATCGATTTGTATTCTTTTTTATCCACATGAAATGGACGAAAATGGCATGAAAAGTTTGCTGGAAGAAGATTCAACTACAGTATTTCCCTATTGTTTACTTTTGTGGTTATCTCCACATTTGAAAAAGTAGTGAAAGAAATGGAGAGGTGGGTAAAGAGAGGTTTATTATAGCACATAAATGACTTAGTCCATGTTGTACAATCAGAATTTACAAAATGTGAAGCTCCTTGGGAGAGACTGGAGTCTTCCAAGTTTTTCTAAAGCACACTGAACAACAGCCAGCTACAAAGTGGTTGTGAGTTGCACTTAGACCACACTATATAAGATTTTAGTGAAAACCTTCATCCTGTCATCTCCTGTTAAAGAAAACCCTGCACACCCATCTCATTTCTCTAGAAGAAAAGAGCTACCTGATAAATTAGTGTTTCTATATGAAACCAGGAAGTACCAGTTTTTACTAACATAAAGGGGGCAGAAACCAATAGGACAGCTGGGGGGTATAGAAAAGCAAGCAAATTCTGAAAACCAACCAAATTTGAGTGTGGTTTGGTTTTAGGACAGCTGTCACCTACGAATAGCTACAGCATTCACAGATGGGCACACTGAGAAAAGGAAGTTCACTGAAAAGATACTGAAAAAAAAGCAACTTTTTTAACTCTCAAAGGTTCTGCTTCTGATCTTTCACATATATGGTAATATTAAAACCAGTGACACTTCTCTTAGAAAAATGCCAACTTTGATCCTGCATGGACCAAACATATTGTGCTTAATTCCATGTGCATTATGTGCCTAACACACGGCATTTGTGATTTGGTCTTTCACAATGCATCTCCTCTGGAAGAGGCTTAAAGATTTATATCAAGCACAAATACTTTAAAGCATCCAGAAAACACTGTAAAGTAAAATTAAAAGACAACAAATACATCTACTTACCTGGTAAGTTTAATTGTTTTCCTAAAATCATTGGTAATGGGAGCCTTAAAGCCACCTTTCCTGAGTAAGGAGTCTATGGTCTGGATCTGATCCCAGTCTATTGAAAAACAGAAGCAAGGCAAATTTTTCAATATTAAAAATGTTTCAAAAACACAAGAGATGCATTAAAAGGACTCTAGACAAACAAACAACTAAACAGGAAACTCTGAGGTTTAGAAATCCTAGTGTTGCACTGGGCATATAAGGCTTGATGCATGCACACTATCTGCATATGCCTACCCCTTTAAACTCATAGTGGGGCTGGTCTGTGAAACAGCAATACCATTTTCCATTCCATATCTTCTTATAAAGGAAGGTCTGTGCCTCACTACTGTTGCAGGGATCCCAAATTTTGTCACCATGTGGCACTTAGCTCCCTTGAAAATAAGAAGATACTTAGCTCTTTACATAGACAAATTGGGATTGATGCTCTAGTGATGGCACAGTGCACTGCTATGTGAGAGATCAGAGTTGAAATTCCTACCTTAGTCTTTTGCCCCAGAGCCAGAAGGATGCGACCACTCCACTCTGCTAGGTGGAGGAAAGGAGGAGGCAATATTTTGAGCAGTTACCATGGTGACCACTACTCTATTTGAGTGGAAAGTGTGCTCCAGAGGGGCTGTGTTTCTAGCCCTCCTCTGGAGGATGCTACTTTAGCAAGAATGAGGAGGAAAGTGACTCTCTTGGTGCTGTGCAGCGTGCAGTTATCCTAGTTGGTGGGAGAAACATAGAAGAGGAAAGATGCAACACTGAATGAGGCTGGAAGATCCATACTTTGAGATCCTCTATTTCTTCAGCCCTAAAACATTCTGGCACTAATACAGCTGTGCAAAGATATGGGATGAGAGACAGGCCAGATGAAAACCCAGCAGCAACTGTATCAGGTGTCAGTTGTCAAGATTAAGCCTGGTGGTTCCATGGCACCCCTATGAGGACAGCATTGTGTTCCAAGCCCCAAATGGATAGATTTTTACCCAGTTCTGTGACACAGTGTACTGACATGTTTGGCTGCCATCTCAAACCCACCTTGTTCCTTAGCAACCTCAGGTAAATACGTGGCTGTGCGTTTGACACCTTTCTCATTGATGAACTCTATTCTGATCCCATGGATTCCAACCTACAGATGGAAATGAACAGCCAGGTAAGAGGTGTTTGCTAGCACTGAGTCCATGACTGAGTTGTCATTCCCACAACGCTGTGCATCTCTCTCTGAACAGTTTGGCTTTTGGGTAAGGTCATTCTCTTCCCCATTCTGCTCTTGCCTGGCAGGTCTCACAAAGAGCTCTCTTAGCTACCCTTCCCAGAAAAGCCTCACTAGTGTCCTTGCCACTTCTCCTGAGCTAAGTCTTGTCAATTTTCCATCTCTTGTGTCATGCAAGAGAGACACAATCTCTGCACACAAGAGTGATGCCTAAAATTACCCAACTATAAAGTCCATATATATATATTCTTCTTGAACGAAATACACTTTTATGTACGAGGTCCTAAAAACCATTCATACCTTTGGTCTAAACTATTTTTTATTTCCAGTTTCTACTCACACCAAAATACTTCCCAGGTTTTTATACATGTATTTACACCCATTTCCTATTGGAAATGACCAAGTCCATGAACCATTTTCATATTTCTTTTATTCCCATTTAGAACCCCCCAACCAAAACCATACTGCTAGGCCATCCTCTTCTTTCCTTCATTCCTTCTAGTTTTCCAGCCCCATTTCTTCTATTCCCAGTCTCTTCTAACCCCATACACCCCTGTAATGAAGGAGATACATCACCATGTACTAACCCGAACCCGAATGGAACGAGAGAGTGATGCAGAGTTCCAAATGCACCTGTTCTCACCTCCCAGTCCAGGTAGTCACTGGCATCCTCAAAGTTAGTGAGGAGGGAGACAGAGCAGAAGAGTTTGGGCAGCTCCTCGCGGGTCAGGGGGGGAAATCGGCTGTCCTTAAGTGCACTAAAGGGAAGAGAAGATATATCACCCAATACAAGCACCAAAATAAAGTGTCAGATGCTCAATTATTCCCCTTTTGATTATGCCTGCATGAAACATGTTTCTCTGCTACTGCAGAGAAAGTGATTTGCATCTCTCCCTAATCTAATGAACTATAATACCAGTGGCAAGCTTCCTGATGCTGTCCAATGCCTACTGCAGGCAGAGAGAAATTACGTGTTACGGATGTCAAAACTGTTAGTATGCAAGACAGATTTGACAGCAGCCTTAAAATGTCAACTCCAACTCACCTTTTGCAAAGATATTCCACTACACCCTGATACATCACCTCACTGTAATTATCATACACTCAAGTTTATTTCATTATGAAGCATATTACAATGAACTGTGTTGATCCAACATCCTAACCTTGAATCCTTAGTGAAGGAACTAATTTTCTATTTATTTAATTTTCAACAGTTACCTGGTTAATGTATATTCCCTGAGTCCTGAGTGAAGATTCATGGCTGAAAAGGTCCCGATGCAGCCACGAAGCCGCTTGTCTCGCCCCGTCTTCCACGTCACAAAGAGTGGACTGAAAAGGCAAAAAAAGAGAAAAAGAAACCCTCCAGCCTTTAGAGATACTTGGTGGCTAAGGGGAGACAACCAAGGTATGAAAGGGCCCCATGCCTGTGCTTTCTCTCCCTCCAGTAAACCCCAGCAGGCAGGTTTGCTCACCTGCTATCTAGCAAGAACAAACTCCATTCCCACACCCCCGACATGCAAACCCCAACACTTCCCTCCACCTTTTCAGCACACTCCCTCCTCTCCAGCAGTACTCTGGAAGTCCTCCACAGACACCTTCCTGGCCAGACTCTGTGCTGTCTTCTAATGAGTGAAATGGTTATTTGATCCCACTGATTACGTGTCAGTATTGGCCTCACTTTGTAGCATCCCCTAGTTTCCAGCATAGGTCATATAGAAATTAATATAAATGATGCAAGTTAGTTCTTTATACTACCATTTCTATAAATCAGATTTGCAATAAAAGCTTTTCTTTTTTAGGAATGAAAAGAAATCCAGATTATTTTTTCTTCTTGTTTTTTCCATGAGATCTGAATTTAAGCAATATGATAGAATATGATTTTCTGAGATTAAAAAAACTTTGACAGGAGTTTTGAACCATCAAGACTGATTTCAGACACTCTCCTCAAACTCTTGATGCTCTTGTAAGCAATGTACTTCTGCAGCAAACCTTTCAAAAATACTGAGATGTTCTGTTCAGACAACAAAACCAGCATGGAGTGTGGATGATTTCTCAAACACAGCAACAGAACTTCTTACATCTAAGTAGCGAGAAAATAATTTAAACTGTAGTAATAAATCAATGACCAGTGATGCTCCTCAGAGCAACAATGGAATTAATTCCATCACAGCACAAATCCATCTTGCAGGATCTAGTTACAGCTGTGACCAACGGCAAAAGCACCACCCAAAAGAGCAATTAGCCCTTGAGAGATAATTGTGATGGACTTTGCCCATAGAGGAAGTGGAAAGATCCTTCCATCTCCAACAACAACCTTCTGGCTGGTTTGACCAAGACAGGGGATTTACTATTCTAGTTATCCAACAACACTTCAAGGCACTTGCAGGATATAATTTCTCTAAATTTTCATCTATCTATATATCATATATCGAAAGAGCAAACAGAAAAAGAGTGTAAGAAAATACATTAGAAAACTTAAAAACAGGAGATCTCTGAGAAACACTACTGTCACAAGTTCAGTGGAAATTTACCTTAATCTAATAAAAATGGTTAGAAAGTACTGCTCAGTCCATGGAACACTCACCCCAAAGAGAAAAGGCAAGGGAGAACGTAAAAACCATCACTCACAGAATACAAATCTAAGAAATTCCCCTTCCATTCAAATTGCAGGTTCACATTTTCAATTCACCTCTTTCCCCTTCCAAAGGGAAAAAAATCCCACAACCCATCTTTCCACTGAGCTGCAACACAGCTTTATGCATCTATAATAGAAGAGATATTATCAGAGGGGAGAGGATAATTGCATTCAGAAGGCTGTATATTTTAAAATACCTTCAAGCACATTTAAAACCATTTTTCATTGTGGTCAGAACAACGGAGGCATAAAAAGAGATATGATTCTGTACACATAGATAAAATTTCACTATTTTCACTGCAGAGAAGATGATGTTTCTGTCTCTGAAGAATAAATGCACTCAGCAAATTGCAGGTGCAGCTGACAATAAGCCCATTGTTCTAGAGCCCCTCCTTGAAAAGTGTTATTTCCCAGATGTACTGAGAAAAGTCACAACAATCTTTTGTCCATGTTCATCCAAGAGCATTTACTGGTACTTTGCAGCCATATCCTCAGTGGATTATGTCAACTGTTTCTTCCCCAGCCACAACATACCACTTTATATGTGTTTGATGAGGGTTTTAAGGCTGAGAGGGGAATTTCAGCAACTAAAAATTAGCTTCATCAACTGCAACTAAAAAGAGAATTTTAAAGTAGAAGAATACAGTTTGTTCAGATCTGAGTTTAGCTTGTACTAGGAAAAAGCCTGTTACAGAACAGATCTTATGATGCAAGTATCTTATTTGTCTTGCACTAGAAACTTCCATGGTATAGTTTTAGCACCAGTTTGTAATACCTACTATTAAAAAAATCAGACTGACGCACAAAAGTGGAAGAAGTAACCAATTAACTACTTGCACAGGTTCAGAATTGTAATTACTTGCAGTAACCTGAATCATAATGGGGTATTTCCTTCCTTTGCCAAGCTGATTCAGACACAACTACAACTACAAAGCCACTGGCTCTCTATTGATCTGTGACCATCACTGCTAATATTGGAATAAGGGAACTTTACTTCACAGGTATCTACCAGCTCCATAATTCCCATGAAGAGTGTTGTCCATGTGCATATCCCCTCAGGCTGGTGACTGAAATTCATGGTGGTTTTCAATCCATAACTGTAATTTGCGTGTTATTGCACTGTAAATGCCAAATCCTGAGACTCACACCTGCTCTTTACTTTAAAGTTCAGCACCAGTTTAAAAACCAGTTTAAGAACAGGCTGTGCCTCTTTCTATTCAATCAACAGTGTCTGTCTCTTCAGAGAGACTTCTGGTATAAACATGTCACAAAAGGCACATGCAAATGATTTCTGTATTTTCACTCTGCTTACTCTTGTATTTGATAACATTTGGCTTGAAGTTCATTACAAGACCGTCTCAAGTGGGGCAGTTCTTCCCTATGTGCTGCTCTCCAAGAGAGCAAACCCCATGCTTTTCCCTGGGGTACATGCAACTATTTCCCAGCATAAATGCTGAAACACAAGAAAATCCAGGTAAGCATTTGCTGACAGGGGAAGAGAAGGGAAGGGCTGGTTATGCTTTGTTGGTGTGCTGGTTTAAAAGACTTGTAATTACAAGCACAGAAATAACCAGTGAACAATTTTTAACTTTTCAAATCTGGGCATAAAATTCAACCAGCTGCTATTCCCCAAAGGACATCTTTCTTGAAACTAGTCAGCAGAAAAAGCAACAAAATCCAGCCAGAAATCTCCTCTGACACCAAAAGAATGCAGCTCTATAAAACCATCTCTCTTACCGGCTTAACAGAACAACAGCAAATAACCCTTTGCACTCCAAGTGACAAAATAATAACAGACTGACACCAAATGTTCTAAAGGGAGTCCACTTAGTGCAGGTATGAATACTAGACATATTTCAGCCTGGGGAGTCCCTGGAACTATTTGATATCCCAGTCCAGAGCATTTTTCTATTCATTTGTATTTACAGCATTAAACAGCTTACTCTGCGGCAGCATTCAGAACATGTATCCATAATCCAGCTGGAATAATAACTGCATGGAGGCACAACCTACATCCACCCTGACAGCACAAAGGTGGGCAGACACTGAATACACAGAAAGAAAGTCCTTGACCTGTTTAAGCCATTGTTCCTTACATCAATTTAAAATTCATTAGCTTAAATTAAGGATGTCAGCAACTTTTTATTTTATCTATTGTTCTGGAGGAGGCCCCGGAGGAGTGTCAGAAGGTCCATCTGTCATTGATCTTTCCCAAATAATTCTTTCAACAAACATTTTAACAACATTAACATTTCCACACCTACGCAGTCAACCTTCAGATAAACATTGGCTAAATCTCACCAAAGCGAAACAGCTTCATAAATCCTTCTCCTCACTTCTGCTCATACACATCTCCTTTCCTCCTAACCTTGGTGTCGTCCTTGAAAGTTAACTCTCTTGGCAGTTCTGGGCTCAAGGCTGGGCTCAAAGGTTTCTCCAACCTAAACGATTCTATGATTTCTCCTCACGTTGCTCAGCCTATGCTATCTCCCTAACACATCTTTCTATAACTGGTAATTTTTAGATTCCCCTCCTTACTAAACACATTCACTTGGACAGCTGAAAACTTCTTCTGAGTGTCCTTGCCCAATCCTCACCAGTCCAGCATTTGATTCAGGATGAACTGGAAACTTGTTCCAACTTCAGCTTCTTACTTTATTTCCTTTCCATTTCCTTTGCAGAAGAAAGTCTCTTCCCTTCTCCAAGTCAGTGTCTCACATTAGAAGCTGGAGCTTCTTCAAATTAAAGACATTATTTGACTGGATTTTTAGTACTGTTTTGTAGGTGGCACCGCTCAGTTAATTTTTTGCAGAGGAATTTACTTACAAAGTTGGGGGCAAAGTTCACCAGAACATTACCATGAAGTAGGTTTGCACTCCTCCACAAAGAACACAGTGCCTCATGGAACACACCAGACTGAGCTGAAGAAGCACCACACCTCTTCACACTTGGCCTAGCTCTCCTTCTACAAAGCTAAGTATTTTCCCTCTCGAAGGACACTCTTTAAAGCTCATTCACCTCCACTAAAAAAACAACACTTTAATCTTTTTGTGCACTTACAGTGCATCTTTCTGTTTCCAGCAGACAAAGTAAAGAGCAGAATGCCCCCCTTCCTCCCTGCACACCACTCTTCCCATTCCCCAAAGGAAACCCTCCACCCTTCCCCAACCAAACACAGCTCTGGAAGCTGTTTCCCAGCTTTGCTCTCACATAAGGATGTACTCACTAGGGGTCATTGGTAAATCGAGGGAGCCGTGGCTGAGGGAACCCGTAGAGATGACAGTAGAGTACATCAAAGCAGTAGCAGCACATCTCTGCTGTCACCACCAGGTTCTTGGTGCTGTTGGCAGTTCCATTGGGCCGAGTAAGTGGGCTCAGAGCTCCTGAAGTGGGATTCATTCGAGTAATTGGGGAATTTCCTGGGCCCAAAGTCAAGTCAGATACGTTCTCCCTTCCATTATTCCCATCTGTATGCTGGTGGTTCTGAAGAGGACCTGAACTGGAGCTTGGTACAGTTGTGGTCTGATTCCCATGACTGTGCGTTCCACTCCCAGACAATTTGGGCTTCTTCACCCCACAACAGCCAGCTGCCAGCTTGGGCTCAAGTGGAGGAACACAGCGTCTTTTTCCCATCCTGCTTCAAAACTCGCTGCCTGGAGCACTGCAGAACCCTGGCATGGAGGGGTGGGGAGGGGGGAAAATTATTACACAAAGAGTTACAGGTGAAAAACCAACAGCTGCTTCCTTGTTTCTGCTACAAACAGAGGAAGAAAACCCTCCAAACCACGTGACCCAATACAGCACTAAAGCCAGATCAGCAGAATGGGTGTTTTCACACATAAATTGGAACAGCATGGACACAACATGCACGCAATCACACTTTCCAAGGTATTGAAGACTTTAATAGGTGGCTCACCACATAAAAAACGTAACCAGACTTCCCATAAAAAGTACACAACAGTGGGAAAACAGGAAAAAAAAAAAAGACTTGGGACTACAGATACACCCAATCCACTGCTTTTCCTGCTCACGCATTCCTCCTCAGTCAATGCCTGCACCAGTGGCAAAAAAGTGCATTTCCCTTCCTCATTGCTGAGAGAAGAACAACAGCAGCCCAAAATGACACCTTTAGGGTTGGACTCCCAGGGGTGTTGCCCTTGATTTAGCACTAGCAAGATCAGAGGAGCTAAAAGCACTGAAACCACCATTTTCTAAACTACAGACTATTTTCCAGACCACAAACTGGAATCTGCATTCACTTTCTGGGACTGGCTGAATGAATACAGCTCTCAAATAAACATGCAGGGGGTACAGGCAAGATATGCATGACAGGAAGAGCTGAAGCCAGCAGAGCCTGAACAGAGGAAAGTGATAATAGCAGGAAACAGGCATGGTATAAAAAACCCAACAACCTAGAACAGTGCCTGCAAAGATGAGAATATTAGAATATTAGCTCATGCATCACAAGAAGGGGCGGAACAAACACAGGGAGGAAAGGCTGTGCAGACAGAGATGAACAAACATGATAAGCAAGGATTACAGGTCAGTGGCAGGAACTTAAACACCAACATCACCATGAGACCTGAATACACCAGCAGAGAGAAAACCAGTCTGTCGAATGGGGCTCAAAGTCACAGAGAACACCACGGGGGAATTAAGTGACACTCAGCCCTCAGGAGCCCCAGGGAACGCCCGTGACCACCAGAGCAGCCCTCTAACCCTCCCAAGCCGAGAGCACAAACACAGTACAAAACACACACTGAAATTCAGGTTGTAACAACTCCCTCCCTCCTCTGCACGTGCAAAGACAGTAAACTTTGTTCATGAAGTTTCATCGGTCACAGCAGGAGTCACAGGACTCTGAACTGAACCAGAACCGGGGTAAGGGGTGTTGAGAGGCGCACCTCGCATGCCCGCAGTGCTTCCTCTGCTTAGGAATCCTCACCTCAAAGTTTTAGAAAGACCATAAGGAACAATTTACAAGACCTAAGGAAAATGATAATTTTTCCTTTGATCTCTACTTCTACAATAATAATAAAATAAAATTTAAAAAACCCAAAAACTAAACCAGGCAAAAGAAAAGCATAACTTTGACAAAGCGACCATGTAAATTGTCCAGTGCCTATTAAAAGTAACCTGCTCTGGCTCTATGAGGGTGCTGAGCCTTATGATCCTTCCCCAGTTACCACTGACGGCTCAGCCGCATTGGGGAAGATAAATCATTATTTATTTACTTGGAAGCACAACGCTTGATTCAAGATCGGAGACGTGGCAGGGGCAGGGGGGAGCTTCCCTCTCTTCTCCCCTCCTCTGCAGCAGGGGCCTAACAAAGGCGGCCGCTCGGCTCCAGCCCCGCTTCCCGGGAGCGCCCCGCGGGCGGGCGGGGGCACACCGGGGCACCGCGGCGGCGGGACGAGCCCCGGGCTCCCGCACACAAACTTTGCGGGGTGTTCGGGGGGGGTCCCGCAACCCCGCCGGTCCGGCCCGGGGAGACCCCGGGGACCCCCCCGTGTCCCCGGCCCGACCCCCCCAGCAGCAGCGGGGCCGCCAGGGGGCGCCGCGGAGCGGGACCCCCCTGCGGCCTCCCCCAGCCCGGGGCGCACGGGGCCCCTCCACCCCTGCCTCCCTCACACCGCCGAGGGGTCACCCACCTCCTGCACCCGTCCCGGCTTCTCCTCCGCCTCAGCCCCGCCGCCGCCGCTGCTGCCCCGCAGCCTTCTGCCGCCTCATGGAGCCATGGGCCTGGGCGAGGCTCCCCGGAGAAGCGGGCCCGGCGGGCGGGGGAGCGGGCAGGGCCCGCCGCGGCCGGGGCTTCCCGGGGCGGCCGGAGGACCGGAGCGAGGCCGCGGGCAGGTCCGCCGCTATCCCGGCAGCCTCCTCCTCCTCCTCCTCCTCCCGGCCGTGAGGTAATGAGGGACGGACACTCATAGTCCGCCAGCCTCCCGGCGGCGCCAACACAACCAAGGGCCTAGGGCGGGCGCTCTGCCCCACGCGGGCAACCATAGAGACGCGCGCTTCCGCGCCCTCCCCGTCACGTGAGCACCGCACGTGCGGGAACAAACAGTTCCGGGGACGGTGACGTCACCCGGCAGCAGCGCCGCGCTGCCATTGGCCAGCGGAGGCGATGACGGCATCAGGGGGAGGGGCGCGAGGCGGGAGCGTCCATTGCGCGGCTCGAAGCGGGGGAGTCTTCCCGCCCCCTTTACTGCCTTCTCCCCCCTGCGCTGCCCGCAGCGTTGGTCCGGTCGGTGTGAGGGGAGAGAGGGGTTTCCGCCCCGGTCCAGCGCGCTGGAACGGATCGTTATTTAGTTATAACTAAATAACTTTAGTTATAGCCGTGTGTAACATATTTATGGCAGAAGCCACAGATAGCACAACGGTACCAACACAGAAATTACTTTTTTAATATTTCCGGCTGCCAACGGGGCCCCCTAATCCTTCCTTCCACCCTTGGTCACAGCACCACAATGACCAAAGCAGAGAAGCAGTTACTTCGTCAAGGGTTTTAGGACATTAGGTAGAAGTAGAGGCTGTGCATTCCACCCTGAGGGAATTCTCTGGCAGGCGGTGGTTTGGAGGGGACAAGGGTGGTTGTGGCTGTACGTACATAAAGGGTAGGACAGAGAAAACCACAGCCCTCATTGCTATTTCCCTTCTGCCAACACCGGTGGAAAACACCTGGGCAAGAAGAAGAGCAAACTTCGCACAGCCCAGAGTACCCACACTGCACATTTAATCCCAAGACAAACTGTCTGAACCCTTTCAAGACTGCAAAACGGAATTTATGCCATTTCTCATCCAAGCTTAAGGAATAAGTAAGAGGCATAAAAATGTGAGCTGGAGAAATCTGGTTGAATGTCATTGGATCTTACTGTCTCCTATAGAAGAGAATCACAGAAAGGTTGGGCAGGAAACGACCTTCAAGCTTGTTTTGTTCCACCCCCTGCCGTGGGCTGGGACACCTTCTACAGTGCGCTCCTGGCCTGCAGCATTATGGAATCTACACGGTTTCACAAGAGCAACACTGTAATTATTGCCATTCTAAGGCTATGGAACAGCATCATCCTTTTAAGTCTACATAGCAGCCTTGAATAACAACTTATGCAAACTAAGGTTACAAAGAATCGGGTGAGAATACCCCGAAAAACAGATCGAGCAAGTTCCCAACTTTTGCAGTGTTTACAAGAATCCTTCCCTCCCTTCTTCCCCCCACATACCTCACTCTTTGCTGGTAATGCCTTGGATTGCACCCCTTTGCCAAGATTTGAAACAGTTCCCAACCCTACCAAAGTCTACTTCATAATCACCAGAGAGCTTCTTGTAGAGTCCTTAGGAACCTGGGAGTGTTGGCACTGTGTTTTATTACCCTGACAACATCAAACAAATTGTGCACGTTCTTCTGTTCCTGAAGCACAAGAAATGTCATAGCAGCAGTTTAATTCCCACCTTTTCTCATCTTACCTCTGCTTTTAATTTCAACATACACACACAACTACTGAAACTTTCCTAATATTGAAGTTACAATGTCATTATATTAGAATTGTATCTTACAATGGAAGTGGTTTCATTTGAACAGCAGAATTAAACTAATATGAAAGACTACCATCCAAAGCTATAATAAACTTGGCTTGCATGTGTTAAAAACACAGTGTGAATATGGATATTCTACTTATGTTCTACTTGCTTCTCTAATTATACAAATCAGGAAATAAGAATTAAATACTGTATTTTTCATCTAAGTTCCGAATAAAGTCAAGATAACAGCACTATATCTGGATGAGGAAAAGAACACATTCTTAACAGAGTTAGTTCATGATACTGAAGTTTCCTGCTGAGGAGACTAAATATTAAGTGATTTAGCAATTTTTTGAAATTATTAAGGTTAAATGCACAAGTGCATGGGGGATAATCCATATTTCATCTTTAGGACCCGAACTGGGAACTACATTAATTACTCACCCTCCACAGCTCTGGCTGGTTCCCAACACGTTCTTTCTTCTTCCAAAGCTTCCTTTTCATGTTCACAGCTTGAAGAGTTTCACTGGTACAAAGGTACACAAACTGCTCACGTACAAAACCTCCAATTCCTTTATTCATGTTTTCAGGACGTATGTGGTACGTACAATTAACATTACACCAGCTACAGCACCTCTGTTGCAAGAGGTACCTCAACACAAGTATCCCAGGGCACCAACACAGACACAGACACTACAATATCACTTTGAAATTACTTCCCCCCTCCCCTCCTTTTTTTTTTTTTTCCTTTTTTGTTGTTTTTTTTTTTTTCTTAATCTTGACAGCTAGGACTTCTGAGCTGTTGGAGATTCTTTGTGGCAGATCCCCTAGTGCAGTGGCACTGGTGTAAAAGAAGGCTGCTTTAGACACTGGAAGGTCAGAATGAGAACTGAATGGGGTAACTGAAAGAGGTGCCATTTCCACTGCTGGAAGCTTGGCTGCTGTCTGGGTCCACAGCTGTGTGTCAGCCTCCTGGAGTCCCCTGCACAACCTCCTGCCATACAGGTGTGTCCAGACCTGACACATCAGGAGTTAAACAGTGGGACTGGAAAGACTTTAAAAAGGGATGAGCCTGAGAGAAATCTTTGTTCATTATGACAGGATGAAGGACAATCCCTTCAGGTCACCTTCAGGCTTCACGTGTCCATCTGTTCCCTAAACTCATCCTTTTTTATTCCGATGCTCTGCTTAAAAATAAACCCAAACTACAAAAAGCTTCAGCTCCATTCTGTACACGTTCTCCATTTCCAAAGTCATTAGTCTGCATTCAAACCTTCTCCTTTCGCTTCAATTTGGACACTTTCTTGACAGTTCCATTCTTGTTTAGCAGCTTCAAAACACGATCCTTGTGATCCAAGACCTTTAGCATGGAGTCTCGAGCCTCATTGATTTGATCCATCACGAGTTTACACCTCTGCATGTTCCCCTGAAAGGAAACACTTGGCATTAACCACAGAATGCCTGCTCTAAGCAATGCCTTTCCATTTCCCTAACTGTGCCCCTTGTCACTGATGACATAGGAAGTGACTCGACATGGGGTTCAAGCTTTAGCTTTTACTGACAGCAGTAGGATGCCTTGTAACTAAGGTGGTTTTTGTTTTACAGGACCTACCTGTATCAGTTCATTGATTCGATGCAAGTCATCATCGGTCGCTGCCTTTTTCTTAGGAATGAGTCCCTGCTGCAGGTTTGTCTAAAAGACATCAGCCCTTCATGAGAAGGGTCACTGCCAAGCTGGCAAACACTAGCCCACGTTAACAAAGCTACACAGAAACAGTGATAATCCATTCCCCTTCTCAGCTGCTCTGGTCAGTGATTCAGAAGGTGGAGCCTCTGACAAAATGTGGCACTATCATTCCTTTTAACATCCTATTTACAGGATTGCTCCTCTTCTGAAGAAACATGGATCCTACCACAACTGCTTCCCCTACTGCTCACAATACTATTCCAGGAATGCAGAGGTTTTGGGGAGTTTGGTGCTAAAATGCAGAGCACCTACCTCACCCCCAACCTGAAACAGAAGCATCCAGGAATGTGGATCAGTGCTGCCTCCTCAGATCAGCCGCACCATCCCAAACAGACGCTTCTTCAGACCTGTGCATCAGCAGGAGGGAGTTGCCAGTTTTGATCATCTGTACAAAATACATCAGCTCTTATGTCTGGATCAAAACCAACACTCCAAGTTTCCAAGCCACTTATGCCACATTCCTGAGAAAGGGGAAAGCATGTCCCACTCCCTTTGGGCACTAGACACCAGCTCCTTTAGGGCATCCCGATGTACTGACTTTGTAAAAACATCTTCCTGTCTTACACAGCTCCATGTTCCCCCATGTTGCAGGAAGCTCCAAGCCCATGCACCTACCAGCTGTAGTAGCTGTGCTGCACACAGATGGACCTTCCACCCTTGTGCACGACAGGACACCCCCTTCTGATTGGCAATCTCTTGCAGCATGGCCTTCTTCTCTTCTGTCACCAGGAAACACAAGAATACAGTACTTAAATTTCAGGAGTTGGCCAGGCCTCTCTTCTCAAACAACAATAACACAAGTTCTGTTCCCTCTACATCCTAATAAATGACAATGAGCAACATTTTGATTTAGACAGGAAAGTGACTTCCCATCTGCCATGTACCTGACTGCTGCTCTCACTGACTAAGAGGTTATCTCTACTTTCAGAAAGATTATATCAGATCCCATTTTTTTCTACATTGAAAGAATGTAGTGCTCAGTGTTTCAAACACCTGGCACAAACAAGTGAATGGTCCATCCTGTACTATTTTTACTCTCTCCTAGATCTATTGGCACAGTTGTGAAAACCCAGTCTGCTTAAAAATTCTAAAATACTAGCTAAAAAGTCTAGAAGACTCTGGATATGGGTAATGCAAATGAGACTGATGGCACTGCATATTTAATCACCATATGCAGCCTGATAATGAGGATGCCCTGGCAAGAGCAAAGAGAGCTCTGACTGCAAGAAGATTGAATCAAGTCTGGGTTATGGGAAATAAGATTTTACTAAGTTGAAATGTAAAGTTTGTCTATGTGATGGTTAACTAGATGATTGTAGTAAAATATTACCAGCCTTCTTGTAAATGGTATATAAGCACATGTAGTGCTCAGTAAAAATTGGATTCTGATCACCATTCAGTGTCCCCATTTCTCTCTCATCGTCAATAGAGGACAGTATCTGATCACTGTTTTCCTTGTATTAGGTAAAAATGTCTCCTTTAAAAGACCATTTGTTACTTAACAAGATAAATACAGAATGTTTGTGATTAAACTGGCAAGTGCTAGGTGGCAACTGAGAAAACTCAGCTGCAGCCTATCGCCGCAGCACGTCACTTTTATGAGGACACCTTTAGTGAGCGAGTGTCTATCACTGCACACCAGCAGGTCCATCGATAAGCACACCATTTTGTCGTGTACAAAACCAGAGGTGACTGTGTGCAGGCTCCCTGCCTTGCTGGGAGGTGCCTGCAGGGACTGACCTTTGACACGCACGTCGCTGTATCTCTGGAAGTGATGGTACGCCGCTTTCCAGGGGTTGCGGTAGTGACGGAGCAGCGTGATCGGCGGCCGGGGACGCACGGGGACGTATCTCACACCTTCCTCATCTGCAAAAGGATCCACAGCTGCAGTCACTGAAAGCAGGCTGGCATCCACAACAACTCCAGCAGCACATCAGTAAGTGACACCTCACACAAACTGTGTGTTTCCCTGGCATTTACCCAGCCCTATACAAAGAGTAGGGAGGAAATGGATTCTCTATTACTCGTATTAAGGAAGTGAGTATGTGACAGAGCACCTTCTCTGAGAAACAGAGGAGAAAATACAGACCCCTGAATAAGAACAGACATTCGAGATGTCATTACCTATATACTCCTTTGGAGGAGACTTTCGCTTCTCTGCCTTCACCAGCAGACTTTTGGCAGTGGATTTCTCATCGTCAGTGCTGTTTGTTTCCATCATGTCCCCTTCCTCTGTGGAGATGACGTGCTGCTGCTTACGGGGTTTCTTCCTCGGTGAGGCACCAGGTGGCAAATCACTTGGAGGCATGGAAAGATTGTTGGCCAGCAGTGCCAAAGATGGAGACACAGTACTTGTAGTCAAAGGAGGGACTGCTGAGAGAAAGGAAAGAGAAGAACCCAAACCATCAGCAGTGGGAAGATAATGCATTGTTCGACCACTACCTCCAACAACAGCTCCTGTTTCAGCACAGTGTGAGGACATGATGTGTACCAACAGGCCAGATATTAAGCCAGCAGTAACTATTAGGACAAGCCTGTAAGCTGAAGTCTTTAGTGTTTCATATACATAAAGAATGAGAGCAGAGACAATTGTCCCTCAGTTGCTTCATATACGAAGCTTATGTTAGTTTAATGTTACAAAAAGGAGTCATGCTAACATCTGGCTGTGTTACTGTAAAAAAAAAAGCCCTCTGTATGTACACCAGCACAGGTCACTGTCATAGTAAGCAAATCCCTACTCTCTCATGATAGGAGAGTCAGATGGAATAAGAGCAGGACTGCAACACTCTTCTTGTAGGAGTCTGCTTGTACTGCCAAGCCCTCAGCACTGCTCAGCAGGTCACTGCACCAACCAACACACCTGCACAGCTGGCAGCAGTGTGGCAGGTAGTCTGAGGGAACACTCCCTGAATTTGGAGGGACAATCAGCCATGATAAAGGCCGCAGCACAAAATTTGTGGGATAGGATCTCTTGACAATGAATGCCAGGAAGAGACAGAAGAACCCCAAAGAGCTTAATTCTATCTGCCCATGCTCCAGACATCTGCAGTAAGGAGTTGCTTCCTCACAGGACAACACGCAGCTTCAAGGAGAGTGAAAAAAACAACAGCTAAACCTGAACTCTGAAGCCCATGAACATGAGATGCATTCCTATCACTTTGCCACTATACAGTGCCCAATAAGATCCATAAGGATCAGAATTTACTGACCATGCCTTTTGATAGCAAGTATGGCCAGGCTGGATAAGTAAGGCAATACAATGAACATCTTGAAAAGTTCTAGAGAAAAATACACAGAATCACATGAGGGCCCTAGGAAATCCTACTCTGGCCATGAATTCTTCATATACAAGAAAGGCACTGGACTTGAACAGTAGGACTTGTAAACAAACTGAATTTAACTGAGCTGTTCCATAATATGTCGGTACCACTGCTGAGCATGTGCATTTTAGGCAAGGAATTCATATAGACTGTTTGGAGTTGGATCATTTGAACATGAACAAAGCAGCCACAATGGGAAGTGATTTCATGGGAGATCAGGAAAAAGACAAAAAAGGTCTTTATAAAACATTGGGAACTCTGGTGTTCTGTGTTACCATGGAAGAGATATCCTTTCATTTTCAAGATGAAACTGTTGAAATCTTCCCAATTCCTCTACTGTGTCAAAAACAACAAAAAAAGCAACCTGACAATTCCCAGCCACCTACCAGACACCGGTCGCATGATATCCATGGGCTCCATTTCCTCTTTGATTTTGATCTCTGGTACCACAGGGCCCAGCACTGCTGACAGGGCCCCACTCATGGTGGATGGAGGAGCAGGTGCTGCCACGATGGTGGTGGAAGTTGGTGGGGCAGCTGCAACAGCTCCTGGGATGGTGGAGAGCGCTGCTGCAGGCTGAGAGGTGGGGCTGGCGGCCGCGATGATGGTCGGGATGGCAGAGGGGGGCTGCTGGGAGGTCGGGGGAACTGTGATGCTGGGCTGCTCTCCACCTTGGTTACACACTGCCTCCATAGACACAGGGACTGGAGTGGCCATGGACACGTGGATTTCAGGCTTTGGCTTGCCACTGCAGCACAAAGAAAAGCAAAGCAAAGTGAAGTGAAACTCTTGGTTGTGAGCAGCCAGCACAAAAGGAACAAGCCGAACTGGAGTCAGACTATCCAGTTTTTCCTGCACCCACCTGGCTCAGTAAAGTGTTTAACAACAGGAGAAGGCTTAATCTCAATTTTATTTCCTCCTCCTCTCCTTTGAAAATCTCCTTTCTAATCCTTTGTATTGATTACAACTTTTTTCCTTTCACTGTGACAAACAAATCTCATTACTAATTCCAGATAACGTCAAAATACTTGTAGAAGGATCCAAACAGTTTTACAATGCAGCCAAGAGGAACTTTAAGCCAAACTTTACTGGCTCCATCCTCTGCAGGAGCTCCTACTGTGGTTTACAGTTATAAAACAACAAACTGTAAAGCCTCTAAACTCAAGTGAAGCAGGGTAGAAGTTGCATTTACCTTTCCTCAGCATTGATTTTCAAGTACTATAGAAAGAAGTTTTGGGGTCTATCTCTCCTTACAATAGCAAAGGGGTTTTGTTTGTTTATGAGAAAGATCATCACCACAGCTTTTAAAGGTCATTTCCTCAGCTTCACAAACAGCAGAACATCAAGGCTGTTTGTCACAAATTCAAAAGAGATTGTCTCCCAAAAGAAAGAAAAATGCTCCAATAGCCAAAGAACACAACTCACACAAATATAATGGAATTATTATGCTGCAGTTGGCTGTTTCCTAAAGTCTTACCCAGCAGGCCTTGGTGATCCAGACGTGCTTCGCATCGTGCTCTCCACACGTGTGCTGGCCACTTCAGGTGGCTGAGGGGGAATTAAGCTTTTCCGGACTGCCAGCCTGAAAGAGACACACACATCTAGGATTCCCACCTCCCTGGTGCAAAGACAAACACCCCTGAGAGCAAAGCAATCAGCTCTCTTACACAAACCAGGACAGGAGTTATGGCTGTGGCACTGCTCTCTGTCCGTTTAACCAATTTACTACACAAAGGGTCTCATTTTACTTTTCAAATAAGGCATTTTATTTTCTTTTAAAATAAAAGATTAGTTGCTCTGGCTTAGTCTCACCCAATTTAGGGCTTCTCCAAGAACACCAGCTTTACTTTCATCCTGTCAGTGAGAACACCACTGCAACTGCCAGGCTCCAGCAGTGGACAAAGGGGTCTGGCCATGCCCTGCCTGGCACTCCTGCTTCAAGACCGAGCAAATCATCTGCAACTAAACACTGCTCAGATGGGATCTGCTCCCTTTAGCTGGACCTGACTGACAGAGCCTGACTCCAGGACCTCAAGGCCTGAGTGTGGATATTAGGAAGATAAGGCTGATTAAGGTGTTTTAGAGACTATTTAGTCTCCTGTGGGACGGAAAGTCAAATTGTTGCCCAAAATAATCAACTTCTCAAATCCAAAGAGTCTTTAATGATCTACCTGACTCTTTAACTTCTCTTTCAGTTTTACAGCCTGCAGCTTCTCTGCCTTAAAAAAGGTTTCCACCCACATAAAAAATATGCAATTTTAATCTCACAGGACATATGAGTTCCAAATGTGTTCAGTTGCTAGCTGGGAGGAAATGCATTGTTAATTCTAAAGCTGTCTCTTGCCTCTTTATTAAGGCATTTAAAAATAGACAGGCAACATAAAATATTTTAAGAGTTTAAGTTACTCCCTCTCTTTTTCCTAATCAGATTTCACAGCAGGGTACTAATCCTATCCTTTCCACTCATCCACATATTCTTCCAAGAAAAGCACTGAAGACAAAGCACCCAATTCTAATTTCAGCAGACTATGAACTCTTTCTTCTTATCACACTCAACAAGAAAGCCTCAAATCCACTTTCCCTCAAAAGGTCACTTTCAAGACGTAGGAGACAAACCATCCTTCTTCTCATTTCATTACTGACACTACACAGAACTATATCCTGCCCTGGGGGAGGAAAAGAACTGTTTCACTGATCAGCAGGTTACTTGCAACCATTGCTAACTGAATAATCTGCTGGAGTATTCCTTATCTCCAGTGAAATGATTCCATTTGGCTGGGCTGGATTGCACAGAAGTGTCACCCACGTGCCACCTTCAGTCCTACTCACCCATCCGTGGCTGGTTTCTTGCGGAGGATGCTCGGGCGTGGGGAGGAGCCCTGGGCTGGAGCACTGGCACTGGCACTCTGGTTGTGGGTTTGCACAACTGTAGTTGCTGCAGAAGCAGTGTTGAAGGTGTTGCTGATAGGATTGGCTACAATGGTGGCTCCATCTGCCAAGACTACTGCTGGGAAGGATGGACACGGACACAGCAGAGACAAAAACAGACAGAGAGTGGAAAGCAGCAGTTACTTAATGGAATGTGATGACAAAGCAGGTGTCTGCAGAGCATATATTGTCCATTCTCTGAGTCCCTCAGTCTCTAGCTGCAGTGTTTTCAGACTCCTTTGTAAGCAGTACCGTTGCCATGAGCAATCTGATCACTGAACCTTCCACAGGGAAGACAGAAACTACTTCCTGCCTAACAAAAGCTTCTAGGGAAATAATCTTCTTTTCCAGAAGACAAGGAAAAGGCAGAAATCACTAGGGAGATCACCAACACAACTGGGTCAACACAGCAACACTTCTGGTAGAGCTCACGTGGCAACACATGCCAATTGTACATAAGCTACATCAGCTGTGTTTGCATTCTGACCTTCTGCCAGAGCCTGTTTGGCCAACTGAGGGATGCAGAGCATGTAGATTGCCAGGAAGTCACTGTGCAGTGCCTGCCAGCTATGCAACAGCATATTGTCTTGGATGCCACATCCCATTCCTCCAGTAAGTTGTTGGGGCTTCATCAGACCAGTCATTTATAATGAAAGACGGGTTTCTGTCACAGCTCAAGATCAGGTTATCAACAGCAGAAGGTACCTGGCTGTATTCCAATTGCTCTGGGATCCAGTGCACAGCCAGAGGGCATTGCTCACTTGTGAGTTACTCTTCCTACAAGGCCTCACTGAAGGCCTTTGTTTAAGCTCAGGCACTACCACCCAAGTAACCCACCCAAGGCTACCCACGCACTCCACTTAGCACGCTTTACAAAGAAACCACTTCAGAAACAGGCAACAGGTATTTGCTGGAAGAATACATGCATGGATGTATTCAGTGACCACAGAGACTGTAACAACATCATCAGCCAGAGCCAGATGTGCAGGACAGCAGCTCAGCTGCTCAAGTCAGCACTCGGCAGGTTGCTCTTACCTGAGGTCTTGGTGTCGCCCGGCGGCTGCTGGGCACCGATGGGTGCTGGCTGCAGCCCCTGCGCGCCCATGGGTGCAGCAGGGTGCAGCCCTTGGGTCCCAATGGGTGCTGGCTGGATGCCCTGGGCACTGATGGGGGCTGGCTGGATGCCCTGGGCACTGATGGGGGCCGGCTGGATGCCCTGGATGTGGCGGGCGTGAGATGCATCCACTGTCATCAGCTGCATGGGGTTGAGGTGCACAGTGGAGGCCACTCCCACACCGGTCTGAGCTGTGATGGCCGAGTTGGGCGCCTGGGCTGAAACTGGGATGACACAAACACCTCAGCACCAGGCACCTCAGCGTCCCCTACCACCTCCTGCTCAAATACTAACTTTTCAAAGCCTTTTTTTTTTTTGCTTTGAAATTAATTTGCCAGTGTGCTTGCTGCAGTAGTAAATATGAGAGTAGAGAAGATTGTCTGCCAGAGGAATTAAACACTACTCTTGATTTTTACTCCATTTTTTATTTCTAATTGCAGCAAGAGAGAAAAGATTAGTTTAACTCTGCTTTTATGCAGACTCAAATTACAGTCACAGAGTGCTGTGTTCTATTTTTGCTCACCATGGTATTTTACAATGCTTGTAAGTACCAACACTTGCCATTTTTTGCTGCTTAAAAATAGATTAAAAGTAATCAGAAACCCAAGTAATTTCTTGTGCTCTGAAGATGACTCAACTCTGAAGTTGAACACAACCTTATCTGGCCTCAGAACAGGGCTCACAGTTATAGGCTGGATCCCACAGCTCAAATGAACACAATTATCTTTCAGTGGCAGAGCAATGTTCCCAACAATACACCTTCTCTAAGTAACTCAATTCATTTATATAAATTCACAGCTCTGAACAACTGATTCCATCTTTTCAGATCCACTATGCAGTGCATTACAGTTCTCCCATGCAGCACTTAAATAATACTTTTGGACCCCTTGCAGATCCTGGATCTCCAGATTTCCAGGCTCTGCAGAGCTGCACCAGGATTTCTGCAGCCACACACAGAATGCAAGTGTGAACTTGCCAACAATGGGCTTGCTTGCTAACAATGCAGAACAAGCTGGTTTTATCATTGTCACCAGATTTCCATCAAGTTCTTGTGCTGACAAGACACTCTAAAAACAGGCATCAAAAACTGAAACCAGGTCCCTGAAAATGGCTCTGTATAAAGTATGGCACATTTATTCTCTTAGTCAAAACACTGTTGTTGCAAAACTTTCTATGCAACAAAATCCTTTTAGGATACCAAGTAAAACACAACCAGCATTTATAAAACCAAAGCTAAGATTCTTCCTCCAAAATCCTGCATTAATTCTCCTTATCTTGGTGATCTTTTAGAAAGTCTCCTCTTTACATCCTCTGTACCCTCTCCCAGCTGGGCTCAGCATAGGTGTACCTCCCTCATCAAACCCTGAATGCTTTAAGTTGCCACCACCAGCTGCCATAATGATTACCTTCCATGGATTCTTCAAGTCAATTTAGCAAGTAAAATGTCTCTGTCAGTAAGCTCCTGATCAAGAACATATATCTGCATTTATACAAATGACCATTAGCCTACCACCACCCCAGTATGCCTCCAGAACTGGAACCCCTGACTGTGTGCAGTTATATTCTGCCAGGGAAGGTTTAGATTGGATATTAGGAAAAAATTCTTCACATAAAGGGCTGTTAAGCCCTGGCACAAGCTGCTCAGGGAAGTGGTAGAGTCCCCATTCCTGGCAGTATTTAAAAGATATGTGGATGTGTCACTTGGGAAAATGGTTTAGTGGTGGCCTGAGGAGTGTTAGATTAGATGATCTTAAAGGTCTTTCTCAGCCCACAGAACCCTATGATTCTGCACTTTCCCCCTCAACAAACAGGCTTTGCCACCTCCCAGTCCTTCTGAATTTCCTCTGTACTGCTCACAGGTACCATGCTGCCAGCAGATACAGATGGGCCATGAAAATCCACATCAGGCATGTTCCTGCAGTCTGGAGAGTGCATATCATCACATTATAGAGAACAGCCCTGGGCGATCCCAAAAGGTAAAAACGTTCCAAATTTTGTCACACAATGACATAAGTTTGGGTTGTGGATCATTTTTTTGACTGCGACTGTTTTTACTGTGACTGTTCAAATACATTAATTGCTCCATTTTTCTAAACAGAACACTAATGCAAATGTTCAATGAAAGTTAGTTTTCCCCTTTTTGGTTCAAGTTTCTGTCTCAAACTGTACACTTACATGAAAAGATATTAAAAGAGCTTATCAGAACACCAGGAATGAAGATGCATTGAAGGGCTTGGTTTGGAGGAGTCAAACTGTTTTGATTTGTAGACTCAAAACTTTTACTTATAGACACACAAATATAAAGCTCCTGAGAAAACTGCTATTAGCTAGATTTATTAGGCTCTGAAGTAGTTCAGCACCCCTTGTCCACGAGTCTCCCTCTCTGGCAACAAATCATCAGAGACTTTTTGTGACTAATTGTCAGAGTCAAGCACAAATCCTTTCAGTTCCTTCCATCACTAAAGCACATCCATGAGCTAAAAGCTCAACAAAGCACCCGAGGCTGCCTGCCCCAAGCCGGGCTTACCTGGGTACTGGCGGATGGTGGACACAGAGCTGGTGATGGGGGTGTAGGTGTGGGCAGTCAGAGGGTAGGCAGAGGGGGGGTAGGTAGGTAAGAAATACTGGAACTGGACAGGCACCGACTGCCTACAGGCATCAAAGAGAGCAAATGTTACACAGAGTTCAACAGGCAACCTGCAACCCCTGCCCTTTAGCACTCCCTGTGCATTCCAATCTCATTTGTCATAAGCTACCAAATTACCTCAACTATCATAATTGATTCAAAACTACCAAATCCCATCCCCCATCCCCCACCTCCCCCCAGGTTTTTACAATGTTATTTCCACCATAGCAGAACGTAAAAAAGCAGCAGCACACTCAAACCCTACTCACACACACTCTCACTGGTAAAGCTGTTATTTCTGTGCCCACCTGTTGTCATTTCTGGTTTCCATTGCTACTGGATTTGGAGATGCCCGGTGGCTGGACAGAGGTATGAGGTTGCTCCTCTCTGCTGTGTAATCAGACTGGATCCGGGGAGAAGTGTGTGTGATTTGCTGGGGAACCACTTTAGCTGCAGGGAGACAAACAGGGCATCAACTGACAGTCAAAGGAAAGACTGGTACACCCTGCAAAGGCAAGGTCACAAAACAACCAACACTACTCCCTTCCCTCTCAACCCAAAGCAACCCACCCCATCCACAGATGATTTCCTATCCACAACAGGCCAAAGGAAAAGGAGAACAAAGCATTTCTCATCAATTTATATCAGAATGGATGGATATTCTAAATACATAGATAAATTATACTTGCTAACAAAGTCACTTCAGTGCTCAGATTAAGTTAATTTTTTTAGGATCAGCCCAAACCATTCTGATGTCAAGAACAAGGTATCTGAGTTTTGAAAGCAGAGATCAAGGGAAATGAGACCAAGTCAGACAATTGTGTGTGGACAGAGGCCACAAAAAGGAAGAAAACACCTACAAAAGCTTTAGAAGAAATACTGATGCATGAGATACAATTTCACTCCTTGGAAATTTATGTCAGGAGAAGAAATTACAAGATTTTAAAAGAACAAAGTCAGCAGGAAAATAGACAAACAAAAGGAAACTTATGCAGTTCTGCAGGAAACATCTCAGGCACATTCCACATCCAGGCAAATAAAGTTTCCACCTTTTGGCCTTTGTGTTTTACATTCAAGTGAACAGACTAATCAAATCCAGCTAGGCTATATCTAACACCTCAAGAAGCATGTGAAGTAACTTACAAAATCAACTATGAAAGCCATAGACTATCACCAAGCAGTTAAAATTTTAGAGTATCCAGTGCAGGTTTGGAAATGCCAAAAGGCCCATATTTGTCTAAAAATTTAACAGAGAAAGTAAGTGAGCCATTTTATTACCTGCTCCTCCTAGAACATCTATTTCTTCCTGGTATTAAAAAAATTGGAACAGGAGACCTGTTAATTGGTTTCTCCCAGCTTGAACTGATTTTCTTTCCCTCCTTAATTTGCTAACATGCACAACCACTTCAAGCATACAGGGAAAAACTGAAGCATCAGTTACACATTTTTCTGAGAACTGAAATCACTCACCAACTGGGATGTTTGAGGTGGTGACAGCTGTAGCATGGGAAGAATGTGAGGGCATTGTCATGGTAACAATGGTGCTTGTAGGCGCTTGGGTGTGAGAAACAGAACCTGAAGAAAAAAAAAAACCAAACTTAATGGGAGATCCTTCTTTGGAGCCCTACTGTCAATGTATCTACATCCCCACACCAGACAACCTCCCTGAAGAACTCAGTAATTTCTCTCCTGAAGCCTGCTCATGCACCTCCAAATGCAGTCTTTACCATGATAAAAGATTTGCTCAAAAATGATTGGTTTCTAAATTCAAAGAAGAAAACCAACAAAAAGCAACAAACCCCACCCCTCACAGTGCTCCCACAACAGTATTATGGATACTCACCAGCTGTGGTTGCTGAAGCAATGGTATTCGTTGCCAAAATAGGTGCCACAGTTGCTGCTGCCACTGGAGTACCAGTACTGAAAATTGTTTTCTATGAAAAGAAATTATTAAAGTTAGAAAACAACTACATTGAAAATCTATATTTAGTATGGAATCACCTTGCACTGACCGTGCAGAACATTAATTTCTAAGTCCAGAATTCAATCTTAGCCTGCAAGCTATAAACAAGAGACCTCCAGAAGCAGCAAGAGGGTTTTGCTGCTGGCAGTTTACCTGGGCCATGGTGTGGAGCTGTGGTTTCTGAGTGCCTATGGCTGGGTGTGAGGGCAGTGTGATCCTCGTGGCCGTGTCCCGGGGCTGTGCTGGCCGCTGGATGCTGATGGCTGCAGAAGGGGGGTGCTGGATGGACAGCGTGGGGCGGCTGCAGAGGGACAAAAGTGATCATCAACAAAACCTTCTGGGCACTGAATATGGAAGATACAACACAGGGACACACACCAGGCCTCGTTCTCCTCGCCAGTGACAGCAGTGCTGCTGCCAGTCACATGGCAAAGCAACAGGAGGAATTTGAGCTACCCTGCTCTGTCCTCATGTGCCCTGTGTACCCAGCCAGGAGGGCAGTCTTATCACAACTCTTATCAGTTCAGAAAGGGAACTTCATTTCAGCATTCATGTATCACTTTCCACTGTGGCTTCGTAAAAAATGTACGTCAATATCCACAAGTTCCTGCAACACAAACTCTGCTGCCCAGGGAGCAGCACTTCCAAAGTGATTCATTAAGGTCTTTCCTTCTCATAACGCAGAGCAGCAGTTCATGCTTATACCCATTTTTATTCCCAGAACTGCAAGGATTTGCACTGTGCAAGCATTACTATTTTGGTTTTCTATCATCTCACAAGTAGAGGATTATCAGCTCTGGCTGATTAACATTTCCCCTTGCTGCAATTTCTGTCAAATACAGAGTTTCTGTAGGTTTTACCTCAGGGTTGACTCTGTGGCATGTGCTGCTGTTGTGGTTATAACAGGGGACTGAGCTCTTGTGGCTGAGACAGTTGCCACCACTGCAGGAGGAATAGTGCTTGAAGTTGTCACAGGAGGACGAGACTATTATTAAAAAAAAAAAGAAAAAAAAAGTGTCAAACAGAGAACATTCAGAAAGTAAATTCTGCTGTTTAGAAAACAACTAGGAATTACTTGGTTCAAACTGGCTTCCCTGCACCTTGTCACTAAGTTTTGGCATTCTGAGACATTTCCAGTCTTTGTGAATTGATCTGCAAGCTCCTAAGGAGAGCTGTCCTGGTTTTCAACAGACATACAGCACAGGAATCAGTAACCAACAAAGTTAACAAGGCCAGATTTCTTCAAAGTCTTTAGGAAAAACCTCAAAGGTCAGTTGCCTTCAGAATGAAAAGAAATTCCAATCCAAGTGCACACATGAAGTCAGAGGTGATTGGGATCCTAACTGAAAGCACAGTGTGAAGATGTTTAACCCTCTCTCCAAAGGCTGAACACTAGAACTGCTGTAGGGAGACAAGATCTACAATGTTCTCCTTACACACATACAGAAGCATATTACAGTGAGATTTCAAAAATTCTACATCAATTCATATATTGAACAATAAATCAACACCAGCACATTGCACTGGACTTTTCAGACTTTAAAACTTGAGCGTGCCTGAATGAAATTGTCTTCCCAGTTTCTAAGCACTTTGGAGACAGATTAAAACCCACCAAGCCTATGAAGGAAATATAGAAAATGGAGCTGGCAGAGAGCTGACAGTAGCCTGAGCCCAGTGAACAGGCAATTAGAGGTTATACATTACAGACAGTGCCAGGAGGTGTTTGGAGCTGGCAGGCAGTGATGTGCCCTGGTGCTACCTGCCTGGATTGGCTGGTGAATGATGTGCTGAACTGCTGGCTGGGCTGCAGCTGCATTTGGCAACTGGGAGGCTGGTCTCAGCACTGTAGTTACTTTAGAACTGGACATCACTGCAGCAGCTGCTGCACCTGGGGAAGAAACCAAGCATGTTAAAATTCTGTGCACCCAACAGCTCCGTCACAACCACAGACAGACCCTGACATCAGCTGGCATTTCAGTTCTAGTGCATTTCATATGTGATGTTGGTGTTAAAATAAGGCTTCCAATAAATATACACAAGGTTTACAAAAGCATGTGTGGAGGGGTAGGTATTTTAAATTAATTTGCTTTGAGGTATTTCTTATTTCCCTATAATAGCCTTGTATTGCAAATCCCATGTTTTCTTATTTTAAGCTACAGAGGTCAGTAGAAATAATTCAGTTTTATTACTGGACCAATGTGTAAATAAGTCACCTGATACCAGCAATGATCTCACTGCAGCTGACAAAGTTCAGAAGTAAAATACACTTGGCAAAAGAAGGAAACCAAAGAACAAGGAAACACCACACAGAACAAAACAAACAACTACACCTCCCCCACAAAAAAAACCAAGACCAAAACTCCACACCATTTAAACCTGCAATTTATTAACTTGTCTCCTGTCTGATGACTCCTGATCATAATAAATCATAGTAGCATGCAAATAGCTTTGCAATCAGTTGATGGACTGGACTGCATACCTTCTGTACATGTCCTCCATTGAAATTACTACCTCAAAAGTTAATATTCAAACACAGAGAAAAAGAGCAGGGAAAAAAAGAAAATGTGTACTGAGAGTCAAAGTCTGTGGCAGCTGTCCTCTCAGAATGAGGTGAACAACACTACTGTAGCTACAGATAAACCTCTGCAGTCCTTCCACCTGCTCTAGTTAAAGATTATGCTTTTGCTCACATCAATTTATTTTTCTCGAGTGAGAAAATAACACCGAGCATAAAAGGAAATAAAACTGACAAATGGTCCTTGGAATTCAGATCAATTTAAGGCTGAACTGCAAACCTAAGCCATAAGACTTTGAAAGCAAAGCTCAGTCAGAAATCTGACAGGCTGTACTGAGCACATGGCTGCATTAAGGGGCTCATCTCCTGTTTTACAAGCTGTAGCATCCAAAATCCTGGGAAACAAGAGCCCGTAGTTATCACCAGCATTTAACTCACAGAGAAATGCAAATGCACACAATATGATGTGTTAGCATGCATAACAATGCATGAGTGGTCCTGTGACAGAGGGATACAAGAATGTGGCTCACAACTGCCCAGTGCCCCTGCCATAGGTGAGCCAGACTTGCTACCCAGAATGTACACCACATTTTGCAGGGCAGGTGAGTCTCTAGCAGTGGACATTAACAGCAAAGAATTAGAATAACAGATATGCTGGTACCTGTCAACATTTTAAACACTGTCACATGGTCCTGCCCTAAATGGTTGAAGGCAACATAATTCTTACAACGCCAGGAGTCACTCACTCATGCTAGCAGTTTTAGCTGCATTAGCAGTGAGGAGAATTTCAGAGGTGTGGGCTAAATGCTCCAGCTGAGAGGCTGAACAGAAGGCAGGGACAGCACAGCTGGATCTTTACCTCGGGGCAGATGGGAAGCTCCAATGTGCAGTGGAGGCCCAGGAGCACTGCTCCTGATGATGGACATCTGCACGTTGGTGGCCATGATGTGATGCAAGTTACTGGGATGCCCCTGCAGAGTTCAAGAACAAAACAAGTCAGCTGTGTTGACAAAAATTAGCCACAGAATTACCATATCTCAGCCTCAGAACAGAAAACAGATTTTAGAGAACCACTTGTGTACCAAGGCTGCATGCATTAAAAGCTGAGTGGAGAAAGAGGCAGGTGTTTGTACATGATAAAGCTACAGAGCCTGCTGACACTGGGAGATGTAAACACTTCTCTGTTTCACTGGTCTGGTTTGATGGCTGGTACTTGGGTGACAGTCACCCAGCAGCCACCCACAAACAACCACAGAGTTGGCCCTTCTAGCATTGGGGATATTAAGGCATAGTTTGATACCACCTCTCCAATAAAGTTGAGAGAATGGTAAAAACCTGGCAAATGCTGGAACAATTTTTTTTTCATAATTCTAGACTTCCTAAGGATATTAATACAAGATAAATCCACTGAAATTGCTGCACATCCTTAGCCAGACTAAATCAAGTCCACCAAAAGGCACTTTACATCAAAACCTTGAGAGGTTTAGTAATGAGTGCTCTAACAAACTATTTTCAAACCACCAGTTTGAAACCACTGGCTCTGGAGTCAATTTAGAGGAGAAAAAAAATATTCAAAAGTATTATCTGTACAGGTTCCCTCAAATTTTGTCACTCCTAGTTCAATGTCACTCCTAGAACACAGTGCAAACCCATGAACTGTTCACTAGTATCTTCTGATCTCTTCCTGGGGAAGCTGAAGAACACTGCAATAATGAATCCCAGCAGTTTCTCTGCAGTAGAAATTCTCCAAGTGACACTGACACAGCAGGAGCTTTTAAGGAAAGACCCAGCTTTTGGGTATGGCTCTTCCATCACAGCCTGGCTGTGCTATCTCAGCTGGATGATTCCAACAAATCAGCAGCTTTGTAAAGAGGTAGTGATAACCAAGACTGAAGTTTAATGGTCCAAGCAGAACTGATCCAACAACCAGTAGCACTGAAAAGGGAAACTTGCTCTCTTGACCTTCCCTCCTGCTGCAAAAGCCCACCTCAGCTGTACTTGCATTGATCTGACCATGCAGTGAGATGGAACAGAAAAGCCACCAAAAAACCACACCTGTTGCCCACTGATAGTTGCCACAGGGATTGTTGGTGCCTGTGGTATGCTGCTTTCCATGGTCACTGTCACTTGCCCAGGGACCTTGGTGGGAGCTGAGAGAGTGGAGGGTGGAGCAGGAGCAATGGGCCGGCTGGGCATGGTGGGCTTCAAGGGAGGCTACAAGAAATGGAAAGATAAAAACATTGGCAACTTCAAATGAGAGCTCAGTGTTGAAGCAGCAATCATTCTGTGGGGTCAAAGCCTGAGGAGAAAGTTTATGCAAGTATGGCTAAATATTTGGAGAGGAAAGATATTGAACATTTGGTTATTCTAAACAAAGAAAGGGCATATTTTGTCCTGGAAATATGCAGGTTCTAGCATGAGCCATCAGTGGAATCTGTCGGGGCTCTGGTACTGCCCCACAGCCACTGGATATTAACAGTTAACTTGACATCCTGCAGAGAAAATGGAAGACTTCAGAAACTGATTGAAACCACTGATCCCCTCAAAGATAGAAAAAATACACTCCCCTCAAAAATAATGCTGAAATACCAGCAAGTCCTCAGTGTATCACATGGAACATCCAAACCCACAAGGCACTGCACAGTTAGCAGAAGCATGCAAGAAAAGCTTTAGAAACAAAAGCAGAGAAGGTTGTGATGCAATTTACTTTTTCTCAACACTGACTCATACAAAATGTATTTTTTTCCCTGATGAATCCTCTCATTACCTTCATAAGCCCATCTGAAAAAGAAAGTGGCACGGCTGGAGTCAAATGTGCTGGTGGTGCTGTCACTGTCACTGGGGCACCAGACTGGACAGGGTGGTGCTGGGTCAGCATCTGGACCTGTGGGTATGGCCGAACCACCACGGGCTCCTGCTTCTCCTCCCGAGGCTGGATGGAGCCACTGGGGCCCATGTGCTCTCTGGGAGCAACTTCTGACTCACGACTAGATTCGTCACTCACTGCTGAAACAAAAGAGAAAAAGGTAAGAATTGGTAAAAAGTTTGCTTTAGTCACCCATTTGGTCAGAGAGGAGATGTCAGAAATATCTAAATTAAAGAAGCTCACTCTTACAATTAAACATATTCCAGTAATGAAAAAACTGGCAACTCTGGCACTGCTTCTGTCTGCTCCCCTCAGAATTGATGGGTGTGGGCAATGTTGGGCAACCTGGGGTCAACTCTGAGAAGTCCATCTAAACACCTTCTTTAAATGCACATTGACTAACTTTTCTTTCAAGTGAAAAATATTTAATCATCTAAGTAGCTGCCATTAAGTCCCACATCAAACAGCATGAAAAACTGCATTTAATGCAACATGTATATGAATATTGAGCTGAAAAACAAGTATAAACCCTCCTGAAAATGAAGCTGCTGTTTCTGAAAACCTGTCACCGTGGCAGGGACAACAGGAGCTGGAATCACAGCTCCCAACCAATTTCCAGCTCCACGAGATGCTCCCGTGTCCACTCATCGCTTCTGCTAAGGACACAGAGCGACCGAGCTGAGCGGGACGGGCACCCGCGCACGGGCACTGGGCAGCCAAACGGCATCCATCCATCCATGCATCCATCCATCCATCCATCCATCCATCCCGGTTCTGCCGGGGCTGGCCGGAGCCAGCAGCCGCTCTCACTCCCCGGTGCTCTCCCCGCACGGAGCGGCAGCAGCTCCCAGCCCGGCCGCCACAGCCCGCGGGGCCGCCCCGCTCCTGCCGCCCGAGGCGGAAGAGAATGATGGACGGGGCGGGGACACCGGGATCGCTGCCCGCCCCCGGAGCCGCCAGACGCGGGGCAGGGGTCGCGCTTACCTGTGGCGGCGGGGGTGATAATCCCGGCGGAGCCGCTGGTGGGGATGGGCGGCGGCGCTGGTCCCAGGGCGGCGGGAGGCGCGCCCGAACGGGGGAACTGCTGCGAGCTCATGTCACCTGCGGGTTGGCAGCGCGGCCGTTATGTCGCGACACGCTCGGCCCGGCGCCGCCGTCCCCGTCCGTCCCCTCCCTCCCTCCTCCCGCTCTCCGGGCGCGGCCCCGCGGCCCCACCCACCCCGGCGCGCCCGCGCGGGCGGGTTCGCGCGGCGCCCGGCCAATGGCGGCGGGGCGGCGCCGGCCAATCAGCGCCCGCCCTGCGCGCCCCGCCCCGCCGCGCCGCCGCGATGGGCCGCAGGGCCCGGATGTGCCCGGCAGCGCGACGGCCCCGCCGCCTTGGGCCGGGCCGCACCGTGCCGCTCTGCCCTGCTTGCGTCCCTTCGCGATATCTCCTCAGCAGCGCTTCCGCCAGCCGGAAGCTCGATCCCCCCCCGCCGCCGTCGTGCTCTGAAGCAGCGGCCGCCGCCCCCTACCCGCAGCTGTTCGTCGGAGCCACCTTCAGCCCGCAGATCTGGGCGATGTCGTGCACCGGCCGCGGCAGTACCTGTGCCCGGGGCGGTGCCGTGCGCCGGTCCCTGAGCCCCGTCGCCCCGCGTCGCTGCCGCTGCCGAGCGCCGCTTCCGCCGCTGCAGCTACCCTCACCCGATTGGCCCCGACCGGCCCCGCCCACCCTTGGCTGCCGGATTTCATTGGCTGCCGAGCCCGCCCCTCGGGGCCGCCGGGAGGTGTAGTCCGCTCTGGGGTAGTGGCGGGCACAGATCTCGCGAGGCGCGGGAGGGGCGGCGCTGTGCCCGAGCGCGCCATTGGCCGCGCGTCGCGAGGTCTCCGAGGAGACGCGGGGTGGGCGGGCCAGGCCGCGGTCACCCCCGGGCCGCGCCCTCCAGCCGGAGCCGCCCACGGCCCTCACGGACCGGCTCTGCCCGCGACCCCCAAACCCCCCGCAAAGTCCCCAACACCCATCCTGGGAAATGACAAGAGGACGTGGCGGGAAGACATTGGGAATCCCTGGGGAGGGCACGAAGCGAGTTTGCACCCCAAAAACATCCTAAAACCTCCATAATTCGGGCGGTCCCTCAAAACTCCCTGGAGGAGCCCAAGGTGCTCCCCGCAATCCTGGGAAGGGACACAAGGACATGGAGGGGCACTGGGAATCCCTGGGGCTTAGCACCCCAAACTCCCTAAAATTCGGGGGGTCACCATTGCACCCCGCATTCACCGAAGTCCCCAACCCCCATCTTGGGAAGGGACAAGGGGACATGCGCGGGACACCCCACCCTCCCCTATCACTGGGATAGAGGAGGAAAATAAGTAATAATTTTAAAACCCCCGTAAACCTTGGAGACGAGGCACATCACAGCCCTGAGAGACAACCAGAGTAGGGCTGCCTCGGGTTTGGCTACAGACACATGAGAACACCACCATTTTTCATATTGTCATGTTTCGAGGCTCAGAAATGAAATCAACCAGATACCTGCCACTTTCAGAGTTTTAACAATGTTTTAAAATGAAACCAGGAAATAAACCTTTGAAATTTCAGGATAACACGTAAGTAATCCCTAGATCTGCCTCGCAAACCTTAGTGTTTGTGTTGTGAATAGCAGCTGAGGAAGCTCTGGCCACGAGCAGTACTTTGCTGCGGTGGGACGCCACTCTCCAAGATTCCTGCCTATCCTGCGGTACAGCTCACCTCCTAAACAATCCCTTACCCTTTGCCTGGCTGGATTTACAGCTCGTTTCTGACTTTCCACGTGTTGAGACCGCAGTTGTGCCGCTGCACTGCGTGCCTCAGGAAGGCACCGGTAAGGACACAGAACGCTCAGAGGGCGCGGCAGGGGCAGCTGGGCACGGAGCACGCACACAGCGGCACCTGCGGCACGAACGAGGCAGTTCTGATCGAGAAGGTGTAAACGGTACAGAGAACACACACGAAGAACGACTGTTCTTTAATCTGCCATATGCTGCTTTCAGTTCCTCCCCCGTCTTTACACTGTGAATAAACGCGCAACTGAATAAACTGTTGTTTGCGCAGGGTCTCCTTCCAGCAGCGCAGCTTCCACCTTTGCCTCGAGCGGTACCTCCTCGGACCGAGACCGCACAGCAGTCCGGGAGGAGCCGCCGCTGTGACCAGGGCCCTTCCCCGGGGCCGGGCCCCGCCGTCACTGCGCGGCGCCGCGCGCCCTCGCCCGGAGCGGAAGCGGAAGCGGCGAGGGCGGCGGGAGCCGGGCGGGCGCGCGGCCGCTCGCAGGTGCGGTACCGCGGTTCCGGGCCGCGCGCGGCGGGGCCGTGAGGGAGCGGCGGCGGCGGAGGGGCGGGCCCGGGGCAGCGGGCGGCCGGGGCGGGCCCCGCGGAGGGGAGCCCGCGCACCGGCGGGGTCCCTCGAGCGGCCTCCGCGCCCCGCGGGGGTCGGTCGGTCAGCGGGATCGGGGAGCGGCAGAGGCTGTGTGTGCTCGGGTTTAATGCCCCGCACCTTTAACGCCTTGAGGGCCGGGCTGAATGTGTGCTTTGAGCCCGGAGCTGCCGTGCGGCTGCTCAGCGCTTCAGTGAGATGATTTCTAGTCATGGGCTAACCGGTTACCGCCATGGTTCAGTTTCAGCACCCGTAGCACGGCAGCCTTTGAAAGGACGCTCTCGCCCGGAGCGCTCGGTGCTCGCTGCTGTCAGCGATCTTTGCCGTGCTCGGTGTCGGTCCGGCTGCCCCAGCGCTGTGTCTGCAGCAGGACTTGCCCCTCGGGCACGGCAGCAGCTCGCTTGCCTTTGCCCTTCCCCCGCTTGCCACCAGACTGACCTCGCAAGACATGGCAGGGAGCACTGGCTGTAAACGTGGGCTGGTTTATTCCTTTCCCCGAGGCTGGATGTGCAAGTTTCCAGGAGTATTTTAAACGGAGTAACTGGAAGAAGAATAAGGAGTTAAAAGATTTACAGCTGAGGCGTGAAAATTCCGCTTTGCGGTGTCGTAATTCAGATTGGGTTTTACTTTGTTACTTGGCACGGAGCTGGATCTCCTTGTGTCACTTACATTCATTCCCGTGCCTCTTGCCTCTTTTTCCATGGTGTATTTTTCTTTGAGATACCAGAATTCCTTTGTTTTATAGCTGTAATTATTGAGGGCTTGTAGATATTTCTGATCTGTAGATTTTCAGTTGGCTAAAATGTGTCAGGTGACAGATGTGTCCTTTGGTCTCTTTCCTGTTTCATACAGAAAAAAGCTTTTATTTCAGTCTTTCCTAGAGTGGGAAAGCAGGCACAAGAGAGCAGCATACGAGCTTTAGTCATGAGAGTGCTGTTCAGTATATTCATTTGCCTATCCCAAACTCCAGTGTATGATTTGCAGAGAATAAGAAGGACCCATCTCTGTGAGGAGCTGTGCACTGTAATTTTTTTTTTGTTGCGCTTGGCAGAAGCCAAAGTTTCACTCCACAAATATTGGCTGAGCTTCCCCCTGTGCACACAGGGAGTGATGGCTGTGACCATTCTGTGATGCCATCTGTCTGCTTCCCAGGTGTGGCATAAAGCAAATGTCGTGTGCAGCTGACCAAGCTGCTCTTTGGAGATCACAGCAGGAATTTCTGGCTTTATCCCCAGAGTAAGAACAATGTCTGAGTTATTGCTGGGAAACATTTGCCTGGAGGGGTGTAAACTTTTAGAGAGTAGGATTCAGTTAATTTGTCTATGTATATATACAGGTAGCTTAGAGCTACAGATATATAACCCTATTCTTTTTATTGAGATTGTAATAAAAAAGAGACAGATGTCAGATCCTGGCAGGTTGTTGGGTGTGATACATGTAGAATTGCAGTAGGACAATTGATTTCAGGTGCAGGGGCAACACAGAAAAGGAGTTATCCAGGGGAAAAAAAGATAAAGAAATGAAAGAGCACTTGAGTGCACATTGGGGATGTAATAAATATAAATATACTATAGTCAGAGAGGGGCAGAAAAAGCTTGAACTTTTGGAGACTTTAATGGAAAGCCAACAGAAGGATTCAGGTCTTCTCTAAGCTTAAGAGTTGTGGGCAAGGAAATTCCACTCGTCTTTGTTTTGTTGTGCAGGCCAGAGAATACAAAAGCTTGAAAATACACAAAGGACAATAAAGAAATGGCATAATTTTTTTTTCTCATTTCTCACAGTAGGTTGCATCATTTGAGTCTGTTTGCATTATTTCATTCATTTTTTCAGCTTTTAAATTTGGCGGTGCTTAGTGCAGCCAGGAAATCCTTGTTTCTTCATTCCCCAAAAATCCTAAAGGACTGACTGGGGAGCCTCATCCTTGCTTGGCTCATCTGACTCTGGTTAGTGCACAGCTGCTGGCTCTGTGCTAACACAAAGTGTTATTTTACCTGCATAAAATGAACAGCAGGTTGTTTTCCCACCCAATCTGAAATGTGTGCAGTTTGCAATACCTCTTAAAGCAAGAAGTCTGTGGTGTTGGTGTCCTGGGACAGAAGCAAGCTTATTTGAAATCATAAACACAGAGGAAACTGGAATTGATCTAGGTTTAATTGCATCTCAGGAGTAAGTTTGTAAATTCCTTGCCTCTCTTCAAGTTTCTGATTTTGTAAGGCCAGGTGAGAGGATGATCATCTCATTAATGTATTGCATTAAATGCAGTCTTAAAATCTTAACATAGGTCTCAATATATTTGAGATCCTGTATTTGTAAGAAGAGACAATGCAAGACTTACAATTCTCCTTCATCATTTTCAGTCTTCTGTAAAATGGGAATACTTATTGCAGTTCTTGGAATCTGGTTCAGCTCTTCACTTGTAAAAGCAGATTCTAAGGCTGTAACAACCTCTCTAACTACAAAGTGGTCTTCAACTCCTTTACTCCTTGAAACAAGGTAAGTGCATTGTGATTTTTTTCATAGTCAAGTCAGAATATGCTTAGAGGATAAAGTAAAGTGTTCTCTTTGTTTTGTGGCACTTTGGTTTCTGGTCACTGCCAACAGTAATAATATGGGACCGTGATCACTGCTGTGCATGGGGAGATGGGAGGAATATTTTAGAGGAGCCAGTAGTAGGGTTTTTTTGTGTGATAAATTTCATTTTGCATTAGAACAAACATTAATAACCATAAACAATTATATAGTTGGTATTTTTTGCCTCATGAAGTTCTACTCAAAGCATTAGATAGAGGAGTTCAGCATGGTCTTGTAAGATTCCATAGCTGAGTGTATTTTACTTCAGTGTTGTAGGTTTTGATACACGTCTGCTGCTGGTGTGTATTTAGCTTGGTAAAGCTTAACTTTGTTCATGTGAGTTTTGCATTGATTAAAGTCAATTGCTTTGTTAAGAATTGCGCAAGTCACCCTGGGAACATTTCTTCGATGGTATTGAACACTTTTTTTAAAAGATGTTGTGTAAAAAGAAAGTGAAATGCTGTCTTTTCAGTGCCAGTCTGCTTAGCACTTTCGAAATTCCTCATTGCTTAATCTTGCCATGTTTTAGTTTGGAGATGTCTGTAGGACTTAAAGAATTTTAAGCTCTTGTGTGCTTAATTTTGTATCCCTTAAGGGTATTGCCAAATGTGGAGTTCTGTCTGTTTTACTGTGTATTGTTTCACATGAAAATAGTTGAGCATTGCTGGGTTTCATGAGCGTGGCTTTCATTCAGAGGACTGGTGTGTCCTATTTGAAATTACTTTTCTGTAACCTTCTCTGGAGAAGCTGAAGACTGAAAATTCTTTAAGCAGTAAAATGCAAAGCACAGGTTTTAAATGCCAGGATTTAGATACTGTGATACTGCTGGGTAAAAACTCAACCTGAGAGAGTGTGAAACAGCAAACAAATAATGAAAGTAATCCGCCAACGACTCGATCCATTGTATCCAAAGACTTTGGGTGGGGAAGGATTGTTCACCTGGGATGAAGTGCAGCATGATGCAGCACTGCAATGTAAAATCACTGCTGCTGGGCACTGCACTTGGCCCAGCACTGCAATTTGTTACCCAGGTATTCAATCCCTTGGATTGGAACACGCAAGTTACTGTGACAGTGAGCGGGCTCCAAATCTTCTGTTGTAGCATCCTTTAGCATAGCAAGTATGTTACAAATGTGGACATGATACAGTATTTGTAGTTAGCAATGTTTAGAGGATGAATTTCATTATCTAACCTTGTGTATGTACCCAATTATATGGAAATTATACCATGATTTGAAGCTGTGGCTTCTCCTTTTGCTTGTTTAAGAACAAGCAAACAGAAAACCTCCATCAAAGCTCATAATTACAGTAATCTACTGTTTGTTTCAGCAAAATAAACAAAAATGTGTGTTTCTCATAGAAGAGAGATAGCAAAGAAATGTATTAGGGAGGAGAGCTTCCAGGATGGACATTGCTGCCTGTTGTGGCATTTAAAGGATCAGTAGGTGCCTTACAAGCTGCTTTCATGTACTGTGTGTTTGCTTTTTTGGTTATCCTGGGGAGCTTTTCCTAGTTACACAGTTTTCTGGTATAGGTGGTAGATACTGACTTCTTTTAAAGCATTATAAGGTATTAGATTTGTAACTTGAGAGAAAATTTGTAGATCTAGCTCACTCTTCTCATCTTACCTAGTGAATTTTTATCAGAAGAAGGTCAAGAAAAATTCTGGAATTTTGTTGAAGCCAGTGAGAATATTAAGAGAGCTGAGCATGATGGTAAGTTTTTGTCTTTTTCTTGATGCTGACTGATAGTTGAAAAATATACCACAGTATTTTGTCTTCCATTGTGTTAGTCCTCATTTGACTTTTAAAATACTAATTTCAGTCATATTTTTTTGCTGTAATGTGCTCAAGGCTTTTGGATATCCATTTGACAAAAGCTGTAGTGGATGAATCTGAAACATTTTGCTTGCCAGGTTCTTTTTCAACATGAAGTATGAAATATTTTAAATGCCTGTTCTCTGTGTTACTATTTGTCAGCCAAAATTAAATGGGAGCTCTTAAGTGCTTCCCTCTTCCCCTGCCCATGATTACATCCTCAAGAATCTGTTCAGGTGGACTCTCCTGGATCTCTGTTGAAGTTCACTCTCATCCATCTGTAGAATTGGCTCTAATGAAATTGGAGGAGGAATGGTCATGTGCACACTCAGAATTAATGTCATGGGCTTCTGTTAGTATAAATCACACTAAGATGAGACTATGGGATGGAAAGATAACAGCTTGTACTTTGATTTTGCAGGCAGTGATTATTCTTCTTACCAGGAGATGCTGAAAGTGGCCTGCCAGACTCTGTCACCTTTGCAGCAGAATTTGTTGAAATTTTCCCTGTCTTTACGCTCTTACTCTGCAGCAGTTCAAGCTTTTCAACAGGTTAGTAGAGGAAATGCTCAGGTGATGTGCAGAGCATTTTACCAAGGCTCAGGAAGGAAGGAGCTGTGGAAGGAAACAATTGAGAGTACAAAAAAACCCTGCACTGATTAACTGCTGTGTACACCTGAGCTACAGAGTGGATGTATATACAAATCTCATGAGGTGCTGAATTTTTGTCTAGAGTACACTAAAGAATTGGCATTTTGACATGTTTGCATATTTTTGTGTCTGCTGCACTAAGAATTGGTGCAAAGATTTTTATTAGGACCATCTCTATGGCTCCACTGGTACTTGTGTTGCTGCTGTTGTTCCTGTTGCTCATCTGAACTTATTTAAAGATAGTAATCCATATATGTATATATATAGTGATTAGAAACATAAATGAAAGTTCATTGTGTTCTCTCTTCTTTTTTAATCTTGGGGTACAATATAATTCGTTGCAAATTGTCTCACATTAGGATGTGCTTTATTTAAATAATACTGTAAAACATCTTCCTTGTTTATCTGGAGTCATTTTGTCATTTGATATTTAACAAATACAGATGTTTGTGATGTCTAAGACAAAAAAAATCCCCTCAACCAAAACCCCTACAATTGCAAGCCTTGCTTTCTGTACCTGCAACTAACCTTACAGTTAATAGTAACGGGCTGAGAAATAAGTTAAGGTTTAATTCTCCATCTTGCAATTTCATCTTGCATTTAAATTATGTTATAAACATGGAAGAAGTACTAGTTTGGAGTGAAGGAAATATTGTTTGCTGCATAGCTACACTGTTAGAATTTTCACTTGTTCTAAGGGCAAACATTAAACCTACATTATTATAAATATTTTATACAGATAGCAGCAGATGAATCTCCACCAGAGGGCTGTACCCTGTTTTTTGTTGTACATGGGGAGAAAACATGTGAATTTGACTCTCTTGGAAACCTTTTACAGGCAGCTTCAGACAGGTATTTGCTTAATTTCCTATTACTGGGTTAGCTCTTAAAATGGAACCTGTTAGACTTAGAGCTGTGAAAAGGTTGTAATAAACTCATTGTTTCTGTGCTCTTCAGTGTTGATTTCTCCTGCCCATTATTGGCACAGGAGTGACAGTCTGTTATTTGGTGTTAATTCAGATTGCAATGATTGTTTTCTTATCCCTTGCTCTTTGATAGTTCTGCTAGGATAAGGAATGTGCACAGGAAAATTTGGAAGCAAATTCTGGAAATAGCTGGAAACGTTGAAGGACAGTAGGAATTCTCAGGAGTGTGTAGAACCTTCAGTATATAGAGAAAATTGAAGGAGCTGGGTTGCATAATAAAATGAGAGTTAATGTAATAAATTTTGTTTTATGAATGGCTGAAAGCATGCACAGAATTGTTTTCTCTGTATAGTTTTCTCAGCATTGACAAAGAAAACCATTACTACATAATATATTTAAAATTCAGATTTCTCTGCAAGAACAGAACTTGATTGTAGCTGCTAATAAGAAAAAGAAAGCATAAGATATAATACTTATTAAAAAAACCCCAACCAAATAACAAACCAAAACCAACCCAAATCCTTACATTTCGTTTGTTTTCATAATATGAAAACGTTCTTGTTTTCAATGTGATTTTTGTAAACTTGGTAACTTGGTTCTGTTAAGCATAAAGAGTTTTTTGTCAATGTTCAATATGGCATCTATAGCTCATGTGCTATTCTTCTGACTTATTTGGAATATTTTAAGTATTTCATTGCACTTTAGACAAAATGTGAATAAAGAAGCTGAAAATAGACTTCCCACTCACTTTCTTGTTTGTATACTAAGCCAAGAACCAGATTCAAATGAATTTGTGCCCTTAGCACATCTGTTCTATCAACCTTTTTAATTTTTCATATAGAATTTATGAATCACCATGGGGAGAGAAAGTTAATTGGAAATCTCAGGGAAGTTGTTAATTTTAAAGATTAGGATCATATTAGATTCAAAATGACTTTAGTCACTTGTTTCCTTTTCGTATGTTCGTTTTTCACAAAGTTTTTATCAATGTGCACCAAGTGCTGCCAGCCTTGATATAAAATGTGGGCATAACTTGATGTATGCATTCAGTGAAAAAATTATTTAACAGGAAAAAAAGTGCAACTTGCATTGAGTGAGGAAATGCTGTGACTCACACTGTGGCATTCTTCACTGTTTCCTCTTAGGCCAAAGCCATTTTTGTTCAAGGGGGACCACAAATACCCAGCATCAAATCCTGAAAGTCCTGTGGTCATACTTTATGCAGAGATTGGCTCAGAGGAGTTCTACAGACACCACAGGAGCCTTGTTTCAAAGGCTGAGGCAGGAGAAATCACTTATGTGCTCAGACACTACATTGCTGTGAGTATATTTGTGCATTGGAACAGAGGGTTTTGAAATCTAGTAACTGGCCTTGGTTTGCAAAAAGAAAACTTACCCACGTTTGTTCCCTTTAAATTGACATTTGCCTGCTGTTCTTCATTTACTTGGAATAGTCAAAGTTGTATTTTTTATTGCATGTAGCTGATTAATACAGAATATTATAATTATCTGATTGTTTAAGCAAGATTGTTTGATTTCACAAATCCAGGCTTAAATTCCAGATTAATTAGTGACAAGAAAGATGTTTCTCTATCCCTATTAGAGCACAGGAAATAGTCAGATCTTTCACAATCAGGCCACTTAGTTACTTTAGTTACTTGAGATAAAAAACAAGGATTAACATTAAGGTACCATTTTCAAAAGAAAGACGTTGTTTCTGTATTATTTTTTTTTATAGAACCACTTATTATTTCTAGTACAGTTTATCCTGGTTTCCATCTTCCTTCACTAAATCATGCATAGCCACTGGATTAGTATTTAAAACTACATTTCAAAAGGTGTGAAGAACTGGAGTTCTTTGTTGTATGAATATTACTAAGTACTTTCAAAACCTGCAGTGTAGCAGTCAGGCTTGAATGTGGAAAAAAAAAAGGGCATCAGTTGGTTCACTTCTAATATTACTTGTACTTTTAATAAAATAAAGTCATACATTGCATCCACCACTTTCCTTTTATGTTGTTTATCAGTATAGGGAGGAGTACTTACATTCAAAATTCAGTGTATTACACTTTAGATCTTGGTGCTGTTATGTGATTCCTGCATACTTCAAAACACTTTTAGAAAGTGATGATATTTCTGTCTTTAAAGGCAGAACTAATTATGCACCTGTCATTTGTCATTGTTCTATTTCTTGTCATTCTCTGTGGTAACTCTTCAGTGAATGCTTCATTTTTGAACTTCACAGCTGAGTCCCTTTCCAGCCTCTGTCTGATTTGATGATAGGAGTCTATCTCCCTCTGCTTTGCTCACACACTGCATCCTGAAAACATTGTGTTCCTCTTTCCTTTGTGGATTTTGATGTTTTTTTGGTTCATAGACATAATTTTTGCTTGCTGAACTTCAAGAAGTGTGTTGAAAAACAGTGGGAAATAAAATTATTAGAGTATGTTACTACAGAGTCACTCACAGTGTTTGTTTCTCTCTACCTGTTACATCTGAAATACCAGATTGAGATTTCTTAGCTTTGGGAAATGGTGGCTTTTATTTTTTTGGATCAAACAAAGATGGCAGTATCACACTGTTGGCTTTTCCTTACAGAATCCCAGCAAGGAAAAGGTCTACCTCTCTGGCTATGGAGTAGAACTGGCTATTAAAAGTACAGAATATAAGGCCAAGGATGATACCCAGGTGAAAGGTGAATTATTATTTGAAGTATTTTAATGTGAACATTTTAATTTTGTCAAGGTCGTTTTATACTCGTTTCACTATGAATGTCTGAATTGTAGATATTTTTCTTTTCCCTTTTGGGAGCATGTTCCTTATGAAGCAGATCTTTGCTATGGCATTTTCACATTTGTGAAATCCTGGAGTCGTGGCCCTGGACTAGATCTTAATAATGGCACTACTAATGCAACTGATTTTTTTACCAGCTACTCTACAGGTGTAAAGCAAATTTCTCTACTTTAATTTGCCTTAAGTTATCCATCCTCAGAGCAGAATGTGTTCCCTGTTAATTTTTTTTTCTGTACTTTTTTTTTGCTTTTGCTGGTTTTATAGAGCAGTGATCTCTGTTTTACAAACTCTCATGTATCTGCCAAAACTATTTTGATAGTGTAATCTATGTGTGTGCTTTTTATCTACGTGTGCACATGCACATACAAAACCTAGATTTTCCTGCTTTTCTGTTTGTGAATAGCTTGGTGCTAGTGCTTTTCTCTGTGTGTTTATAGGCACAGATGTGAATGCTACAGTCATAGATGAAAATGACCCTATTGATGAAGTGCAAGGATTTCTATTTGGAAAACTAAGGTAAAACACAGTTGGACTTTGTCACATCAAAAAACTTTTTGCAGAAATGCCAATCTTTTGCTTTGTTATTCTATTTTACATGTCTGAGTTTCCTGTATGTGTTAGCAGCATACTTTTTATGTGGTAGTTTCTTTAAATTAGCAGCAGACTTTCTTATATGAAACCACAGAAGTTGTTTGACCCTTGTATCCTTTTAGGCAACTGTATCCTGACTTGTCAGAAGAGCTGAAAGAGCTCAGAAAACACCTTGTGGAAAGTACCAATGAAATGGCACCTTTGAAAGTATGGCAGCTACAAGGTAATCTGCATAAAGGCTTTCAGTTATGGTCTACAAAAACTCAATGTATAGTTTCAGGTGTTCTACACTATCAAGGTTGTTAGTGGCTGTGTACAGTTAAGAGAGTTTGACTGTAAATTCTTGCATTCTGTCTCACTTGGAAAAGATTTGGGTTTTTTTAAAGTGCCTTTTTTTGTAGAGTCCTGTTGAAATAGCTTTCAGGATTGTTTTCTATATTGTGAAGTACAGTAAGCTACTTGCTGTTAAACTGACTATTTGTATGGTCTGCTGAATGCAGGAAAGCAAGGAATGTGAAGTTTCTTTCCATTATCCCACTTTTGATGTGAATTCTTGAGATTTCTCAAGACCAGAGGAAAACTGTATTTCAAAGTCAGTTACATGCCTCATTCCGTGGCAAATATCTATAAAAGCCTGTGAAAAGGCTTTTCATCCTCTCAAAAAGAGTAAATCAAAAGGCTGAATGCATGTTGTAGCCATGGGGAATCTACCTATAACCAGTAGAAGGGCAGATCCTTCCACCTCAGCCAAGGAAAAGGAGTCCTGGTCTGGACTCCCTGAAGCAACCTGTAGGCAGCATACACTGGTTCAGTTGGAAAGGGTTACTTAATTCAAGGCAACACACAGAAGCTGAATTCAAAGAGGATGACTTTAAAAGAGATATCTACAGGTGCAGATAGAAAGTGAATTTCCTTGAGTAACATGCAAAAATGCTGAAAGATGAAATTGTCTCTGCATTTCCTTGCTTTCATTTTGAGTTCTCAACCTCTGTTTTTCTCACTTCTTAGATTTGAGTTTTCAAACTGCTGCTCGCATTTTGACTGCTCCCCCTGTGGATGCTCTGATGGTCATGAAAGATCTTAGTCAGAACTTTCCTACAAAGGCCAGGTAACTTTAATTTTGACTCCTAGAAAGTTTAATTACTTTCCTGCATTAATACTCCTTGACACAAGCAGCATTGGTTGGGTTAATTCTGACTTTCCTTTAGCTGGAAGCAAACACTTCCAGCTAAATGTTTATGCTGGGAAGTTCAGCCTATGGTTACAAGAGGATTTATGGTGTTTTTCTTGGATGGCAGCTGATGTGGAGTGGTAGAAAATTTGCTGTGCTATTTTATTGTGAAGTGCATTTAAACCTATTGCATGAAGTTCTTGAGAATTTATTGGCTGGGTTTTCTGTTTAATGGTCTTAACATTTTTCTGTTCACAGGGTCCCACTCTCTTTCTGGGGATCCACTTTGCCAAACAACTCAGTCAGTCTCATGTCAGAGGTTGATGTGCAATTCCACTGGGTTTTGCACTTTGCCAGTGACTGTCTTTAACATATTCAGATCAATTTCAAAATACTCAATAAAGATCTGACATGGCCATCCAGTCTAGAGATATATTTCTCTTGATAAATTCCATTGTCTGGATTGTGAAGATGATATTATAGATGAGATTATCACCTCCTTTTTGATTAGGTGGGAGATATACCTGAGATGAGAGTAAAAATAAACTGATTTTTGGTCTTATTTCCCATTACCTGATATTAAGGTGTTATTTAGAGCTTCTTGAGGCAGGCATTGCATCTTACTGTGTTTTCAGGCTGATCTGTGGGCTGTACTTGCCCACTCTGTGATGATGCAATCACTAGATCCAAAGTAAGGAAAAGAATGGGAACCCACCATGGGGAGTGAAATCCTCTATTTTCTATTGTCATCTGTCTTTACATTTTTGGCAGCTGCACACTTTTATTATGGTAAATGTGAAAGTAGACACTCAGAGTTGACATGTGGTTAACATTTTTGTGCTGCTGGATTACACAGCATAAGAAAAATGCTTCATCCTATTTAATGGTGTCACTGCTTCTTGCTGCATCTCTTTATACTAGAAGGTTAATTATCTTAATATGTAAAGTACAAAGAATAAGTAGATGTCTATCCAGTATATAAAAAGAAAGAGAATTCATAGCATGATATTTTTTTTTTGTAGAGCCATAACAAAAACAGTTGTTTCTTCGGAGCTCAGAGCAGAAATTGAAGAGAACCAAAAGGTAATGTGTCTAAAAAGTAACACAGTGCCTTGACACTTGTTCAAGATGATGACCCAGTATTTTCACACACAGCTTTCACTGGGAAGTGAAGAAATGGTGGATTTTCAAGCATGGATGAGGAACATAATTAAGCTTCTTTGCTCAAATATGAAAATATTTCTCTCTTGTTAGAAATTTATTGCTTGAAAAGCAGCTGTATTAAGCAATTTCCTACACTTTTAACTATGCAGAAGAAAATTAGTTCTTGTTATTTAATTTGAGATGATGTTTAGATATCTGTATACATCAGTGATCACTAGGAAGTCACAGAATAAATCCAAAACATGCCATGGCTTTAGAATGATTCATGCTGTGTGGAGGAAATGGTTCCAGTGTTGGTGCTTTAAGAATGAAACTAGTGAAGAGATAAAATTTACCAGCTAAGTCTAAGATGTGCTTTGAAACAGAATCATAAACCCCCCCCAGGTCATGAGGAGCCTCTGGAGTGGGCTCTGTTTTTGCAGAAGTGTTTCAGACAGCTCAGCTGTGTACTTGGCAATAGCAAAGTACTGAAAAAACCAGCAGCCACCTGGGAATTTTGTACAGGCTTTTGTTCAGAACTTTGTGCAACTCCAATATGCCAGGTAGTGTGGTCTGGATAGAGTCCAAAACAAAAGTTTAAGATAGTAATGAAAAGAAATCAAACAGCAGTGTTTGCTGTATGAGCTATATTGCCTTATTCACACATTTCAGTCTCATTTGGCATTATTAGAGAAAAGACAATGTATGTTAAGTACACACATATTGTTTAGAAATCTAATCAATGATATTTGGTGAGTCTAGAAGTAAATGCAAAGCTGCTTACAAGTCCTCTGAGGTTCCTGTTCTGAGAGAGAAATGACTTGTTGTTCAGTAGTGATACAATCAGAGAAGGGATGGGGTTTGACACTCTTGTCCCATGTGGTTCTGGAAGGGACAAAGTATAGGGTGTAAGTCCAAGCCAGAGCTACTTGGTGGACTTTCTGTTGTGTGTTAGATCAGACTGTGGTCCACAATAAACCCATGATTTTGTGGATTCATTTTTGTTAGAGAATACCTGGGCTACTACATCCAGACCAGGCTATTTCTAACCCTGCCCTTCAGAGCTGTTGTTCACACTACTCACTTTGTATGGGTATTATTTGATAGTTAAGTTCACTGCTACTGTTATATTAGAGTTTGCTATGTAATTATCCACAGAATGATACAATTTAATACTCAGCTTTTCTTTGAGAACCTTATTAATTTTACAGAAATGTAAATTTTTACTTATCAGAAGCTACTTTCCTGTTCTTGGTATTTCACGTGGTACTTTTGTTATTCCTGTTTGCTTTGCTCTCAGTCTTCATGATGGTAGTGTTGTGAAATATCCAAATACAATGTTTCTCCTTCAGTGTTCATTATGCCTCTAAATAGAAATTTGTAACTGGCACTGCAAGACAAGACCTATTGGAAAAAAACAACATTAAACTCTTAAATAGTATTTTCTGTGCAGAGCACTGTTCTAATGGCTTCCTACTTCTTTTCAGTATTTCAAGGGAACGTTAGGATTGCAACCAGGAGATTCTGCCCTATTCATCAATGGACTACTTATTGATTTAGACACTCAGGATATATTTAGGTAGGAATGGTTTTTTTTCACAATAATTGCATCCTGTTTAGAAACTTGTATCTTGCTTGTGCATAAATGATAAAGTTATTTAGACAGTTTCAATCCTTCTTCATAATCTAGACTAGGTTTAATTGGTAAGTACTGTAAAAAGCAAATCATGGTTCCTTGTCTTATTCAAAGTGTGTTTCCAACAAAAAATCTAATGTGAAAAGTGGAATGCCCTTGAAGATTGGACTGGGAAGTCACCTTTGTGCTGTTCTTTTGACCTGTGCTGTGACTAGCAAGATTTTGGTTTCTCAGACTGTCAGCATGCAGATTTATTCTGAAGACAGCAGACTGATTCTCAAGGAATAAACCATTGTAAATTTTTCATCTGGAAACCATCCTATATCTTCATCAAGATGTGTTTTCAATAGTATATATATATATAATGGATTAGTTCTCCTGATTTAATGTTTTTCCTAGTTATACAATATTAATTGAACAGATTCAAGTCATCTCAAGTTTCCTAGGACTGTAAGAAATGGGTGATAAATAAGAACTAATACCCAGACATGGCTGATTTGTTTATATCTTTCATCTATTAACCCTTAGGGTAAGAGCAAGTTATTTGCTGTGGGGTTAAAATTCAGCCCCATTTTGCTTTTCCTTGCAGCTTGATTGATGTGCTCCGCAATGAAGCTCGTGTTATGGAAGGCCTGCACAGCTTGGGAATCGAGGGAATTTCCTTACACAATGTCCTGAAGTTGAACATCCAGCCATCAGATTCTGACTATGCTGTGGACATCAGAAGCCCTGCCATTTCAGTGAGTATGGTTTTTGATAGAAATGCTTGATTTGCTGTTGGGAAATGCATTTTTAAGCTGTCAGGGGAGCTTTTGTCTTTGTCTCACAATCAGCTCTGAAACTGCAGTGGAATAAAAAGGATAATAAGGTTATAATTAGCACTTTTTAAAAAGCTTAATTTCTTGTTTATACAGTTTTCAATATAGTGTCTGATATGAAAATATTTTAGTCTCAGACCAGAGCAGGAGGATTATCAATCATTTAAATGCCTTTACTTTTTCTTAGTGGATCAACAATCTTGAAGTTGATAGTCGGTACAATTCCTGGCCTTCCAGTGTGCAAGAACTGCTGCGTCCCACATTTCCTGGTGTGATCAGGCAAATTAGAAAAAACTTCCATAATTTTGTAAGTAATAATCTGACTGGATGAAATGTGCATTTTGTTTTGTCAAGAGCAGGGACATCAGCTTTTGCAGCTTACCTCATATATACACTGGATTTCCTGTCATGTAAATAGCTTGAGAGAGAGGATGGTTTTCTGTAAGGTTTTGTTCTCCTTGTATTAGTAAGTTATGGCTGGGATTCAGAGATTACTGGGCATGATTCTGTGGCATCTATTAGAGTTGTTTAGTCAATGGATAAAATTATCATCTGATAAATAACAATTTGGTGCGTTTCAACTTCGTGATAATACCTGAAGTTGGTTAATGAAATCCATCAAATTTGGTAACTATTGATTTCTTAGCAGAGTTAAGATCAACTTCATTTGTTTCAGTTAGAAAACATTCATGCACCAAAATTTGGACAAATGATCAACAGCCCTCAGCTTAGTCCTGGGTGTCCTTTTAGTCTTTAGGTAAATTACTCAGATCTGATGAAGAGTTTGCAAATTGTGCACTGTAACTCTTGTCACGTGGCAAAGTGGCCCGATGCAAAAAAAGAAATCTGATTAGGGGAAAACAGGGACTGGAACCATCAAAGCTATGGGAGCTTTGATGTGTTACCTTTTCTCTGGAGTTCAATACTTCTAACATAGAAATTTTAAATTCTAAGACAAACAGTTGCATGAATGAAGGGCACTACATGCAGTCTGAATGGCCCAGTTCTGTCTGGGTTGGGGCAGCAGAGAACATCTTGGCAGCATTGGCTCTCCAGGACATGAAAACTTTTCACTTGCTGTTTGTATACAGGTGCTGATAGTAGATCCCACTCATGAGACCACAGCAGAATTACTGAATGTGGCAGAAATGTTCTTCAGTAACCACATCCCACTGAGGTAATCGCTGTGTTTTAATGTTTGGGGTTTTTTTACATCGGTTTTATTCATGTGACTTTTGCAATTCTCATTGCTAGGACACTGCAGAAATGTTACATACCTTGTGTATATCTTTCTAATATATTTCTCTACTAGCAAAGCAAAGCTCAATTTTTTAACAGTTCAAAAGAAATTTCAAGTTCTGGATGGGAGAGAGGTGAAAAGCAAGATTCTGATGGACTCATTACAGATTATATGTCCTAAGTTTGATTCCTGGCTGCTCTGCTCAACATCTTCCCAGGCTGTTCTGGAACAAGCCTGTGTTTAAGATGATGATCACAGCCAGCAGTTGTATAAGGATTTGATTCTTTATAAAAATGCTGACTGGGGATTTGTGTGGTTGCAGGATAGGACTGGTCTTCGTGGTTGATGACTCAGAGGATGTTGATGGACTTCAGGATCCTGGTGTTGCCCTCCTCAGGACATACAATTATGTGGCACAAGAAATGGACAATAATTATGCTTTTCAGACTGTCATGTCTGTAAGTATTCATTTGAAAAGGAAATTAATGTTGTAATATTTTCCATGTACATAACGTTGTTAATGGGCTAATATGTAAATAATGGAAGGAATTGTTCTTTGGCTTGGTTAGTATGCAAAGTATCTCCAAATACTGGTACCACAGAATACCTGTGTCCTTTTAATGTGCTTCTGACCTAACTTTAACATGTGAGGTTAGGTTTCATTGTGACACTTAACACTTGTGCACGTTGTTCTGATGCTGTCCCTTTGCTCATTCTGTCTCTGAATTCTGAACTGCTCCATCCCTTCAATGTAATAATTTGGTTGGAACTGTTCCAGCTGCCACCTTTGCCACATCAAAGGACTATGCAGGTGCTGGTAAATGAATTTCACCTGTGGTTTGATACTTGTACAAATTGGCAAGCTGAGGCATACTGTGACATTAAATTGCTGGTTAGTTAAAGATAGTTGCTTCTATTCTTTTTATTTTGGGAGTGTATTTGTAGCCTGAAGTAAAATTTTGTGCCTTCAAGAGGGAAAGAGTTATGTGCTTTACATGTGAGGTTGTATTTTTCATAAGCCTATCCCAATTTCTGAAGGGAAGGTAGCTCCTTGGATATGCTTCATTTGATGCTTTTTTCCCCAGAGAACTATTTTCTCTCCTCAAATACCTTTTCTAATTAAACATGCAAGTTATTATTTAAAGAAATATAGATTTACCTTCTAATTTCACTGGAATGACTACAAGATATAGCAAGAAACTAATGGCTACAAGTGCTGAGGAGCTGTTGCAGCTGATAAATATGAATATAAGTTTTGCAGTCTGGCTGTTAATGCCTTATTATAACTACTGTAATATAGGTGACAGGTCAGTTTACCTCTGATAAGGACAGGGGCTTTACAGTTGCAGCTGTAAACTTGTATTCCCTTTTCAGATATATAACAAAGTGAAAACAGGAGATCAGCTGAAAGTGGAACATGTTGTTAGTGTTCTTGAGAAACAGTATCCTTATGTGGAAGTCAACAGCATTCTGGGAATTGATTCTGCCTATGATCAAAACAGAAAGGTAAGAATTCATGAAATACAGCTTTTTTTTTTTTTCACTTCTTTTGCTGCAACAGTTTTGAAAATATAATTATATACCATTTCTTGATCCAGCTGTCTTACCAACCAGGTAACTATTTTGCTACCACATTGGGGGACTTCTAGTAATACTTTATGTTCAGCACAAGCTTTATATAATATACATAAAACATACAATGGAATATATATATTTTTAAAATCTATATGTAAAGAACCAGGATTGCTTTCTTGTGATTCATAGGTCATGCTTTCATTATGAATGCAGACTTCAGTAGAGTTCAGAAGTGCTTGCAAAAAAAATCAAGGTGATGAAATGATTCATGAGAAAAGCAAGAGGCTTAACATTGGGAGGGATCAGTGTGGGGCTTCTGAATCCTGTTTGAATACTGTGTGAGATAAAGCCATGATTATGAATTCAAAATGCCTTTTCTATAGCAAGATATCCAACAAATTTCTGCAAATAATTCTTAAAGTGATTTTTAGGTCTGATACTTTTCTGTATGGAGAAAATTCGGAGGGCAAATCACTATTAAACTAGTTTTATGTGAGATTTTATTTGAGGTTTTATAGGTGGATGTTTGTTATTTTTCATTGTCCTAAAACAAATGAAAATACTGTCACCAATAGCTCTGTAACACACATGATCCTGCCTACACCTGTAAATGTCAGGAATCCAATCAGGGTTACAGAAAATAGGCTCACAGGCACGTGGGTCTTCCAATGTAGGACAGTGAAGAGAAAAACATTTTAAGGAAATTAAAATGAAAAGTAAGACAGGCATTTTTGTATGAGAGGAGAGGCCTCAACCAGAACCTCTAACCAGCAGAACCTGGTTAACTTTAATTTAATTTAAATGCTGGTGCAGTTTTCAGTGGTTACTTGAAACAGGGAAATTTGTCCCTGCCTCACAAGTAACTGTTTTCTTACAGGTTCAAAAAACACTTCCTTAGAAAAAAAAAATATTCTCTACCCTGTCTTGCATTAAAACTATCACTGCTTGCATTGCATTTGCTTCCACAATCATGTTTCTTGTTGTGCATCTTTTGCTACTACCAGAAAGTACTTATTGGAATTAATTTACAAAATGAATTTAATGGAGTATTTTGCACTTCTGTATTGTGTAGTAACTTTTTTTTGCTTTGAAAATCTGCGAATTTCAAAGGTCCATTCTCTGTGTGTAACAGAAGTGGTGAGGATCTCATTGTGGATATTGCACAGCTTGGTAAGAACCTTTGTGGCAAAGGGCTGATGTGCTAAAGCTGCTTCTGTTCCTGTCCTTAGGCAGCAAGAGCTTACTATGAGCAAACAGGTGTAGGCCCTCTGCCTGTTGTCCTGTTCAATGGAATGCCTTTCCAAAAAGATCAGCTGGATCCTGATGACCTGGAAACTGTGACAATGCACAAAATCCTGGAAACCACAAGCATCTTCCAGCGAGCTGTATACCTGGTGGGTGCTGAACTCGTCTGTGGCTTGAGAGAAACTAGATTTGGAAAAGCTGATTCACAAGTCCCTGGCTACATATGATACAAGACAACTTTCATAATTGCTTTTTGCCTTTTTTAAAAATGTTTTTTAAAGTTATGTAAGGCAATTTTATATGTGAAGTAACAAAGAATGCTTCTTTCATCTTTCCTTCAGGGTGAACTATCTAATGACCAAGATGTGGTTGAGTATATCATGAACCAGCCTAATGTTGTTCCAAGAATTAACTCAAGAATCCTAAGGTCTGACAGAGAGTACCTAGATCTGACAGGAATGAGTAAGGGATGCTTTTAATTGTGTTAAACCTGAAATGTCTGAGTGAAAGACCTGCTGTTACAGTAGAAAGTTCTAGTGGCAAAGCATTAACAGCACCTGGAGTGATGACCCAGCCCTGGTGCAAGGCAGATGTTATGTACAACATTAAATGTCTACTGATTTTCAAAATGGGAATTTGTTTTGTTTTTATAAAGACCTTAAGGGGAATATGACTCATGAAGCTGAGAAATTATATAATGCATAAAGCAGCAATTTGTTTCTTAGTTCTGACCTTCTTTGAGCAGGGTTGACAGTCATCTCTGGAATTACTTCAGATTTAGTAAAATGTTCCCTTGCTGAACCCGATACAGTGACTGCAGTACAATCACATTACACCTGCCTTTTTTGAGTTGCTTGAAAAATAGTGACACAGTGGATTTTTCAATGTGTATTATTTACATATAGTAGTCTCAACTAAGTGAGACTTGGGCAATTCTTTCAACTAACTTCTGCCTGTCAAATATGCAATGTAGTTATTGTAACTTGTGAGACAGCAAAATTAATTTCTCAGCCTATATATTAACAGTGAAAATAAGACACAAGCAGTATCACAAAGAGCAAAATGAGATGTGTTCTTAATGTTCTGCTAATAATTTTATTTTCATTTTACATGGAATAGTTGCTCTGGCATTTAATACTTGTTCTCTTCCTCAGATAACCATTTTGTGGATGACTTTGCTCGATTTACCACATTGGATTCTAAAGATAAGACAGCTGCTGTTGCAAACAGCATGACCTACTTAACAAAGAAAGGTAACATCTGTGGTGGATTCTGAATCCAAATCTGCTTTTATATGTGTTTCCAAGCATGTGTGCAGTTCTTCACACACACACTGAGCCTTGCCAGGCCTGTGGGTAACAGCATAGTCTGTTAAAGATTTCTTTTTTTTAAAATAAGACATGGCATTTGCATGTAAGTAGAATGTTTCCCTCTTTAAACCCAGTCCAGCCTCTTACTGAATAATGAAGTTTCATCCAAACTTCTCTTGCTCTACTGCAGTGCAGCAGTGTGAGCAAATGACTAGAAAAATATAAAAGGGGTTTTAGCTCTCTGTCTCATAATTCAAAATTGCTAAAAGTTACAGGATTCAGAAGAAAATTCTAGCTGCCCATTATATAAGACATCACCTAACGTGGTCAGTGCTGTTTTTATTGCTCCAGTGCATGCACTGTTTTTCCAATGGCAGTATTATCACATAAAAATATTGCACATAAATATGTTAAAACTTGGCTGTACCTCTCAAGTGTAGGAAATGAATGCACAGACATAATACAGAGCCTAATCAGGTCTAACCAGACATCATCAGGTGTTTCCTTTATCCATTTTGGTTAGATTCCAGCAATGAGCTGCTGTCATTTGACCCAAATCCTCCTGTTCCTTTCTCCTGTCTTTGCTAGAGTGTCCCGAGTTCCCATGGTCCTATCTCCAGTCTGTGCCATCCATGTACACTTCCTGAAATGTTCCCATTGCTCTTTCTGCCTCTTGCCTGCTCTTCATTCATGTTCAGTCACTTGGATTTGAACAAGTTTCTTGTGTAGAGCATTAATTAAATCCACACCTTGGCATGCTTGTTGGAAAGTGCAGTAATTTGCAATTCCAGGGCTTGACATTTTTTGGTCACTGCCACTTAAGATATAACTGCTATCTGATTACAGTAATGCTGTACCACATTTATTTGCTAAAGTAATAGAGAAGTGATATTTGTTGTTGGCTCAGCACCAGCACTGATACAGCACTGCCATGCTGGATTTTAAAGAGGGAAGATAACAGCACAGTGGCATGGCAGTGTTTGTAAACAGTCTTCAGAATTATGTCCTCACCCTACAGGATGAATCTGGTAATATGTAGTACTGCTAATGCTGTAGCATGAAAATCAAGCATCCATCTGTTTGAGGGGAAGAAAAAGCCAAGGCTAATTGCAATAAAATGAGCACAAACTTGTTGCTGTTGGATCTGTAGTGATTCAGTTATGCCCAGTAGAGTGCTGCAGCTTCTTGATACACATTGGGATTACCAACAAGTCATTAATGCATCTCTCCTTTTCCCTTTCCTTTCTGCTCTTTGACCAGGAATGTCTTCCAAGGAGATCTATGGTAACTCATGCTTTGGCATTTCTTATATTGTTCTTGGAATTTTCTGGTTCCTTTCTAACACTGCCTTTAGAACCAGCAGGCAGTGAAGGGAGCTGTTGAATTGCATGTTTGCTCCAGCACTTGGGTCTTTATGCAAAACTGATTTTGTAAACTGACAGCTTTGATACAAAGAAATTATATGTCTGCTGGATTCCAACCCCAGCTGGAATCTGCAAGTTATTTATGTTTCTTTATAATTTATATTTGAAAAGGTACCAAACAAACAAAAATACTAAAAGAATCCAGCTTAGAAAGAGCAATGCATGCTGTCCCACATGGGTTTTCTCAATGGCCTAATAATGACTAATATACCAATGCTATTAATTTTGTCTTGCCAGGCTTCATAGCTTAGGTTCATCCATTGCTTTTCTATGGAATTTTACTTTTTTTGAAGTCTTTGCATGTGTGTCATAGTCTACCTCCAAACGAGGAAAAAATTAAGCTTTCCTTCCCTTCACCCTCAAATTTCTTTTTTTTTTTTTTTTTGTAATAATTGCAGATGATTCCTTTGTTAGACCAGTTACTTTTTGGATTGTTGGTGATTTTGATAAACCTTCAGGGAGGCAATTGTTGTATGATGCCATTAAACATCAGGTAGGTAATGTTTTCATTGGAATGGGTTGGCAGTGCTAACAAAGCACTTGGTAGAGGCTTGTAAAACAAAAAGTTGTGTTCATCTTCCTGTGGTATGACCTGGAGAGAGTGGTTGTCCCTGCAGGGTCTCTAATTTCCAGCCTCATCTTTTTTGTAGGGACTGGAACATTGCTGATCTTAATTTGGGACAGAATACAATAAATGTTCTTTTAAACCCATGGTGTTAAACTGAAATACCTGTGTCTTGGTTTGGAGATAAAAATAAGCATTGCTCTCTGCTCTGTCCCATTGGTTCTGGGAGGATAACTGAAACATAAAAATAAAAATGTAAAGCTAAATCACTGCTTTGCCAGACTGAGTGGTGGCCATGGTCCTGGATTTCTTAGGTAGCACAGGAAGATTGCTGTCACAGTGGTGCCTATGCATAAGCTAAATACTTAATGTTAAATAAGTTAATTCATCATTTTAACCTTGTGCTGTTATTCACTTAATTTGGAATCTGGTTTCTGGTTAAGAAATGCAAATCTTTTGCTATAGAGTTTATTATCTATTTATTATATCTGATATTTTCAACTTTCCCATTACCTGTTTTGTTAAACACAGAAATCCAGCAATAACGTTCGAATTAGCATGATTAATAATCCTAGTGAAGAGCCCAACAGCCAGAATACCATTGTAGCTAAAGCCATATGGGCAGCTTTGCAGACACAAACCTCAAATAATGCCAAGAACTTCATCACCAAGATGGCAAAAGAAGAAACTGTGAAGGCACTGGAGGCAGGAGCTGACATCTTGGAATTTGCTGTTGGGGTAGGCATGTCTGTTGGCATTTTCATGGGGAGGGTGCTTTGCTTGTTCCTCAAATCAAGTTTATAGTGTAGTATATTCATATGCAAAAGGTGCAGTAAAAGAGAAAAGTAACACTGTTGGATTTGCTAGTTTGTTTTGGTTTTTTTTTTTAAATCTCTGAAGGGCTTAACTAAATGTAACAATCCATCTAAACATCAAGTAAATTCTCATACACATTAAAGCTAAGTTACTTGGAAAAGGCAAAAGGAACATGGGTGCAGGGATCTATTTAAGTGAGTCAGCTGTTTCTTGGGTGGTTAAGAGAATAATAATTTTTTAAAAGCTGGGAAAAAATACAAGTTCATTTCTCAAAGTAGATTTTAAAAAGAAAGGAAGATTGGAAATGATTTTAGTAGCTGTGGCCCTTCACAGCAGTATTTGGGATAGTGTTTGATGGTGACAAGCAAGAACTAGGTTTAAGACCACAAATAAAAGGGGGCCAGGGATCAGTTTTAGTAAGATATGAAAATGTTCTTGAATGGAAACAAAAAGGTGTCTTTTAAAAAGTGTGCCGAGGTCTAGTTTTCTTCCTATTCCAATATCAAGTATTCTTTTCTTTTAGGGTATGGATACCAATATTTTCAAAGAAGCCTTTGAATCTCCCAAGGTGGATTTTGTTCTGTCCCATGCCATTTATTGCAGAGATGTTCTAAAGCTGAAGAAGGGGCAGAGGGCTGTGATCAGCAATGGACGGGTGAGATGATCAACAGTGAAAGAGAATTCCACAACGAGAAGGAAGCAGATTTGAGCAGCAGAGTGTGGGGATCAGACACAGCAGTGTCAGCCTGTTTTAGGTTTCAGCAGTCTTTAAGACTGCTTCCAGTTTGATTTATTCACACCTGTGTGACCTTTTCTTTTTACTGTGTGCAGTTAGTTGTTGGCATTTGGTACCAATTCAGGTCTCTCAGTAACAAAGTTGCTTTCATGCTGGCAGTGAATTGAGTCCAGGGACAGAAGGGGATGATAAATTTGCAAGATTATGCTGCTTCAGTTTACTGAGCAAAATGCTGCTCTATTTTGCCCTGACCAAGGTGCCTTGGTCTCTTCTACCATCCGTTTTTATTATAGTTTATCTGAAATGAGGTAAATGATGTTACAATAGTATTTCACTGCAAATAATGAAACACAGCTGTAAACAGCATTGGGTTTTCTTTTGTCATCTGTTTCTATTTAGGAACAAACCCATGCAGGTTTCAGTGGGTTAAAAATCTCAGGTGATGAGTTGTTCTGTTCTATTTTTCAAAAATAACAAGACTTGTCTAGGTAGCTTTTAGGCTTCTGCAGGCTACAGGAGGGAGATTTGCTGGAGTCTTGCTGACTATTAGAATTGGCCTGATATTCTGCCCTTTCCAGATGTGGTACTTCATGTAAAATTTAATGTACCTGACCCAGTGAAAATTTGAGGTGTGTCTTTTATGCCTTAGTCTGGGACTCTTGGCTCTACAAAGCTGGATTTACCTCTGCTGCCACTGACATTAATACCAACCTAAATGGTTGGCTTCCACTGAGACTGGGCTGGAGTAATTATTTAATACCTTTTTGAATTTTGTTTCAGTATAGCCTTTCCCTAATAATGCTAATTCTGCTTTTATTTTTGTAGATTATTGGCCCATTAGAAGATGGAGAGATGTTCAATCAGGATGATTTTCATCTCCTTGAAAATATCATACTAAAGACATCAGGACAGAAAATCAAATCTCAGATTCAGCAGCTGGGATTTGAAGAAGATCTGTAAGTTAACATAAGGAGGCTTACAGAGAAGTGTTGGGACTCTTGATGATATATCTTTGTAAATCTGATTTGCAATTCATTTAAGTGCTGCTTGGCCTATCAACATAAAAATTATTTTAGTAATACATTCCCCCATCAGTATTATGGGAATCCTATATACTGCTTTGAACTTCGAAGAGAAACACTAGGAAAAGAGACAGAGATGAGGCAAGGGAAGTTACAAATCTAGACAGTTACTGCACAAAGCTGAGGTGAACTACTCAAAACAAATTCATGTTGAAGTTCAAAACAACAGGAGTCCCCTGTAGGTGTATGTTTGTGTTGGAGAATGTAGCTGTGGAAATAATTCCTACCATACTTTCCATCACGTTTTTCTGTGATGCTGCTTGACTTTTAAGGGCTGGTCAAGCAAGTTAAACATGAGTTCTGTTCTGCAGAAATGTTGTGTGGTTCTGGATCACTGCAGAACAGTTTTAAACTGTGTTCCAAACTCTTCTGCATCCATTGGGGTGGTGGAAGAGGGCACAGTTTGAACATAGGTTAGTTCTGGGCAGAGCAATGGGGTTGGAGTTTCTTTTTGTTTATTTGAATGATGCCAAGGTTTCTCAAAAAGTTTTGAAATTATCTGCTGCATTGGAAAAATCTGTACAACTTGTTGGAGTTCACAAGACTTGTGAGTTTGGTAGGAGCAATTTAAACAGCTGTCACTATAAATCTCTGAGACAGTTAATTCAGGAAAAGCTGACAGACCTATAGGTTTCAGTTCTGCTTCTTGGCAAAGATGTGATGTACAAATCAATTTTCATTGAACTTTCACGAGGTTTTACACTTCTAAGACTGAATATATTCTTAAAATACTAGACTGAAAATTTATGGAAATACTAAAAAGGAAGAAGTGCTCAAAAGTAATTATCAATTATGCTAGGACCACTCTCCAAAGTTTCTTCACTTTCAGGATTGCTTCCTAGTGCTCAGAGTTGCAGTGTAAAATGGGAAGAGCACTGAAACAAGGGTTTGATCTGAATGGCTTTCAGGTCTGAGTGGTAGGTGAACATCAGGAATGCAGTAACATGGTTGACCCCTAAAATACAGCTGTTCTGTATTTGTTAAATCCTTTGGTATACTCAGTAATAAGGCTGCAACCAGTTTAAATTACTGGTAGGTAACCCCTTAAATATGTTTATTTCTTCACAGCCCGTGTAGAGAGGTATTAGAAGTGTTTGAGTATCAATCCTGTTTACCTTCTCACAGACTGCTGCCTGGCAGAAATGTGATAAGTACAGGCATTTTTTTTTGATATCTGCAAGCCTTTTTCTTTTCCTTTTTTTCAGGGCAAGTGACTTGGTAATGAAAGTGGATGCTCTTCTTTCTGCCCAGCCAAAAGGAGAGGCAAGGATTGAGTATCATTTTTTTGAAGAACGATACAGGTACAGAATTACTGAACAATGTTTTTCTGTGTCTTTTAACTTTCCCATTGTTCTATGTTGCATTTAATTAAAAAAAACCCAAACAATCTTCAGTAGCAGTGAGAAAGTCCCCAACAGTTTTCAGGAAGATTCCAGAATTTAATTTTATCTCTGTATCTATCTCTATAAACAGACATTGTCTATTTCTTTCTCTATTTAGTTTCTGAAGGTGCACAGCATTTAAGAAGTAATTTCAGTTCAGGGTGAGATGGGTAGCAGTGCATTGTAATGCATTTCAAGTGTTTATCCACATGTTTGATACTTTAAAATTGTATTTTCTTCTGTTTAGTGCAGTTAAACTGAGACCAAAAGAGGGGGAGACATACTTTGATGTTGTGGCTATTGTTGATCCTGTGACCAGAGATGCTCAAAGACTTGCTCCATTACTTTTGGTATGTATCAGGGTTGTGAACAACTTCAAATTCCATCATTTTGGGACCTTTGCTTCCTCTTTGTGTGGTGAGCAGTGGCTTTCTAATAGCATGTCTGAGTTTCACAATGCATTTATCAGTGGAAATACTAATTAGACTGCACTGCACACTAACAAGATTATGCTCAGGTACTGTCCAGAGAGCTTTCAGTTTCAATATTCTAACAGGTCAGTACACTCTGTTCTTGAGGAAGGGCTCAGCATGCCAAAAAGAATACCTGAAATATGAGGAGCAAATAACTGTGCTTAAAATCACAATTAAAAAAAGTGGGGGAGATGGTAAAGGAAATCCCAAGGAGAGGGGATTGGGAATGAACAGATAAAATCCACCCTGGGGTGCTGTCTATAAAACAGCTCTCCTCATTAGCATTGTAAGGGATGTCTCTTTCTCATTACTTTAGGTTTTGAACCAGTTGATAAATATGAACCTGAGAGTGTTTATGAACTGCCAGTCTAAGCTTTCTGACATGCCACTGAAAAGGTAAGCAGTTCCCTGATACAGGGGGACAGAGAGAGAGAGAAACCTATTGGAATGTGCAAGCACAGAAGCATGGTCAGCTGTCCCATAGCAAGTCTCAATAACTGCTTTGAGCTCATTCATATAACAGCATCATTTCCCACAGACAATCTGGGAATTTGTGGATGGCAGGAAGTAATTCTGCTGTTTAACAAGTTGGTTGCTTTTATTTTTTTTTTTTTGTATTTATATAAAATTAAGTCACTTACTAGTCTTAATGGTTGAGTCTTGCACAGTCTTTTTTGGTCCTTCAAGACAGAAATTCTGACCTGTCCTAAGGTTAACACAACCTGTGTTGCTTTGGACAAAGAGACATTAGAGGTGAGGGAAAGCTGATGCCATCTGCAAATTCAATGAGAGTGAAGTATTAGTAAATTTTGGCTGATAGGTGTTCTAACATTTTCTGTCTGAAATTCCAGCTTTTACCGCTATGTTTTGGAGCCAGAGATTTCTTTCACAGCAGAGAATAACTTTGCTCCAGGACCAATTGCCAAGTTTTTAGATATGCCTCAGTCTCCACTGTTCACTCTGAATTTAAATACTCCTGAGAGTTGGATGGTGGAGTCTGTTAGAACCCCATATGACCTTGACAACATCTTCTTAGAGGAGGTAAGAGAAATCATCATGTTACTACTGCATTTAAATGGTGGTGTTTTTCCAGGGCTTGGTTTTGTTTTTTTTTAATGGGAAAGAAATGCAGAATTTTAAAATGCCAATAAACACAGAGATGTGGATATTACTGCATTTGCAGACCTCTAAATATTTTTTAGGGTAAGCATAAGTTCCCCTCAATAAGCAATATTGCTTATTGATATAATATATCAATATAACAATAAGCAAGATTGTTGTTCTCAGTTACTCATGGATGCCTGACCCAGAGGTTCAGACTACCACAGGCTTGAAGCAGGTCTTTTCCCTTGCTCCTAGAAGCCACTAAGCTGGTTTTAGCTACCAGTTTTGGTTCCCAGTTCTTGTTAACAGGCAAACACTCCTGTGGTCCAGTATCCATGCAGCAGAAATCCACTCAGCTGCTGTAGGTTCAGGAGCTTGCTGCTGCTTGAACAGACCTTGAGTCTGAATGTTGGAGTGTGGATCTGGGCAGTGCTGTCCCACCTACAGATGGAGAAATAGGGAAAAACCCTTATTTATTTACCTTATTGTAAAGGTATCACACATATATGTGTAATGAGAGGTCAAAGCCTTTACAAACAGGCTCTGGAAAAGTGACAGTCTTTACAGCCTTGTGGGCTTCACAAATATGGATCCCCTTTTCACTGATCTCTGTATTATTAACCCCATCTTACTTCTGCAGCTCTCTGATATTGTTTGGGAATATGATATAGTATTGTGGTATATCTGGTATTGCTAATCCTGTACTAGTTATTCAGAAATCTAGGAAATTGGGGGTGTGTTTTATGGTTTGAGTTTTGGTTTAGGAGTTTCTTGCTTTTCATCTCTTAACCTAACTGTAAAGCCATAAATGAAGCATTGATATTACATTTCAAGCCTCTGATTTCCATGCCCACCCCTTAGATTAATTGAAAGCCTGAGAGAGAGGGGGATTAAATGCTTCAGGCATTCAAAGTGCATTCCTGAGCTTCCAGATAAACAGGAGCTTTACTTTTGCAGGTGCACCATTTCCAGTTCCCAATGTGCAGTCTGTTGGTGCTGTAGCAATTAAACTGTCATTTTGGATGTGCAGTGAGAGGAGATGCTTTGTGGGATTAGACTAACATTCTGCTTATGTACTGTCCTCAGGCTACAGCTGAATTTGGCCTGGTAGGGACCCAAGTCTTTTGGGATTGTGGGTTGTTTTTTTTTTTTTCCAGTTATTTTTTTCTCTTCTTTTCTCTTTCCTTGGCACCTTTGTTCAGTGTAGAAAAAAAGGAATGGGTGTTTCCTGACAGTACTCTAGTGCATTGTAAGAGTAACACAGAGCAAAAAAACCCATTTATTTCAGAAGGTGAGACCAGCTTTAAACAGATTTGCAGTCAAAATTCTGGATCCCATCATATGCTTTTTATGAGGTACTAACTCCATTCTCCAGTAAATGTTAAAAAAATAACTTGTGGAATAGAGCAACAATCCTCCCCTTTTCTTATCCTAGCATATGTTGACATTCAAATTCTTTTGGTCTGGGCCACTCTTAACAGTATTTGTGTGAGGTTTGTCACTTGAAGGAGCTGAGCTCTTTGAGGTTTTCTAGGTATTTGTCTAATAATAAAATTACTCTGGTAAAATTGGTTCTTAATTACTATGGCTATTCTAGAGAGTAACTGAATGACTAAAAGCTGGCACTTTAGAGCTAGTGCTGCAGTCAGCAGAATCTGCTCCTTTCAGGTGGACAGTGTTGTAGCTGCAGAGTATGAACTGGAGTACCTGCTGCTGGAGGGACACTGCTATGACATTACAACTGGGCAGCCACCTCGGGGACTGCAGTTCACACTGGGGACTTCAGCCAGCCCTGTCATCGTTGATACCATCGTCATGGCCAACTTGGTAAGTGTTCTCCTGGAGCTGGCCACAGCACCTGCTGTTCATGCAGCCAGCACAGCCAGTGCCATCCACCCCTGAGGGTTCTCTAGCATAGGCCTGTGGGTTTGGAAATGCATCAGAACCACATCATTCCTACACTGCTGTCCTGAGCCTCACTCTCTCTTTTAAGATGGGCTCCTTTCCCTTCAGCTGGCTGAGATATTCTGGAATATCTTTAAATGCTGCCAATATTCTTAAGCCACCCCTTTCCAGGGAAGCTCAGTTGTTTTCCTGAGACAGGGTTCACCCACTCTGGTGCTGTGAGCCTCAGGCTGTCTCATTTTTGGGACCCATTTCTTCAGGAGATCTATGGTATAAATCAGCAAGAATAGTTGACAATGTAGAAAATAAAGGAAGTGTGAAAGAATGGGATTTACTTATTTAGTTGAGGAAAGGTGCTGGAAATCCAAGTGTTTGGTTGTTCCTTGCAGCTGCTATTGTAATGTCACTGCATAAGGGATGTGTCTGTTCTCAGTGTCCACACTGGGCCAGGAAAGAGGTAATGGACTGAAATTATGGCAGAGGAAGTTACCTACTGGAATGTTTTCTTGATATGTAATGCTAGTGAAAAACTGAAGTAAATTGCCTCTTGTGTTGTTTTTTGTTCTCTTTTAATCTTTAAATTTTTTAAAGGTATTACATTTATTTAAATGAATTGAAATAAAAACAAGGAAAAATATTCACTGGTGCTAAATATTTATTATACAATTCTTACTAATTTTCAATTTGGGCCTTTTCTTAGCCAGAGTATATCCTAGAATGACGTAGTATTTTTTACTGTAGAAAGAAAGATGTCCCTTATTTTGCATGTGATCACATGGTGTGTTTATGTTGGGGAGTAAAACTCAGAAGTGTCCTTTTTCTAATTATCTGCACAAAAAATTAAAAAAATATTTTAAAATTTTCTTTTTAAAGCAGCCTGGCTCACATAAGAACTGCAAGCATTTGAAGCCACAGTACAAAACTGAATGGGACACTAAAGCATCTCTACAGTTGCATGTATCTTCTATAGGTTTAATAATCTACATCACAGAGAAAAACGTTCAGATCTGGAATCTGAAGCTTAAAAAGACTTGATCACAGTATTTGAATTTCACATTGTAATTTTTAAAGTTCTAGCAACATGTAAATTATGTTACTGCTTCTGCTGTAGATGAATTGCCACTCTGTAGAGCTTCAGAATTCCTTCAGATTTTGTTGTTTAATTACAAATTAGTGTTTTGAAATCCCCTCACTCCTTCATGAAGGCAACCTTTTGCAGGAAAAGACTTTGAGTTTGCATTGTTGCCATCAGGACAATGAAGACTTTGATCTAACAAATAATGCCAGACTTTTTCAAGCTTCTGTCTCTTAGGGAAAACCCAACAGTGTTGAATGGAATAATTTCTGGGACTTTTCTCCTTTTCTCTGGGTTTAAAGCCTTAAGGTTATGTTAATCAATGGGCTTGCAAATAACATTTTAGTTATAAAACAGTGAGTCAAAACACGTAACTTTAAAGGTAATTATCCTGCATTTGCATTTTCTGGAAACTACCAAATATTCTTTTCACTTTACAGGGCTACTTCCAGTTAAAAGCCAATCCTGGTGCATGGACTCTAAGACTGAGAAAAGGCAGATCTGAAGATATTTACAGGATCTACAGGTAGGTCAGCATAAGAAATATTTCAGGCTTTTTCTTGTAAAACTTCTGAAGTAGGTAGGCATTGTAATATATGAATCTAATGGTTCCCTTGCCAAAGTGCAGTGACCTGAACAGCAAATTAAACATTTCATACTGAACATAAGTTATGCAAGGTGAAATTAATTAATTTAAAACCCCATTAAGTGTGTTCAAATAGATGTATTTGTGGTTTTTTGTCATGTCTCATACCTGTTTTGCAGTGCTGAGGCTTAATACATGTATAAAAAATGAGCAGAAGAAATAAAGAATGTATTTCTGCTTTGTAGTAAAAGTATCTTGCTCTGTTTTCAGCCATGATGGCACAGACTCTCCACCTGAAGCTAACGAAGTTATTGTTGTTCTCAATAACTTCAAGAGCAAAATTATCAAAGTGAAGGTGAGTTTAAAAACCAGAGGTGCTCTGAAAGAAGTCTGTTTGACCAACAGTGGGAGAGAAACTTGAATTGAGGCCTGAAGCTCCTTCCCATGAGCATAGACTTGAGGCAGTCTGCACAAAGCTCACCTCACAGTATCAGGAGTAGAGAGCATCATCTGTAGACTTGATTTGGGTTTTTAGTACAGAAGTCCTATTCCTTTTGTGTGTCCCTGAGCTACAATAATACTCATATTTTCCTCACTGCTTATAACTTCAAGAAAAAGCAGTTTTGTTTGCCCTCTCTATGTCTAGTAATAAACATTCAGTATGTCCATTGAGCCAGCATTTTATCTGTCACAGATAAATTGTATTCGTTTGGCAATACATTTTCTGTCACTCTGACACAGGCTAGGTAAGAACACATTTGAAAAAAAAGAAAAAAAAGGTAAACTACTAATCTTCTATCTCTTAGAGTTGCCCATCAGATAATTCCATAGCTGAGAAGTTTAAGGAGAATGGACTGATAGATAAATGATGACTATAACAGAGCCAGTTCACACCTGACACCATTTACTTGTGCTGGACTAATTTTGGGATGTTCTCCCCATTCAGTGTCTTGTCTGTGTATCTGCTTTGGAGTCTCAGTGGCCACTTAGACCACTTAGAGACTGGTGGAATTGGTGTGTTGATTTTTTGGGTTTTTTGAGGAGTGGGGGATGTTGATTTCTTTGAAGGTTTTTCTTTGCCAGTCTCCATCATCAAGGTTGCTCACTAAACATCTCTTAGAAAAGCATTTTAACCATCCAGAATAACATACCTTTGGTGTCTAAAAACTTGGAATCTGTTTGGAAAGTCACTTCATTACTGAGCTGTTTTCCCAGACAGCTTAGGTTACCTGTCAGCTCATGGGGTGTAATTCAAGTAGGTAAAAACAGATTTCAGGATAACACTCCTGACAAGATTTGCTCATTATGTGCTTCCAACTCACTAAAGCCATGTTATGCTCCACAGGTTCAGAAAAAGTTTGATATGATGAATGAAGATCTACTAAGTGATGGCACTAATGAGAATGAATCTGGATTTTGGGAATCTCTCAAATGGTAAAACTAATTCAATGATAACCTGCAAGTCTCTTGAAACTGGAGAACTATTTGGCAATACCATGATGTCTGTGAAATTCCACAGCTGTCTATGAAGACTGCTTGAATTCAGGGCTGTCATTCACTCCTCTGTTTTTAGGGATCTGGGCTCCTGCTTTGCACCTGTTTTTACCTTCCCTTACCCCTCCTGCTACTTGGGAGCCTGGGAACATTGTTCCTTCCCAGGAGCTGCACCTCAGCCAGTGCTCTCTCAGTCAAAAGGTGTTTATGTCTGAGCTCCTGGACCTTTCCTGTCTGTGTGCACAGCACTCTGCCTTGGGGAAGATGCTCAGGGATTGACACTAAAAGCCCACAGACCAACTGTATTAAAGCAAAAATGTAGCCATTTTCTGCATTTGCAACCTTTTTTATAGAGCTAGCACTTCCTGACTTGTCCTTCACAGAACAATATTTTTCCTTTCAGGGGATTCACAGGAGGACAAAAGAATGAAGATGTGAAACAAGATAAAGATGATGTATTAAATATATTCTCTGTGGCCTCAGGACACCTATATGAGAGATTCCTACGGTTAGTTGAGAATTTATAATCCCAGTGTCCCAAATGGTAGTGTCCTTGCACAAGGAAAAAGATTACAATTTGCAAGAGTATAAAAAACCCCACTTTTTCTATGCTTCAGAAGTCCACTAGAATCTGCATCTATAGGAACTTTTGACTGCATAGCATTCATGAGTTAAAAATAGTTTAATAGATGATGTGTTGCTGTCCTAAATTTTCTCACTACAATATTAGCAATGTATTGTTAAGAAGTTACAGAATAAGTCACAGTTGCTTTGGAAAGAATCTGAGCTGTTGTTCTCAAAGGACTGTGAAAGCCAACAGGTTGTATATTCTCAGACTAGTTAAAATATAAAGATGTTGGGGGTTTAGTAATTTTGTAGATAAAATAAAGCAATTTACAATAGGCTGAAGCTACCCACTTTGTCTTTATGCATGAAGTTCAGTTACCTGACACATAGCTGCAATTAGTTTAATCATGTAGCCCAGCAATTTGTAATCTATTACACAGCTCATCTTCTATGAGTGCCACTTGTTCCTGTAACTGCTTTATTTTTTTTCTTTTGATAGCATAATGATGTTGTCTGTGCTGAAACACACCAAGACTCCTTTAAAGTTTTGGTTTCTGAAGAACTACTTATCACCTACATTCAAGGTTTGTTACTAATTAGAAATTTATTTGTTGGTGGGGAAAAAGTGCCACAAGCTGCTTCCCCTTCCCTCCCAATGCTGCACCAGCATCACTTGGCTAAACCTGTACCCACCCAAAGCTGGAGAAAGCCTCACAGATGAGAATGTCAGCTGATGTCACAGTAGGCCAAGTTGTTCTGGTAGAAAAATTCTTTCAATGCTCTTCCCTCATTTTACATGCTCCCACTTACACTGCTTTGTACACCCCTAAAGAATTGTCCCACCTGTGAATTTTTGTGATTTGAGTAATGTGTTCTTTTAAATACATCTGTGGATCACTGTAAAGTGGCTCATAAGGAGCTGTGTGGACAAAAATGCTGAAATATTTAGTTGTCTCAGAATAGCTGGCTTTACAATTTTGTATTGATTGTTGAGCTTGGGGCTCAGTATTTTGTGTAAATTAAAAATGAAACTAATTTTCTTCGTGGTATTTAGTTTTCTGATGTTCTGTGCCTTAGCCTGAAGTCTGTCTCTTGTAATAGGCTTTTCTTTTTCCTGCAGAGGAACAAAGAACTGAGATAAGCTGCTTTTTTCCCCTCCCTCTGCAGGAGTTCATCCCATACATGGCCAAGAAGTACAATTTCCAGTACGAGCTTGTCCAGTATAAATGGCCACGCTGGCTGCACCAACAGACAGAGAAGCAGCGCATCATCTGGGGTTACAAGATCCTCTTTCTAGATGTGCTCTTCCCATTAGCTGTTGATAAAATCCTGTTTGTGGATGCTGATCAGGTAACACAGAGGCTGGAATCATTTGATTTTTTTTTTAAATTTTAATCATAAGTTGTTGAATACAGTTTTGGTATTGTTGCAATGTTGAGTCCTTCATAGGCGTGACTAGAAGTTGATTCTGTAATTACTGCATGCTTCACTGAGGGCTGAGTTTTGTGCCTGTTTCCACTAGATTGCTTTTGTTGGCTTGTCTTTTGCTGTTATCCAGTTCCTCATTCACTCACTGTGATTCCAGTTAGTTTACCAAATAGATTCTCATTTCACCCTTCCATTTTCCCAGTTCAATCTGTTCTCCCAGCCTGCAGATCACTTACCACAGACAGTGTTTTCCTGAGTTACCAACCACCCTGCCAGGCCCCTGCTTTTAACTTGGCCACTTCTGAGTGGCTTTCAGAGGAGGAGAAGGCAAATCCCTCGTGCACAAGGCCATGTCCTGCTGCATTGCAAACAGGACTGGAAGGCTTTGTGTGTGCTCACTCCTCAGTGGGTGCAGAGTGCAGGAAATGTGCACGGTGAGAACTGCCAAAACTACTCTCAAAAATGCATATGAAATGAGAAGCACAGATTATCAACAAGTGAGTGTAAACTGCTTTGGGGGTTTTGGCACATGTACAGTGTGATCCCATGCCAGGTCAAACTGAAGCTGAAGGATCAGTTAGGAGAGATTTCCAGCTATGCTGTTGTCATTTTAGGCAGTTTGTTTATTTGTGAGAGATATTAAGGCATTCATTTTCCCATAAGAGTGGTATTTTTGAAGTGGTGCTAGTGCCACATCTGTGTCAAAAAGACATTAAAAAGCTTTCATCCCTGAAGGGTCTGCAAAACACTGAAGGGGAAGGGATACCAAGAATCACAGTAGAGTTCATGTATAGTGAGAATTCTTGCTGCTTATTAAGAAATAGTTTTGCACTTCAGCTGTCGAACCATCCCCCACCAGCTTATTTAAAGCTGTGTTTTATTTACTCCAGCTCTAAGGGCAGGGGAGACAGCACCTTTTGTGCTGTATTTTTGTACTTCACACACATAATGCAAAAAACTGCCACGTACATCAGGTAATTCTTCCTTTATCTGTTTGCTCAGTTTGAATGAAATCCTGTACAGCATTTGCAAATAACCCATGGCAGGCTCCTAGAAATCAAAATAAAATGTCCTTTCCCTTCAGATTGTGCGCACAGATCTGAAAGAACTGAGGGATTTCAATCTCGATGGCGCTCCCTATGGATACACTCCATTCTGTGACAGCCGCAGGGAAATGGATGGCTACAGGTTCTGGAAATCAGGATACTGGGCAAGTCATTTAGCTGGAAGAAAATACCACATCAGGTACTGAAGAATTCTTTTATTTCTTTTCTTTTTCAAAATAGAAAGAAAGGTAGAATTTTTGTTGCTGCTTAGACTTAGCAGAAAACTAGCTGAGGGATGCAGGGCTGCATGAACCACTTCTTGCTTCCTGTTGCCTCTTTAAATTTCCATGGCCTGTTGTCCCTTGGAAGGGACACTGAAGTTATTTTCAGTATGCTACAGCTTTTACAGATGAAAACCTGAAGTGTTACCTAACAGACATCTTCCTTTGTTAAATGTTGGAACAGGGACTGCATGACAGCAAAGCGAAGACAGATTTGTTGAAAATTCTTTTTCCTACATGCCATGAACTTGTTAGAACTGCTTTCCTGCCTTGTAGTAGATCATCTGATAGGCTGCCACCCTGAGATTGTTTTAGGTTTTGTGTCTCAGGGGTCTAGTGGGGCTGCAGTGTTACCCCCTAGTGAAATGTCATTACTAATTGCTTCATCTCCATGTAGTGCTCTGTATGTTGTGGATCTGAAGAAGTTCAGAAAGATAGCAGCTGGAGATCGACTCAGAGGACAGTATCAGGGTCTGAGTCAGGATCCAAACAGTCTGTCCAACCTTGATCAGGTGTGTTTTAGTGTGTTTGTTGTGGTTTACTGGGCTATGGTGTCAGGTTAGGACTTGGGATTTTTCCAAAGGACTTTGGAATGGGATGAAATGTTGATTCATCACTTTATATTTGCATTGGGAAGAAAGAAAACTCTTATAAAAGTTAACTTTCACAACACTGTTGATTTGGGAGGGGGGTTGCTGCTCCTATTCTGCACTCTGTGGGAACAGCTACTAACTCTTACTCTGCACAACAGGATTTGCCAAACAACATGATCCACCAAGTACCAATTAAGTCCCTCCCCCAGGAGTGGCTGTGGTGTGAAACATGGTGTGACGATTCCTCGAAGAAGAGAGCAAAAACCATTGATCTGGTGAGTGCAGGATGATTCCCTCACTCTTGCACCACATTAAAATACAGCAACCAGTTTCAGAGGCACTTCCCTCCCTCAGCCTGTACTTGCACATTTTCAGCCCTCGAGTTTTTTCCATTAGCCTCTGTATTTATTTCTCTTACCTGGAGCAGTGGCATTGTTACTAAATTGGAAAGAGACTTTGCAGTGTTCACCAGCAGCAGATTGATCCCTGCAGAGGGAAGCACACCTCTGTTGAGTGCAGAAACCTTTTGTAGCCTGTCTGTTCTGTTTGCAGTGTAACAACCCAATGACCAAAGAGCCCAAGCTGCAAGCAGCCATGAGGATAGTTCCAGAATGGCAGGACTATGATCAAGAAATCAAACTCCTCCAGAGTAATTTCCAGAAGGAAAAAGAAATGGGAACACCAGCTAAGATGCCAGGACAACACACACATGGTAATCTTTGTTTCTCTACTTCTGTGACTTTCGCTGTGCCTGTTGGTCTTGTGCTGTGTCTTCCCCATGGTGAGCTTGTACCATGCACGGGGCTGAATGAGGGAATGAGGGCTGAATTAAATCATCAAGGGAGTGTCATGGGATGCAAGGACCTTGCTGAGCAAGTTTGGTGTAATTTAACCTAATTCTGAAAGCCAGAGAACAGACTTGTTCCAGTTCTGTATGAGACCTTCACTGTTCCTGAAATTTTATGAGCTGGGCCTTATCTTGACCCTTACAGAAGTGCTGCTACACACTGTGGGTGAGAATTGTTCTTCAGGCACTGGTACCTTGCAAAGAGCAAGTCTTAGGAGGCTATACTGATTTTCAAACCAATCTGCCAATTAAGGCAGCTCAAACTGAGTGCTCATTTTTCTCTCCTCTTTTACAGATCCAGCAGCACATGTGGAATTATGATCCATGGAGACAAATTCAAGTTAGACTCTTTCATAGACAATTTTTATATTGAAAGCTAGTTTTTCTCCAGTGTGTCTGCAAAACTGCTGAATAATTGAATGGGATGATGTATGCATTTCTATTACTTGCCTTTGGGTTAATTTCTGCATATGAAATAGGATCTGGATTGCTGGAATTAGCATTACTGGTGTTTTGCACCTGTGGTGGAGATGAAAGACCCCATGATGGAATTTAGTGTTTCAGAAAAAAAACTCCACAATCCACCAGAAGAGTCACAACCTGTTTCTTCAGCTGTTGCTGCCTCCACCACTGATGAAGCTCCAGTTTAGCCTCAGATCTAACTTGAGAGTCTGGGAATTGCAGACATACATCCTAACCTCATCTGATGGACATAATTTTTCCAGGTAACATTATAAAGCTCTAAATTATGCCTTGAATTTGGGACACTTTCATCTTCAGGTTTTCAAACAATTGAAAATACTTCTTGGATTTGTTCAATCTGCCCTTGATTTTGTAACAAAACAAGCATTGTTTTGATTTTCTATTTCCTGTCTTCATTTCTTGCCCAACTTTTGATGGTTTGGCTTAATGTAAAGCTACCACAATCTATTTAAATGCCTATCCAAATGCAAATGCCTAAGCTTACAAAGTGAGCAGAACACAGAATTTGGCAGCTGAGTTCATCCTAGCCTATATGACTTGAATCAAAGTGCCCTCCCTTCCTCCTGCTCCAAGTGTAAATCAGTCTGCAAAACTGGTAGGGCTTTCCTCTTGCTGTGGTTCACTGATTCATGAATGTTTTTGGTTTTTTTTTTGTTTATGAAAAATCTGTGGAAGCTTGGAAGTTTATCATCATGTAAATTCCATTAACTTTATTTTTCTTCAAACAGAGATGTTGTCACATCAATAAAAACTTAAGAGTTCTTAGGTCTTAAGCTTTAGTTCCCACTCAGTCCTCTGATCATCCATTTTCCTTGCACACATTACAGTCCCAATTTGGTTTTGGGGTTCCTGGATATTTCCCTTGCATTTGTTTTCTTTCTGTGCATAGACAAGAAGGTCTCTTCTGCAAGGTTAATTACCCTGGGCTAGTTTTATCATTCATATTCATGTCTTCATTTTTAAAGATGCTGCTGCCAGAGTTCTGTACTATGAATATGCCAATTAAAGAAAACCCTCAAACCCAGTTTCCCTCATTCTAAAGGGTTAATAGTCTGCTCTCTATAGCACTGAGGAGTTGAAATGTTAAGACCTAAAAGGAGATTTCTAGTACAAAATGTAGTCACCTGTGCAGCTTGAGAAATCCAAACTTTTTTTGTTTTTGTGCCTCCCATGTTTTTATACAAGTAAATGTTTTGTGCTGTAAGACCTTCAACCCAACAATCCTGACTTGAGATATTCTTGTGGAATTGCTGTGTTATAAATCCTGTCATGTTTTGGAGGAATCTGAAAGAAGACATCAGTAGTAGTGTTTAAACTGTTCAATAGTGCAACTTAGGAGAAAAAGCAGCTCTTCTCCAGCCAGCTGAGGGAAGGGCCCAAACTCTTAAAAAAAGCACTTTAAGAGCAACTTACAGAGTTCCTCAGCTTTTGTATTTCCCACGTTGTGGGGTTTTAAATTCAGATAGTCTGTCTGGTGGCTCTGGAAATTACAGGTGAGGTGCCTTATGCTTCCCATCACAACTGTTCCACTTAAGGATAAGCAGACTTAGAGTGGCAGGACTTCTTTCTAGTGTAAAAAACCAATACACCTGCCAACAAATTAATTACATGTTAGGTCAATTAACCTCTTTTAACCAGCTAAGACAGCACAGGTAAGATTGTCCTTTCTGTGTCCAGCTACAAATCACTTCAGCCTTGCTGGAGCACAAGGAATGGCACAGGGAGAAGGGGGCAGCAGCTGTACACAACCATTCCCTCCAGGGATGGATGGGGCAAGAATGTGCTCAAGCCCTCAGAACAAGAGCAGCTTTCTGTGAAAAAAGGCCCTTTCCTATCTAGAACCATATTTGGCTTCTTTTCTCCCCCCAAATTATATTAGGGGCCACAAAACTGAGAATAAACAACCTCTTAAATTCAGCACATTTACAGTGCTTTGTTGAATAAGAAAATACTTCTAAATTAAATGTCAGAATTTTTTAAAAATATGCTCCTTCATTCTGATAGTTAATATATGTGCTTGAACACCCACACTACATCCTTTTTTTTTTTTTTTCATTATAAGATCTGGCTAGCTATGGAGGATATTTTTGTTGCCTCTAGTTGGCAGATGCCATGCTCTTCAGTTTTTATAAAGAAATAAAAGTAATCTAATTCATAATTGATAAAGAAAGAAACCAGAAACATACTGTGAAATTCTATACCTTTGCAGTATTGATAAGAGGTTTTAGCTGTTCTCAAGTCCAGTCCAAAATGCACTTGGTACTGATCATTTGAATGTGAACTATTCCCATTTTTCCTGAGAAGCTACTATTTACTTCCACCTAAAAAGGACAATCAAAAAGACAATAATCACTTCTTTTGGATCTCTGCATATGTTTGCTCTCAGATGATCAGTGGGGCTTTGAAAGACAAACAGTTTGTCACCCCCACCTAACCTAGAAAGCATCTCAGAGTGAGATACTTAATGAAACTGAGCTGCTGCTGCTCACATCACTGAGGGCCTGGTCCTGGAGCTTGGAAAACTGATGGTAATTAGAAAATGGGGATTGCAGAGGTCACAGTGAGAGATCCCTCAGGCTAGAAATGCACTTCTGGGACACAGTGCTGACATTGTTCCCATCTCTGGCTACAAGCAGCTTGACCTTTTGGTGAGGAGGTCACACTTGGGAAATGCCTGGTACTTTTATTTTAAAAGGAAGATTTCATTGCCTAACTAAAAAGTAAATAGCAAAGAAATAAGAGTTTGAGATTTCACTATGGGGTTATAAAGAAAATGAAAGGAACATGTACAAAGCAGTAAATACTCAGTACCAGTCTTAGGAACCAAAACATTTTTAAAATTCTCTCCTGGTTTTACCCAAATCCCAAATTCTGTAATCCCTTCAGGAATATTCCATAACTCTGTGTGGCACTGATCCCAAGTGACCCAAGGTATGGGGAGTTCTCTTTACTGAATGTTCCTGAGATCACAGAGAGTTTCCCAGAACAGTGGTAACAACAAGATCCAATATAATAAAACCTCTTCTGTTCTTTACCCATGTCTCTCCTGTCAGTTGCTTTGGGGCAGAAAACTGAAGTTTTAATGGTGTTCCTTGGAGTATATTTTTCATTTCTTGTATGCAGGTGTTGGGATCCTGCTGAAAAGCTAGAAGGGAAAAGGAGGAGCTCCTCCTCCCAGCCAGTCTTGTTAATCATGGTATTTGAGTGACCCCTAAACTCAGGCATTTCTGTTAAACAATAGGAATATTTTATATAAATCTACCTTTTTTTTTTTTGGAACTCTACCTACTACTAGTTAAAAAGAATGTTTCTATGTCAGCTTTTTGTCATTTCTTCATTTGATTTGGTTTTACACTGATACTTCACAGTAGGCACTTGGAAAGTGATCCTCCAGAAATACTTCCAAGTACAGAGGTGTGTCTGAAGTTCTTTCAGAGTTGGGAATGAATTCCAGGCTCCTATGGGACTCTCAAAGCCTTTTCACCAGAGCATTTTCATTAATCAAAGAGCTGTAAAGTGGACAGCTTGACACAGGAAGCCCAGCTGAATGCTACAGAGACATGCACTTGCAGAAGCTGACTGTTGGAACTTGCTCAGGTTTGGAAAATAAGACCAAATCCTAAGAGACAACTAAAAGGGGAAAACGAATCAGACAGAAGGAATAAATACACATCATATGCTGTGACTTCCTCAGCAGCATTTTGCACTCCTCCCTTTTGCTTTTTAAGCATGTAACTGTACATAATACTGTACATACATAATGCTGAAGAGCTGATCATCCTCCACCCCAAAAGAGCTGCATAAATGAGAAAAATTCTGATGGAGGAGGGGGGAAGAGGGAATTCAAAAAGTAGTTTTGAATCCTTTTTATTTAACAAAATTTCAAAAGAAATTGTATTAACCTGAATACAACCGTTTTCTTTGATGGGCAAACTGTCCCATTCCTTGCTGGTTTGCTGTGTACCATTTAGGCTCTTTCTGGGGAAGACACAAAGCCAGATGAGGGCAGGCAGCACTTTGTCTACAGGTAAATAAATCACCTGTCCACAAGCAAATAGCAAAGAAGTAAGACTAAGATTTCTCTTTCATTTAGCTGTGTGGGGATATAGAGAAAATGAATACTTGCACTAAACAAAATGAAAAGTCACTAAAATGCAGTTCAGAGTCAGACAACAACAATTAACCCCAGGGCTTGGACAGGGATAGCCCCACCTCCTCTTTGCCACATAACTGTATTTACCCAATCATGAACCCTGCTTGTGGATTATACACTCCATCTGTTTTGAGTCAATAAGTGGATCTTCACTAACTTGAAGATAAAGACCTGTCCCCCAGTCTCCCTTTCTGACTGCAGCATGGATGCTGCTCCTTGGAAGCCAGGTAATTGAGCAGCATTCCCAAACTGAGACACTGGGAAAATCACTTCTGACTACCAGGGTTTATTGCTGCCTGAACCACTGCTGAGACAGACTGCCTTATCCTTGGAATACATTGAATTTGTTCCTTATTAGCCAGCTTGGAGATTGGTGAGGAATGAGAACAGCGTTTCTTCTGTGTGAAGAGCTGGAACAAAGAACTCTGCAATGCACCTGATGATGGCACAGCAGGGGCCCCTCCTGCTCCTGGGCAAACATGATGAGCCATCAGAATTCTCTTCCTCTCACTGCTCTTACTGCACCTGAGCACAAACACACCTGGAGGCTCTCAACCTGCCTGGCCACAGGGCTGTGAGTTTGCTGAGGATCTGATGAGCCTGCAAGGTGTGGGTGTGTGTGAGGCACTCCCTGACAGCACCATTTCGAAAGGCAAGACATGATTGACCTTTTCCAGCTCACAGAGATGAGAGGGAAGGACCAGGACATGCTGGGACCTCTCACCAGTGCCACAGCTCAGTGCTCTCACCCAAGGCTGCTGCATTTCTCACCATTCCACCTTGGGTGCAGCTTTTGGCTTCCTCCTAAAAGACAGAACAAAACAGAGAACCTGCTCTGTTTCCTTAAAATTAATTTTCAGCACTAAAGGTGTGCTTTTTTTTTTTTTTTTGCTTCCCCTTTTCTGGGGGAAGTTTCTACCACATATACATCTCCTTCCTCTGCTGGGAAGAGCTGGTCTCAGCTCTTAGACTCTTATTCTTTAACCTCTTCCCCCCATGTAGGTGTTTATTTGCTACAATAAATATGCAGAAGGTACTTCCAGACATCAAACTATTTCCCTTAGCCTTTAGTTTGTTTTCTTGATATTCTCTCCTTTGCTTGGTTGAGTGTTTTTTAATGTTAATAAATAAAATGAAAACTTAGCACCAGAACTGGATACATTCAATTTCATCAACACTACATCAAGAAAACATGTTTATGTGCATGTATATTTCTGTATATCCACCCTCATCCTCTGAGTATTTTCATTTTATACCATCAAACCTCACAGGGACTCTTCCACCCAACCCACTGAGAATTTCTTGTGAACTCTTTGTCCATGACAATCACCAAAACTCCTTGCTGACTCAGGAATGCAGCCCCCCATTTCCTGGAAGTCTTTGTGTTTCATATTCCTAAACGTGCAGTTTCAAACTTGCCAAATTACCACAAGGTTTCTGTGGTGCCCCCGAGGCAGAAAGAGGCCTCAGGATTTTTGCTGCTGTGTGTGATTCACTGCTGCCACCACGATTGCTTCCAGACCTCTGCAGGGGAAAAGAATCTCAAACACCTTTTTGATTGGGATTCCCACTATCACTACTAAAACTTTGCTAACTGGGTTTTAATTCTCTCAACACGTGCCTCAGCAATACAGTAGCATTATTTTGGAGCATCAAGGTACAAGCAACAAAAATTTTGTGAACTGTTTATGTCTACACTCGGTGTTGCTATTATCCCAAACCTATAATTCCTCAAAGTTCCACTGGTTTGACAAGATTTATGTCCCATAAAAGACCCTCAAGAGGAATTTTAGCTCTTAAGGCACCCCTGATCTCCCAGGAGCTTCCCCTCTGGTTTCAAATTCGTGTTTGGACAAGTAGTTCTTTGCTGAGCTTCTCTGGAACACTTGCCTTATCTTCCAGAGTTTATCAAAAACCAACTTCACTGGATCAGTGACTCCTCCAGCCATCCCTTCAGACTTTCTAAATACCAGCTCTGGAGTTGTTCCTTTAGAAAAATCTTAAAATACCAGCTAATCAACATCTATTGCACCAGACTGATGGAAGATATCCCAGTACAGGGGACACTTTAAAGATTTTTACATATAGCACACTCATTACATATCCTGCTTTTTATTAAACTAATTTTGTCACCACCTAATAAAGCTGAATGAGCTGGGAACATTTTCCCAAATGTTCTGCTGCTTGTCCTTAAATTGAACTGCATTTAAGATGTGTTCAAGATTGTGTTTTTCTCTCTTGGGGAAAATAAAGCTTTATCTCTGCTGGCAGCCACCAAGGCCAGTGTGCAGCCCTGCTGACTGAACTGTGCTCCTGCCCCAGGATTGTGTCTCTAGCTCTGAATGGAGCCACACTGGTGGCATTTTCTGG